CACACGCCTAACGGCTCGTAAAATTACGTATAACAATTTCCAAATATCACTCCTGGTATTTATGCCAAATATCACTACAAATCATGCTATTACCTACACCAACATCGTAAGATTACGACGGTCGTATTGTACTTAGAATTACAAATTAAAACTCAAACTCACACACAAATTCCTCATTTCTTTAGACAAAATGCTGAAAAACCATTAGGCGTTTAGGCCTTCCGTCCATTTAGACTGCAAAACAGTCGGTTTTTTTCTCAAAATCAGTAAAGAAATCGGTAAAGCGTGGCGTAAGGGTCTTACGCGCGCGAAGGGCTCTCCCCAGTCTCGCTCTCTGATTTCAGCCTCATTCCAGACTTATGCTTGACTGCTCGCGCGTACTTGAATACGCAAAAATACGGACTGTTTTGCAGTCTACCGTCCATTCTAAAGGTGATGTTACAGGAGACGATTCGTAACGACGATTTTTAGCACAACACAGCGTTGCAACATTGTTGCGACATTGTTTTGAATACTTGCAACATTGTTTCAACATTGCAACGCTGTGTTGCGCCAAATATCGTCGTCGTTGCGAATCGTCCGGTGTAACATCACATTAAGGTCATGTCCACACGAATCCGAACAGAAATCGTGTTGACAGGGTCTTAAACCACGGTGGAGAGCGGTTTAAAAAAGATACGGTTTCGGTGACCGGATTCACTGGTTTCCTGTGGACGAAAGGCCGATTCGGGTAAAAAGGACGCGGTTTCGAATTTACCCGTATTGGTGTGGACGGCGCCTAACGCGCCGAGCGTCTTTTTATCGAAAATGCATCGCGGATTTGAAAAAGTTCTTGAAAGTGGATCAAAAGAAAAACGCATACATATTGTATGTAAGTGTATAAGGTCGAAAACGTCGAAAACGCATCAAAATGAAAACAATGACCCAGTGGACAAAAATCGCCGGCAAACGTGAAAACAACAAGAAAAATGCAAAAAAGTCAGTTATTGTAAAGGCATTGGCCGGGGAAACCTTTTAATCTCAATGAGCCAAAAAAGGAATAGAATAACGTCTTAAGTTAACGACAATTTTTATGGTAAACTCTCGCGCAGAAAATCGATTTTTCATAAAATGCTAGGGGTATTGATCAAAGAAACCGTGATTACAAATAAGTCGCTGACGTTTCGTGCCTTTGTGTTAACATCAATAGAACGACTTTTTTTGCAAGAAAGTTATAAAAACAGAAGTGCTTGAAAAAATAAATAAATAAAACAGAAAAAAATATTTTCTCACATTAGTCGTCTATTTATTTACTTATTCATTTGTTGTTTGTTTGTTTGTTTGCTACTTTTGGCGCCTCAGCGAGCAACTAATGTCAGTATTCGAACGATGCAAATCAAATGCAAAGTCTGATTCTATGAAGCGGATAACAACAATTGATCAGAAACATAATCTCTGATTCAGCTGTTGTTCGCAGTTAATAACTATACAATAATTTATTTCAGCAAAACCAAAAGCACTTTTTCTTCAAAAGTGAGACTCCACAAATTCAAGTAATGATTCTGGGGTACACCGTGCAAACAGTGTAACTTTCTATTAAGTCGGACTATTTTAATTTGGTTGACAAGTTTTGATTTCGTTTGTACTTTTTAAAGATGGTAATTACTTTATATATCCTTTGTGGATACTTTAAAACTTGGCTGGACATTTTAAGTTGCCGAAAGCTTATTATTAAGGTAGGTCGGGTTTCTTTATTACTGAAAGTACATAAAATAATTTAATCCATTGAAACTAATAAAAACGGAACCCAAACCAACTGTCTTTCTCACACGGAAGACATGGACACAAATGCGACTGATCGGCAAGAAGGCAAAGAGCCTGTAACCGGAGAAGCCTTTGCAGTGCTTGTCTTCATCACAGTCGCAAGCATTATAACTTGTCCTCTGACAACTATTCTCAATGTACTGATCATAATCTGTGTAAAAACCAAGTCTGCTCTGAGAACCCAATCCAACATTACATTGGCTTGTTTGGCGATCACCGATGTCGTAATGGGTGCAATTGGACAACCTGCTTTTATCTCTTGGTTGATAGCACGCGGACAAGGGGACGACGCTCTGTGGCAAACACTTTTGTGCCACTTTATATTTAGACTGTTAACTTTTTCATCACTCCTTCACATGGTTATGATAAACCTGGAGCGCTACATAGCGATCAAACATACTTTACAGTACACAAGCATCGTCACGGAAGTTCGTTTAATATATTTATCCGTTTTTCTTTGGATCATGTCATTGGTACTGACTTTGCTTATATCATTTTTAGTATAACAGGGATTATCAGCGTAATCACGGCGCTAGCCATTGTTGTATTCTTCCAAGTTGTGCTTTACCGCGAGGCTCGCCGCCACGAAAAAGAAATTGCAAATCAGCAAGTTTCAGCGGAAGTTAAACAAAAGAAATTGAAGGAGAAGAAAGCTCTAAAAACAACAACAACTGTGCTCTTTTTCTTAATGCTGAGTTTTTTACCTCTCCTTTTCGTCAGTTTACTAGGCAGTAACGACGTTGTAAAATCAGTTAATTTACGGAAAATTCTCGCCTTTACAGCGTTCTTGACAATTACAGCCAACTCACTAGTAAACCCTATAATTTACTGTGTCAGAGTAAAACAATTTCGCGTTGCGTTCATCGAGCTGATATTTGGAAAAACTCATACACAAGCGGAGGACATTGAAAAGCGAGCATTTAGAGTATTGAACCGCGTGGCGCCGCTGGAAAACGAACAATCTCAGTGCAGGACAGGGAACTGGGAGTAAAAAGATCAAATGTAACAACAACAGAGAACCTACTGTCCTTTTAACACTAGAACAGGTAAAAGTCAAAATTACAGACAAATTTGAAATTCAATTTTGTAAAATGCCAAAAAACAAATTTCCAATTGACGTGCGTCGCTCAAAAACGCCTTTGATCAATTTAGGTTTCTGGAAAATTGCCCACCTACCCCTCCCCTAAGTCAACATTATGCCCTAAGTGAGAAGTAAGTGATAATGATGGCTTAGGGGAGGGGTGGGTAGGCAGTTTCCCAGAAACCGAAATTCATCCCTTAGAGCTTGAGACGGATAGAACGTCTGAAGATCCACGGTCTCCAGGACAAACGTCGATCTTCACATGCGACGAACTAAACTAATAAATAAGAAAAATTGTATGAAAATGTATATTTAACCTCTTTCAGGAGAAATTTATTACTGATCTGATTCAGATTCGACATGAGGATCCGGCCACTACAAGCTTCACGTATACGGCAAACGGCAAACGTTAGATTCCAATAGAGAATTTCTCAAAATGGAAAATGAGTAGATAAAAACGGCTCAGGAAATTCTTATGGATTAAAAAAATGCGTGAAAATCCTAACAGGGTTCATACAAAAAATTGCAACCATTTTTCAAGGACTTTTCAAGGACTTTTCAAGGACCACATTAGATTTTCAAGGACAACCTACTAGGAATATAATTTCACAGATTGTACAAAAATGCATATTCCCAGTATATTCTAATAAGACTTTAAGGCTTTAACTGTTTGCTTCACCAAATTCTCTGCATTTTTCAGTTCACTTGTCTTAAACTGATAGTTAATTATTGCATAAAACATGGAGCACTTTATGTAAATGACCTTTACATTCACTGAGCTACGATTTATATTCTGTCTTGGACAACCAAAAAGCATCAAAAAATTCTTTCCAGGCTACTGCATTCAAAGTTGAAGAAAAGGCATGGACTTTTCAAGGACTTGCAAAGAAATTTAATACACGTTTTTTGCGAGTACAAATCATCCTATTATTTGTTTATACTCTTATCCACAAATGGTTTGTAATTTTCACATGTGGGTATTTCAAATTACTACTCTAAGCCAATCAAATTGCAGAAATTTTTCATGTATTAGTATAAATATTTTTATACTACTACATGAGAAATTTCTGCAATTTAATTGGCTTAGAGCGGTGATATTTCAGCTTAATTTGAAAAACCTACATGTGAAAATTACAAACCATTTGTGGGTAGTAGTATAAAAAAATAAAAGCATGATTTGTACGTGACATTTGGCATAAATACCACTCGTGATATTTCAAAATTGTATCACAATTCAAACACCTAACGGCTCGTGAAATGACGTATAACAATTTCGAAATATCACTCGTGGTATTTATGCCAAATTTCACTACAAATCATGCTATTACCTACACTAACATCGTAAGATTACGACGGTCGTATTGTACTTAGAATTACAAATTAAAACTCAAACTCACACACAAATTCCTCCTTTCTTTAGGCAAAATGCTGAAAAACAATTAGGCGTTTAGGCCTTCCGTCCATTTAGACTGCAAAACAGTCGGTTTTTTTCTCAAAATCAGTAAAGAAATCGGTAGCGTGGCGTAACGGTCTTACGCGCGCGAAGGGCGTGTGAGGCGAGAGACTTATCTTTGACTGCTCGCGCGTACTTGAATACGCAAAAATACGGACTGTTTTGCAGTCTACCGTCCATTCTAAAGGTGATGTTACACGAGACGATTCGTAACGACGATTTTTTGCACAACACAGCGTTGCAACATTGTTGCGACATTGTTTTGAATACTTGCAACATTGTTTCAACATTGCAACGCTGTCTTGCGCCAAATATCGTCGTCGTTGCGAATCGTCCCGTGTAACATCACATTAAGGCCATGTCCACACGAATCCTAACACGTTTGAAGACGCATATTTTTTTTTATCCGGAATCGTGTTGATAGGGTCTTAAACCACTGTGGAGAGCGGTTTAAAAAAGATACGGTTTCGGTGACCGGATTCACTGGTTTCGTGTGGACGAAACGCCGATTCGAGTTAAAAGGATCCGGTTTCGAAAATACCCGGATTGGTGTGGACGGCGCCTAACGCGCCGAGCGTCTTTTTATCGAAAATGCATCGCGGATTTGAAAAAGTTCTTGAAAGTGGATCAAAGAAAAACGCATACCTATTGTATGTAAGTGTATAAGGTCGAAAACGTCGAAAACGCATCAAAATGAAAACAATGACCCAGTGGACAAAAATCGCAGGCAAACGTGAAAACAACAAGAAAAATGCAAACAAGTCAGTTATTGTAAAGGCATTGGCCGGGGAAACCTTTTAATCTCAATAAGCCAAAAAAGGAATAGGATAACGTCTTAAGTTAACGACAATTTTTATGCTAAACTTTCGCGCAGAAAATTGATTTTTCATAAAATGCTAGGCGTATTGATCAAAGTGCTTTTGTGTTAACATCAATAGAACGACTTTTTTTTGCAAGAAAGTTATAAAAACAGAAGTGCTTGAAAAAATAAATAAATAAAACAGAAAAAAAATATTTTGTCACATTAGTCGTCTATTTATTTACTTAGTCATTTGTTGTTTGTTTGTTTGTTTGTTTGTTTGTTTGCTACTTTTGGCGCCTCAGCGAGCAACTAATGTCAGTATTCGAATAATGCAAATCAAATGCAAAGTCTGATTCTATGAAGCGGATAACAACAATTGATCAGAAACATAATCTCTGATTCAGCTGTTGTTCGAATTTGCTTAAAAAGCACCTTAATAACTGTACAATAATTTATTTCAGCAAAACCAAAAGCAATTTTTCGTCAAAAGTGAGACTCCACAAAATTTAAGTAATGATTCTGGGGTATACCGTGTAAACAGTCTAACTTTCTATTAAGTCGGACTATTTTAATTTGGTTGACACGTTTTGATTTCGTTTGTACTTTTTAAAGATGGTAATTACTTTATATATCCTTGGTGGATAGTTTAAAACTTGGCTGGACATTTTAAGTTGCCGAAAGCTTATTATTAAAGTAGGTCGGTTTTCTTTATTGATGAAAGTACATAAAATAATTTAACCCTTTAAGTCCTAACAGTGACCAACATCAATTTTCTCCTAGCGATATCCGTAGATTGTCAAGAGCAAAGTCTATGAGAATTAATAAAATGAAAGAGAGAAAATATATTTAAAATCCAACTTGAAACTGGAGAATTTGTAATAAAACTAATAAAAACGGAACCCAAACCAACTGTCTTTCTCACACAGAAGACATGGACACAAATGCGACTGATCGGCAAGAAGGCAAAGAGCCTGTAACTGGAGAAGCCTTTGCAGTGCTTGTCTTCATCACAGTCGCAAGCATTATAACTTGTCCTCTAACAACTATTCTCAATGTACTGATCATAATCTGTGTAAAAACCAAGTCTTCTTTGAGAACCCAATCCAATATTACACTGGCATGTTTGGCGATCACCGATGTCGTAATGGGCGCAATTGGACAACCTGTTTTTATCTCCTGGTTGATAGCACGCGGACAAGGGGACGACGCTCTGTGGCAAACACTTTTGTGCCAATTTATATTTAAACTGTTAACTCTTTCATCACTCCTTCACATGGTTATGATAAACCTGGAGCGCTACATAGCGATCAAACATACTTTACAGTACATAACCATCGTCACGGAAGTTCGTTTAATATATTTATCCGTTTTTCTTTGGATCATGGCATTGGTACTGACTTTGCTTACATCATTTTTTAGTATAACAAAGATTACCAGCGTAATCACGCCGCTAGCCATTATTGTATTCTGCCAAGCTGTGCTTTATCGCGAGGCTCGTCGCCACGAAAAAGAAATTGCGAATCAGCAAGTTTCAGTGGAAGTTAAACAAAAGAAATTGAAGGAGAAGAAAGCTCTCAAAACGACAACAACTATACTCTTTTTCTTAATGCTGAGTTATTTACCTCTTCTTTTCGCCGGTTTACTAATCAAGAACGACGTTGTAAAATCAGTTAATTTACGGGATATTCTCACCTTTACAGTGATCTTGACAATTACAGCTAACTCACTAGTAAACCCTATAATTTACTGTGTCAGACTAAGACAATTTCGCGTTGCGTTCATCGAGCTGATATTTGGAAAAAGTCATACACAAGCGAAGGACATTGAAAAGCCAGCATTTAGAGTATTGAACCGTGTGGCGCCGCTGGCAAACGAACAATAGAGTAGTAACAGTGGAGTAAAAAGATCAAATGTAACAACAACAGAGAGACCTACTGTCCTTTTAACACTAGAACAGGTAAAAGTCAAAATTACAGACAAATTCGAAATTCAATTTTGTAAAACGCGGAAAAACAAATTTCCGAACGACGTGCGTCGCTCAAAAACGCCTCAATTGAGGTTTCTGGGAAATTGCCCACCTACCCCTCCCCTAAGCCAACATTTTGCCCTAAGTGAGAAGTAAGTGATAATGATGGCTTAGGGAGGGGTAGGTGGCAGTTTCCCAGAAAACCTAAATTGATCCCTTCGAGCTTTTCATGAGACGGATAAAACGTCTCAGAAGATCCACATCTGGTCTCAAGGTCAAAATTAGGTTGGATCTTTCTATCCATCTGCTTCCGACGAACGTCTGAAACCAATAAATAAGAAAAACGTCGATCTTCATCCGAAAAACTAAATTTAACCTGTTTCAGGAGAAAATTAATTACTGATCTGATTCAGTTGTTTGGTTCGACGCGAAGATCCATCAGAGAGTTTAAGCTTCATGTATACGGCAAACGGCAAACGTCAGATTCAAGTTGGGAATTTCTCAAAATGGAAAATGAGCGGATAAAAACAGCTCAGAAAATCCTTATGGCTAAAAAAGTGCGTGAAAATACTAATTTATGTGTAGAAAAAATGAACAGTAGGCGACAAGCAAAGGGGAAACCTGGTCACGTGGTACAAATTCCCGTTTGCCGCTTGACGTAAACGTGATGCTTAACCTCTTTATTCGCGCGTTCAAACGAACGGGAGGCGCAGGTACTGTTTCCCTGATGGCAGAGGCCTATTTTCCAGGGAAAGGCGCTGTAGCCCGTTGCCTATACCGCATCACTATGGTGGATTTACTGGCCAGTGCAATTTTAATTTACACTTTTATAGCCTCGACCCTAACAGGAAATGATCACTAACCATTTTGAGTCAGAGCTTAACACTAATCTGATAACTATTTTCAGTGATTAACCCTAATGAGGGTAATCATTGCTTAACTCTTAATCACTATTTTCAGTGCTTTAATCATAATCACCATAGTCATTGCTTAACCCTAATGACTATTATAGGCAGTGCCCTGTCTCCGGGATTGGAATGTAACTTCTCCCTATAATTAATATCCAATACATTTTCCAGCATAAAAAGGTGCTGAGAAAAGGCTGCGAGAGTATGCGCTTTTGACATAAACTCAAATTCTCTTAACTAATGAATAATAAAAATGTGTAGAAGCCAGGAAGGAGAATTACTAATGAGATCTTGAGAATTAAAGGGTTTATGCAATTAATTTTTGTAGGCATCATAAGGTGTCCAACAACATTTACGCGAATGGAATCCAGTGTTTTCCCAGCAACACAGGGCTTTGAACGATCTAGAATAAAAGTAACTCGAACGAAGACTGTACTTACTCCTTGATAGCCTGCAAACGAGCTTGATCTTTGCCTACTTTCTCAAATACAAGCGAATACAACTCGGATTCGCCGGCGTCAGGTCTGCCAACCAGCTTGGCCAACACTTGTTTCTGAAGTGTAGGGGAAAAAATAGGAATGAATTGATCAGTATGAGATTCTGGGAAACTGCCCACTTAACACTCCCTTCACCCAAAATTTTGCCATAGGAGAGAAGTCAGTTACGTTGGATTAGGGGAGGGGTAGGTGGGCAGTTTCCCAGATAATTTATTATATTGCGGATAAGATTCTAATAAACGGGCCTCCTCTCTGGAACTGATATTTTGTCATACTAGAGCAGTCAGTTTTGACGTTGCGTTAGGGGAGCGGTAGGTACAATTAAATTGCGAATTAGAGTCTGGCAAACGGACCTCCAACTCCTCTCTTGATCCGAAATTTTGCCATACGAGGGAAGTCAGTGCTAACCTTGGCTTAGAGGAGGGGTAGGTGGGGAGAACGTTATACAGCTAATAAGATGCTAGGAAACTGCCCACCTATCACTCCAATAACCCGACATTGATGTGTCGGAGAAGGGTTTCACATAAAATTATTATTGCGAATACGATTTTGGAAAACGGACCACCTACGTCTCCCTTGACCTGACATTTTGCCATACGAGAAAAGTTTGCCTTCCTGTTGAGTTTAATAGGGACGGGGTAGAAAAGGGGTGTCATAGAATCTTAAACTACAAAATAAATAATCTGGTAAACGGCTTACAAGTGTATGGTCAACAAACAAATAAGTATGTTGCCTTAGAAACATCTTACCCAGGGCTGTTCGTGAGCTAAAGCTAGATCAGATCGTTCCGCCGAACTGTACATTCCAAGTTGAAACAAAGCCAAGCAAGCTGTAGCATAACCCTGGGAAATAAATCGCAAAGAGATATGAGCTCTTTTGTAATCCTAATGGTATTGAAAAAGGATAAGAAGCAATTTCGACAAACATTTGGATATAAATACAAAATGAACAACGCTTCATTTAAAAGGTAAGCTCAGTATAATTTCGCATCCTTCCTAAGTGTCACACGAGGTTGAAGTATGAATTCCCACTTAAATTATGGCTTATTCTTCCTAAAATTAATCTATCCAAGCTTAAACACCCAGGCCGATTTCCATTCGTGAAAAACTCTTTGTATGAAGTAACATTCTTGAAACTTTTTAATATGAGGAACATTTTAGTGCAGTATTGAAAGGGAGAGGTTTATTGGAGGATAACCAAATATGACGACTTGGTGGAGAAAAATGCATTTATTCTGTAGACTTCAGTGTTCCATCATGCCTATTAACACAGTGGCCCTCTAAACGCTAGACTGCGAAACAGTCGCCTTCTTTTAGTACAAACCTCGTATCGCAGAGTTCCTCTGAGTATCGTGTTAGCAGTTCTAATGTCGTACAAATCGCCGTATGCCAAGGAGTCCCTGTTGGGGTAACATTCCAGTCTGTATCCTGGAAACATGTTCGTTGGTTTGATTTCGTTCAATAGAGACCCACCGGCGGCTACATCGACGGTCTAAAATACAAACTGTTATTATTAGTACTTCAAGATCAGCACCTTTTTTTATACAATAGCGATCCTCATGCTGACGTCACCTATTGTATATCAATGTGCCAGCCAGAAGCGCACTGGTTCTTGTAACAAAAGATTCTTTTGTTTCAATCTTTGCAAATTTGAAAAACAATGATGTCCCCCATGTGGAGTTTAAGGTACGGAAAACGTCATTCAAAAAAGGAGCTGACTTTCTTTCAATTTCTATTGAGATTATTCCAACTCGCTTACAAAATAATGCAAGCGAATTCTTCTGGACTCGAATTCATAACAACCATTTCCAAGTTCAGAAAGAGAAAGCGAATTTCTTCATCGCTTGGTTACGTCCTCCTTAAAACATAAAATTACGCATTTCCACGTCGTGGTAGAGAAGGAACGGCAAAAAATGTACAAAAAAGCGTGCTGTTGTTTTGCCTATTCAACCTATCGCTTTTTTGACATTTTCGTTCTCGTCGCCATCGTGGTATTGTGTGTGTTGTCCCTGTCGTGTTTTCTTGGACTCCCTATTCTTGGTTTCAGACACGTGACAAGGCGGAGTTGTTCGTCGACAAAACAATACAATTCCCCCACCACCCCAATTTGTATATACCAGAGGAGACAACCGCTAAATGTGTTCTTGTCACCCAACGTGGCCGCATGAAAGACAGCGAACTATAAAGCTTAGGTCAAAGGGAAAAGCAAAGGCCCAGGGTGCTGCGTACGTATCCAAAATGTTAAGACCTACCTTTCCATACCAAAGGTATCTGGCACCGTTCATGATGGTCAACAGACCCGCTCGTGGACTCCAGCTAAAAAAAACAAACAAGCAAACAATAAAACACTTAGCACAAATTACAGGGCCCCAAAAGGCCCTAACCAAAGAAAGCGCAGGCGCAGGACTCAATGGACCAACCCAAAGGAAGGAAACGACCAAAAGACGCAAAAACTGAAAAGACGCTTAAGGCAGCTTTGTTTGGCCATCCTCGATTTGCATAATTAGATATTAAGTCATAAATTAGCATAAACAAATTGGTAATTAATTAAACAATAAGCATAGTACCTGAACTTGTATCTAAGAGGGTTATCAGCGTGTTCTGGGGCAGGGAGACCACCACAGTATGAACGGAATGATTTTACCTGAAAAAAAAAAGACATCGGACGTTTTCAAAGCCAACAGAAGGTATATACATTAGAACCCCATAACTCGAACTCGGATAACTCGAATTCCCCGCTAACTCGAACTAAGTTTCCTTTCCTTTGATCAAACCTTCACTAATATTTCCTCCGCTTCCCTAATGAGTTTGAGTTACAAGGATTCTACTTTACACGTAAGGAAACCGATAGGGAAAACATGGGCAACGTAAACATTTTATGCATTAAACTACAACCTAAAACTAAGGTGACCCTACTCACTCTCGTCACCCAAGTCACCCAAGTCACTCAAGTCACACCATTCACCCAAGCCACCCTAGTCACCATAGCCACCCTAGTCACCCAAGTCACTTTAGTGACCCAAGTCACTTTAGTGACCCAAGTCACTTTAGTCACCCAAGTCACCCAAGTCACCCTAGTCACCCAAGTCACTTTAGTCACCCAAGTCACTTTAGTGACCCAAGTCACTTTAGTCACCCAAGTCACCCAAGTCACCCTAGTCACCCTAGTCACCAAAGTCACCCTAGTCATAGCCCCCCTAGTCACCCAAGTCACCCTAGCCACCCTAGTCACCCAAGTCACCCTAGTCACCCAAGTCACCCTAGTCACCCAATTCATCCTAGTCACCCAAGTCACCTAAGTTACTCAAGTTACCCCAGTCACCTTACTCACCCTATTCGCTCAAGTCACCCCAGTCATCCAGTACCACAGGAAAGTATTGCTTTTCATCTTTCATTTAAATGGTTACACTAAAGGATTTTATCCGCAGACTCAAAAGCATAATTACAGCACCGCAGGAAAGAACTGTTTACATAGCTTTTACCTTAATTTTTACACCTATGTATCCAGAAACTCGATAGTTAATGATAAATGGTACCGCAAGTGAGCTTTGACTTGAATTTTTACACTTATGGATCGACAAACTCAATAGTTAATGATAAATGGTACAGCAGAAGAGTAGTAGTAAGCAGCTGTCGCTTGACTGGTAATGAGTAAGAGATTTAAAGAGAATTAAGACATGATCTTGCACAGAAAAATCTAGAGCAACACGAATAAAAAAAACCCTGCAACAGAATGATAGCTGGAAGTTGAATGACCATATGTTGTGAATTTTTTTTATCGCAAAGCAGAGGGTACACTCAATTCCATTTTGGTGATTCAAACCAATGCTCCCCAATCGTATTTTCTTCAAAATAATAGTCCTTCCTTACCACAGCTCCCTCAGCTTTCGCATCGTCAAAACATTCCATCGCCAGCATATGATCGATACCAGGGTCCAGGCCGACTTCATTCACGATCGCAATCCCAGCATCAACCGCGCTGAAATATATAACAATTGTTCGAAGTCTGATAAGCGCTAACCCAGGGTTAAACTTTAACCAGGGTCTTTTTTTCCTTTCCTTAAAAGCATTTTCTCGGACAATTTCTCTATTCTTTTTAGAGAAGCCAATCATCAAATTGTGGACAAAAAGAATTAATTTAAAGTGAATTTGCTTGTTAAGCTTTCATTCAAATTTCGCACTAATCCTGCGTTTTTTAACTTCCTATTCAAATGGTAAGGCAAAAGTGTCTATCTGGAGAGGCCAGACCCCATACAACTGACTTTGACTCTGACGCTGACTTCCGCACAGGTCGTGGGAACGTCAACCACTACCAGCGACAGACCTTATTAGGACCTACACTATATCAATGGTAACAATTTACACTCAGTTATCAAAAAAGCAAGTTTCTATTGAATGCATCTTCAAAAATAGACAAGTTCAGTGTGATTACCTCTGGTGTAATTCTTCTATTGCAGGTAGCACATAACTTGTAGTTAACAAGTTCTTTTTGTGAGCGATACAACTCTTTGCCACAACAGGATGTAACGAATAAGGAAGCAAGCTACAAAGAAAAAGAAACGAAACTATTGTAACCAGAACTAGTAACTGTCAAGATGAAGTCGCATCTTCAGGCCACTGGCCACTTTCTTGATCATAGTGTTCAAACACCTGCCGATTTTTTTCCCGCCCATCCCACTTTAATGTTGATTTCGAAGAAGTCTATATACCCAACCAGTCTGTTCAAACCATTATTCGCGTAGCTTGAGAAAACAGCCGACGTTTCAGCGATCAATCAGAAATACTACCCATATTTTGGTAGTGACACGTCATCAGCGTGGGACTGTGCTGCGTTCGTTTTCCTCAGACGTAATTTCGAGGAGAAACCAGTATTTGCGTCGCAAAATGTCGGCTGTTTTTTTCAGGCTATTCTTGGGGAAGGAGAGGGCATCAACAGGTGACTTAGTAGTAGCAACAACAAAAAATCATCTAGCTAAGACCGCTGCACATTAAAAATTTATTTCACGAGGCATTTCCCCCATAGGGAATTTCCTTTGGCTATGACCCCAATCTTCTTACCCTCGGCTATCTAGCGGGGCTTACAGGACCGGGGACCGGTAATTAGGAAGCTTAAGCTTTGACGACCACGACAACAACGGCGACGAGTACGGCAAGAAAGCAATAGGTCTGGATTAGCAAAACAACGTCTTTGCACGTGCGTCACGCTTTTTTTGCTCATTTCTTTGCCGTCGTTGCACGACCAGGACGTGAAACTGCCATATTTCACGTATATTCTTCAGGCATGAACAAAGACAACGATTGCTTAAATTCTTTTTTATACTCAGATACAGTCCTTTAGAATTCAACTCCCCAACATTTGTCAAATTGAACGACATGAGACAAGTGCAAGGAATTTTGAAACTGCGTTAATTTACTTTTTAAGAGACGTTTTCGCCAGCATCATCGTCGTCGGTTACTATGGGTATCACCCTTGGCGAACAAAAAAATGCAGTAAACCTCGATAATTCGAACTCGGATAACTCCAATTCCCGGCAAACTTGAACTAAATTTCCTTTCCCTTGATCAAAATTTCACTGAAAATTACCCCGATAACTCGAATTCCTCGCTAACTCGAACTGTTTTTCGTTTCCCTTCAGAGTTCGAGTTAATGGGGTTCTACTGTAGAACCAAAGGAGCTTCCTGGTTGTTCAAATCCAACTCTACTAAATGTTTATATGCGGCAACTTGAAATCTTAGTGGCCGCCCTGAACTTACAGTCATCTTCAGGGCTCGACACTAACTTTTGACATAACTTGCCACTGTGGAAAGTAGATATGAAAATTTACTTTCCATAGTAAAATTTTACTTTCCAAAAATGAAAGAATCATATTTTCCACTATCCATAGTAGAAACATAACAAAATTAAGACTCTGTTCTTCCTTGTATTGCAGCCATGGAAAATCCTTAAGCCATCGTGGCGTCGCTTGCTTCGAATATGCTCCAGCTGTTTGATTTTCAGTCTGTTCTCCTCCTTTGTTGGTTTCTTGGTCAACTTCATCAATTTTTCGAGTTTCCTTTGTTAACGGTCATGTTTTATTTACTAGTCCACATGTGAAACAAAATGGCGAGAGTCGATTGCATCATCCATTTCGTTTCTCAACTGACGATTCCAAGATAAATTCCAAGATGGCGGAGATAGAAAAACGCGAAACTTAGACGTTTATAAGGAAGCGGCATTTGGCTGTTTAAAAAATACTTTCCCGAAATCTTGCCCGATGGCAGCCCTGAAACGGGTTGTTAGTGTCGAGCCCTGATCTTACCTGATTACAACATCATGTTGCTGGATCAGTTTTTTTAGCTTCTCCTCAGACTGTGTGACGTCAAGCAAAACTGGATGCGTGTTCTTGTACTTAGATGCCAATATTTCGGCCTCACTGATTTGATCAGAAGCTGTTAAACAATTTACATTACCAAAAAAATTACCAACATGACGACCCACACAACTGGCGAACATAACTACCGATCTAACTGGCAGCAGGCAAACAAGTTGGCTATTTACAAGAGTGGCCGTGAAGCTGAACTCGGGACTGCCTAGAACAATCCAGTAAGCAAGTTATATAAGGGCGCGGATTGAAGTCGGTTTCTCCGAATTGCAAGCCCAACACTCCAACTGATCCGTCACGCTGCGTCTTTTGTTGAAAGTCTCTATAAAACAAATTGCTTAACCCTTTAAGTCCCAATAGTGACCAACATCAATTTTCTCCTAATGATATCCATGCCAGGTCAAGAGATTAGGTTATGAGAATTAATTAAGTGATCACCAAAGATAAACTGCTTTGATCTTTTCTAAAATTCTCTCAACTCATTCTTTAAAGAAGTGTATAGAGATCAGTTTGGAGAATTTGCTTGTGGATATTGGGGCTTAAAGGGTTAATAGAGAGTGGCGATGAACGTTTTAAATGGATCCAAAATCGGATTTAGGTTTTATACTCACCAACTGTGACAGCCAGGCTCTTATCTCTTGTGAGATACTCAACGCAAGGAGCGACCGTGAAACCTGACCCAAGTAGCAGGACCCTCTGTTTGATCGGCACTGAAACATTTGGTCCTAGTGCTCTTGCTTTAGCTTCTTCTTGTCTACATCAATTCAAACAGACCACAGTATGCCTTCAGACAGAGTCATTTGCTTAAAGTGAGGGTGGATCCCACTGTCGTGTAATTTTAACACCGGTTCATACGTAGGTAAATAAAGACAAGTACAGGCAACGCATGAAAGGTCACTTGTGCGAGTGAACATTAAAGTTGGACCTCGCTCGACTTTCACGCTTCAGACACTGCCTCTTTTTTAGTAGGGAGCTTAAGCAACAACGTTTTTGAGCGACGCACGTCAACCGGAAGTGGCCTTTTTTCATTTTTTGACGGTGGTTTCGCGCAAATTTTCAGTCAAATCGCCTCTATAACAGTAAAGAAGCTAAGGAATACAAATTTTATATCATCAAGGCATGTTAAGAGGGAAAATACCTCACTTCCGGTTGACGTGCGTCGCTCAAAAACGTCGCTGCTTAAGCTCCCTATTAACTCGCGTAAAACGTACGTGCGTACGCACGTGAAAACTGCGCTAGAGGGAAAATCCACCTTGACACTGAGTTTGTTATAGCGATGTGAGGTCTCTCTCGTTACCAGAGGCAATTGTTCGTGCGATTTCGTTGAGTTTGTTTTTGGTTCTTATTATTATTATTTTCTGTTTATTTGTTTACCTTTTTCTTAAATCAGCTATGTATTTGTAGCTTGGTGTCAGTGATCCATTAGAGGTGATTATTGCCTGTTGAAGGAAATCAAAAAGGGTTAAGCTTCACGTTTTACATACACCGTAGTAACTAAAAGTATTTGCAAAAACTGGGTAGAGACCTTTTCACGGTTTTTTTCAACTTTTGACATGGACAAGTTAACGAAAATCCGTCCACACCACTGAAAAGAGCGCCTTAAAATTAGTAAAAGTGCCAAGTTTGAAAGTGATTTGTTAAAAATTAACGAAGACATAAATCCTCAAAGTCGCGAAATTTTACAGACGTTTGTTGAAAATTAACCGTACAAATCTGTAAATTTTTTCAACTTTGCGAAGCTATATCTTGGCTCGCTTAATAAAATATTGGTACTGATTGAATTCTGTGATTTCAAAATGGCTGTACTAAAGTGGTAATTGATCTTGGTGTCGTGCAATTTTGGTCTGAAATCATACTTGTGATTTCAAATCGAACTCGCGCTGCGCGCTCCTCTGATTTTGAAATGCTGCTATGCACTCCACTCCATACCATTATATATAACAACATTAATTATGACACCTACAAGTAAAGATTCCATCCACCGACTTTATTAACCGATGTTAAACACAAAATACAGTACGTAACAAAGGCTATAATTATCATAGAACAAAATCATGAACACTCACGTTTCTGACAGTGTCAGATAAGTGATGTTGATCCTCAAAGGGCTCGGTTGCATGCGAATCAATCTAAAAACAATCACTGTAAGTATTGGATGATAGGATTAATAAGGCAAAGTTGGTTATTGCACATCAAGATTAAGTTAACAGACGCCTCTGCAAATAACATGGCCTGCTTTGAGGCTATGTTGAGATTTTGCGGGCCACGAAAATGTGGCGGCGCAATTTCTGTGATGGAACGACTCTGTGCCATGCCAATCTCAAACGTGAAGCGTCGCATATCGGATAGGTTTTGTGCCATATTTTGGTTTAGTGAGAACACCTATTTGGCCCGTCGCGGAGGTAAATGAGTAGGAGCGAGGACTGGAAACCACGGAGACGTAAATAGGGAGCTTAAGCAACAAGGAAGGCGACGGCGACGGCGACGGCGACGGCGACGGCGACGGCGACGGCGACGGCGACGGCTACGGCGACGGCTACGGCGACGGCTACGGCGACGGCTACGGCGACGAAAACGTCACTTAAAAAGTGAACTCGCGCTACCTCAAACTTTATCGCGCTTATTCCATCTCATTTAATTCGTCAAATGTTGTAAATTTGTTTTTGGAGTTGAATTCTAAAGGACTGTATCAAAGTTCGGGCAAAAAAAAACTTGTTGTCGCGCGTTCCCGTCGTCGACAAACATGAAATTACGCACTTTCACGTTGTACATGTAGTCGTGCAACGACGGCTAAGAAATGTACAAAAAAGCATGATGCACGTGCAAAGTTGTTGTTCTGCCCATCTTAAAACCTATTGTTTTTTCGCCGTCGTCGTTGCTTGAGCTCTCTAATATTCAGGAATGAGGACAAGGATTTAGTGCACAAAACCCTTTCAGCCAACCATGCAGGCAAGATGTTCGATGCATGTGAAGAACAAATTTCGGGCGACATAACTCAAAATATTGGGCGACATGACTATAAATTTCGGGCGACATGACTCTGGTTTCGGGCGACATGACTTGGGGCGAGATGACTTTCGGGCGACTTGACCCTAAATCCTTGCACCGCCCCAGGCAAATGCTGTTCACACTGACTATACCGTAGCAGCTGGATTAATCGGTTGAGAAGTTGGCCAGTACAGTTATGTAGTCTTGTATCGATGATGGCCTGTACATTTAGTTGTTCGACTTTAAGTCATTCACCTTCGATTTGATATCTTGACAATATCTTGACCAAAACTCAGTCAGAATCTATTAATCTTGGCCAATATCGGCCCCAGTTAATTTTCAGAACGGTGTATATGTATGTAAAATTTGTTTCACGAAATTTCTAATTTTGAATTACATGTAGTTCAATGGGGAAAGCCTTAGAAAAAATGCACAAATTCGATGCCTTGCAAAACTGTATGTATGTAGAGCAAATTATCAGAAGTAACGGAGTTTACTCACCATTTCTGCAAGCCATGGCACCAAAAGTTTTCCAAAATAGTCAGTGGCTTCCCTTGGTAGCTGAGCAGGAAGATTGTCAATGGAACAAATTAGAACGCCATCTCCAGCCATTCTGCAGTTTAAAGGAAACATTGATGGACAGCCCAAATAAAACCGTCCTGCAAAACATCTAATACTATGTAGCCCGGGATGTTAAAATAGATTAGTTGTCTCCGAACGAGTGCTTTTTTGTGCGTTCTCTGCTCGATTTTGAAACAGTAAATCGACTATTTCTGCTTGTGATATCTGAGTTCCGCTATTTTCTTTCGTTCCGAAGAGTAAAAAAGTTCAGCCTCCGCCGGCTCCTTTTTTGCCTGACATCTGTTTCCCTGTTTCTGTCTTTGTAAATTACATTATTGACGCAAGAGCCATGTGGGACTTGTAAAATAATAGCAAATAACGCTCAATCCCTAGATATGAAAAATTAGCTGGGAATTGAGCCAATCAGAAAAAGAGAATCATTTTGAATGTGCTATGATGACTACAATTCTATGACTTAAAAAGTTAGGGTGGCTGACCGCCAAAAATGAGGATTATGAACCAAGGTTCTACATGACCTCCAACTTCTTGTACTTGAGCTTTTCTACTTTTTACATGTATTATTATAGTTCTTTAGTGGAGAACTGATACCATCATCCTTGCTAAATTAAATAAGGGTCAATAAAGTCCCCTGTCTCTATTAACCCTCCCCCCCCAACTGGTTTAAATAAGTTTTGAATGTTAAAGGATGAAAGCCCCCAATCTGGGGATCCCTGTCTTGGGGGGTAATTAAAAGAGGATTTAAATTAAGCCCCCTCAATTAAATTTTTAAATACATTACCCAATCTGAGAGGTGCCTGTCTTCATGTTATACTGGTGGAAAGGGTATTCTATAGTGGTACATTCTGTCAATTAAGCCCCCCTTAATTAAATGTGTTTGAACCCTGGAAAGTTTAAGGTTAAGAAAATACAATTTGGGATGCACATGGATTTATACAGGATTTAAAGGGTATTCTATGGTGGTAATTTAAAAATTTAAAAACCCTTTATTTCAAAATGGATTTAACAAATGTCTAATGAAAATTCCCTTAAAGACAATAAATTGACTGACCATTTTGTATTGTTAAAGCAACTATCTTCTTGACCCTCCCTGGTCTCCCAATGCCTTCTGTATATGCATGTGCATGCAATCTTTCATTCACAAAAGTCTACTTTTGTGCTTGCAGCAGGTGGCTCTGAGAAAAGAAGGATGTCAGCTCCCAGTCTAAAACACCTCAAAGTATTATTATTCACCCACTCGCCATTGAACCACCCATATCCACCCATGTGGATCCATGTCTCTTGTATCGCTTGTGACGTTATCATGATCAATACTAATGACATTAGGACATTTTAATAACTTGCTTAGGGGGAAAGAGATTTTTCAAGCCTAACAGAATAAGCACAATCCAGTCAAAGAGGAAAAAGGAAAAGGCGAAAAAACATGTACAGCTGACCCGAAAATTCTGATGAAAATCTTGTTCTGCCACACACCCACACTTCCTTCCATCTAATTCTACGATCCTAAATGCTTTCCTAGAAACGTCACCCATCAAAATGAAGCTTAAGTAACTTACCAGCAAAATAAAAAAATTACAGATGAAATTAAAAAATAAATAGGGAAAGAAAAGCAAAATGGAAAAATAAATACTGCTGAACTTAGTTCAAAACGATGAAGACCACAAAATTTATTGAAAACGGTTTTTCCACAAAAGGTAAAAGGGCTGGAATCTCAGTTGATCCATGGTGAATTTCTAGAGTTAAAAGTCAACATTAACACTTACTTCTCACTTTCGGTAAAACTGTGACTTAGGGGAGGGGTAGGTGGTCAGTTACCCAGCAACTTCACTTGATTCAAAGTGCTTACATCACAGTCAGCAGAAATATCACAAATTGCCAGTAATCTGTGTGGAAGGTCAGGGCATCCTTCATAAGCACTTGATCTCTTCATTGTCTTTAGCAGATTCCTTGCATCATCATAGGTGAGAAGGCGTGGCACATTGGGAGCCCAATAGGTCCCATTCACTAGGACAGACATGTAAGGTGCGATCTGTACAGAGGAAGTAAACAAGCAGTGTAAGCAGCTTTTAGAATAGTAATTATATATTTTTTTTAGCTCAGAATAATCTTGTTTTCGTTTTTATATACCAGTCATATGACATAAAAATAGCTATAATTGCAGACTATACATGTATATACCTCAAGAAATTTAATGTAGTAAAATCAAGATCTACATCAGTAATAAAAACCTTTTCAGCAAAAGTCGATCTGTATCTTTCGGGATGTGCATCATACTCCTCTGCATTAAACACTCCGCCAGCCTTAGGTACTAGGTAGTCTTCACGGCTAACTACTGTACCAATCACTTTGCGATGATCTGTGAAGTTAATTATCTATTTAATCAATAGCTCCATAAAAAATTATGAATATACAAAATGTACAAGTACAATGCCACGTATGCCAATTCTCCCGAATTATCCGGGAGTCTCCCTGATACAGCACTGACAGCGTGCAAAGAAAGTCATGTCCGATAGCCCGGGGCTGGTGGATTTTACTATCGGGCCGGTGAATTCTGTTCTTAAATTGTCTGCCTGGCAAGCGAAAATTTTTAAAGAATTCTAATCACAAAAGAACTGTAGCACATGCTATTACTATTGCACCCTGACTGATCTCCCGTTCTCCGCAAGGGGCACCAAATCGCTTGCATAAAATGGCCTTTTGAGCTTTGCTGTGCCATTTTTTCCCTCAAAATTCACTGTATGGTTTCTGGGACATTTTTTGCACATATATACGTAGTCACTGACAAAAATTATTATTTTCTATTTTCATCATTACAATGATGTTTACTTTGGTGTTTACATGTAAGATACCATTACACATGAAGTGGACCAATTTATGAGGCACATTGACCTGCCCAAGTACAAATCAAATAAATACAGAAAATAAAACTTAAACTTAAGATGCGCATGCCTGCATGATGGGTGCATGGAAAAAGACCTGTAACCCTTGACCTTTTAGATCAAATTTCTCCTTGTAATATTAATACTCTATATACAAATAGGTACAAAGAATTACTAAGGGCATGATGATCATCACATTCGATGAATTTGCTAAACAATTTGCTAAAAAAAATAACTTCTTTTATGAAATATGAAGAAGGGCAAGAAGGAGATTTTCTTTTTTTTCAGGCACTTCATTTTTCTACTTTTCATTTTCTTTATTCATCTATTTTTTGATTGTTCATACCAGTGCTCTGAATAGCTTTCTTCAGTTCATCTGGCTCAACATAGATGTGTGGAAGTTCCTGGAACATCTCTTGAGCACCCTAAAAATTTTCAAATCATAAAGTGATCTTACAGAATTTTTGCATTCCAAATACATATACAACTCTACGATTCTGGTACTGATTATTTTCAGTTGCACAGCCCATGGAATAAATTAAGGGGTAAAAATAATGCAGGTACCACAGCATAAGCTCATTTCCTAGCCTGTGGAACCTGCCAGTCCCACCTTGGACATTATGATACCTGATTTCAATATTATTGTGATAAGACTTAAAAAAATATCATGCAACTCGCAAAATAGCCCAGTGCGCAACAGAACATCAGAAAAGCCAGTGACTTACATGTACTGCAAATGTACTAGCATAGCCCACCTGTGATACATTTCCCGAGCCACTAAACACAAATGACAAAGGTCCGAAATGGGCTGGAAGTTTGCCAGCCTTTATATCTTCTCCAAGCTCATAGATGGCCAGTTTAGCAGCTCTACTGTTTTTGTAGTTATGAGTTGCACCCATATACTGAGAAAAAAACAAACAACAAACCACATATACCTTAATCAATTAATTAATAAAGTAATAAGGCTATACCTGAAGATACTGTTTATACACTTGGGGTCGATTTAATAAAACTTTTACAAGTATAATTTACAAGTGCAGTTATTATTTTCAGACACTAAAAAATAGCTACACTTGTAAATTAGACTCGTGAAAGTTGTATTAAACTGACCACAGGTGCACATGTATTTGTGGCACACACACAGCTGGGGGGGGGAGGGTGGGGATATAGAGCTCTATGGTTTTTCTTACACTCTTGAATAGGACTATTGTTATACACAGCCAACGAGATGCACCTTGTATTATGTCAGGCATACAAACATTAAAAACAAGTAAACAAGTACATGTGCCCAAGTAAGTTCCACTGTATGAGAAAGTGGATTTGTACAAAATATAATTTGCGCCTTACAAATATATCACAAATATCTTGCAAATATGTAAGAACCGAAGCGTGAATATACGGCAAAGATGGTAAATGCCACATTTACATACCAAAAAACAGGGGGTGTAAATATCTTGGTAAATGACTTGCATTTACCATGTTTGCCACATGTTTACCCCTCAGTTTTTATATATTTGCGGAAATATTTGCAAGGAGCAAATTTGTGCAAATCCCTTTTTTCGTCCCGTGTTTCATCCTGGAGTTATTAATGAAATTATTTTACATGTTTACTGGCTTACTAAGTTACCATTGTTTATTACTGTTTTCAGCTTTCCTGATCAGCTAACACTCATTGTCTAGAAACCCCTGAAAAGCCTGTGAAGCTGGTGTTCAATCCATACGTGTATTTTAAAATAAACATACCATACCATGAAAGGGGTGTGATGGCCAAGAGCAAGAAGTCGCAAACCAAGTCCATGAAGAATGTTTATCATTCCTATAAAATAAGCAATGCAGACACTGAAATCAATCTTATCATCTTTGGAATTTTATGAGCATTTTTCAGTTTTCTAAAATATTATGTTAAGTTTTAGTGTAGATAAGAATGCATTTTACTTTACTAGTTATATACACGATCCCTCAAGCAGGTTTACTGCTTGATTACAATAAAGGATAATCCATGTACTCATTCATTCATAATGGCAAAGGCCTGTATTAATTATTTATTGTTCAAATTTTGGAGGCTCTTTACAGAATTAAAATACCAAATTACAACTGCATCTACATGTAACCATTTCAAGGAGAAGTAAACAGCTTCTTGGGAAAAGAGAAATAGTGATTTTTAAAACCATTTGAAAGAGAAAAACATTTCGTGACAAAATGCTATAAAAAACGGAGACATGCCCCCGAACACACCCCCACGTTGAAAAGCTACAGTAGTATTTCAGTATTTTATAGTACGTGCCTACTTTGAAGCATTTTGTTATAAATGACATTACCTCCGACTCCCGCGAATTTACCAAAAGCGCAAACTCTATGGCCTTTTGCGTCCACCATTTTCTCGTAATCAACTATTCGTATATTCTGAAAGACAAAAACGAGACGTGGCGTACTTTTATAACAAAGATCGCCTGTACGGCCCAACTGTAATAAATTTTCACAATGTGTCTGGTCTTACAATGTACATTGTTTTAGTCGTGTGAAATTCAAAGACAATCACGAAAGGAGGTTACTAGGTACCTCTTCTAGGTTTTCACGAACGAAAATAATATACGACAACCACCATGTACAGAATTTCATAAAGAAAGCCGTGGGCGTTATTTTCTTCGTTCCCCATGGAAGTTCGAAAGCAATAGGTTATATAATGTTCGCCAGCAGATGAGTTTACTGTTATAGGAACTTGAGTTTACCTTTAACGGAAAACTGCGTGAAAAATGAAGATAAAAAGTGAACCGAGAGAATAAGATTTCCTTCAGATAATCTACAAGTTTTCCGTAAGCTTACCAATCTTCTTTCACATTCGTATTTTCACACACGTGAGGCTCTTTCTTCTCCATTAGTTGATCATCGATAGGTCGAGACCTATCTGATATGGATTAAATCATATTTCTACCTGATTTTTATCGCAAGAAATCAAGTTTTCCTCACCTTTTCCAACATAGCATCCAAAAGAGGCATATTGGCCTCTTGCGCTTTTATCGTGTGTGAGAAGAACGCGTAAGTTTTGTTCGGAATCAGCAGATCGATAGGAACAGCTTTGACACCTATAATTAAACTTGCAGGAGTTAAATCTTCCGTAATAACGGCCCCAGCTCGCTCATACTCGTCCATCGTATAAGCCCGTCTTGTAGAAGGCTGTACAAGAACTTTGATTCCTTTATTAACAAGTTCCGCTACATGAGAAGGAGCGATTGGGGCACGTCTTTCCCAAACGTTGATATCTTCCCGCCGAATCGCCATGACACGTTCTGTCCTCTCGGAACTGAAATTCCGCTGCAAAGACAACAAATAACGCGAAATGATGCCATATCTGTTGGTTTTTATGCTTTTGACGGTCCACATGGTCGAACTTTGCAAAGGAGATATCACAAAAATGGTTAGACCGGACAGACCGGAAAATATATTTTAAAAAAACACTATTGCGCGGCCTACGAAATGGCCAGTGGGAAATATGAACTGTGGACTGTGGACTGCGGACTGCGGACTCAGGACATCTGGCTATGGACTGGGTGTACAGCATCATTAGGCCAAGTTTAAATTTCAAAATGATAATCCTGCCAACTACGCTTGACCAAGATTGTAGGTAAGTAAAACGAGGAGAGATCAACCTCCTTTCAAGACTTTGCCCTTAGAAAATGGTCCCATTTTCTTTTGATCTTTTCGTTTACATCTCTCTTCAAAGGGTTGGTACGGTCATGCAGAGGGATAAAACTCAGATTAAAATTTTTTCGAGACTTTCCTGGAAGTCGAAGGTTGGTTTGGATTCCCAACACGGCCCTATATATACAGTTTTTACCACCTCGTAGGCAAGATAAGTATTTAGTCCCAATTAGTACTCTTAATTAGTTCTCTAAAGCCTGATTTGACGCATGCGCTAAACTCTCTCTCGTACCACTCCTTCACGACCTTGGCTGATGACGAAATAGAATCATGATTAGTCTTCCCAGTCGCAGCAAAATCATGATACCAACAATACATTGGACAAACGGCAGAAATAAACTATCCGAAAGTACAAGAATGTGATGTTTTCTCTCACTAACTTAATTAAAACTGAGTCACTGGTGAATGATCCTGGAAATCGCCATAGGCATTGAACTGTTGTTGTTGGTATGGATAGTTTGTTAGAGGTTGGACTGACTATCAGCTCTGCATATGCCAACACCCTTTTTCCCATATTTTGCTAAGAAATCACCTCCGCAGATCGCTGATTAACTAAGTTGAATCAAGAGCTCAATTTAGTTACACTGCAAGGTTTCACGTAGTCTCCTTCGCCTTCGGCCCGAGCGGCGGCGATGCAGACTATATATGGGACCTCAAGATTGTGCTATGAATTCGGGGAAAAGTTCCTCCCTCAACCAGAATGATGGGAGAAAATTATAGATCATTTCACCTCAGTCACGTCACCTTTGGAGCGGAAAAATACCTCCAACGGTCTCCAAAGCCCGCTGTCACGCAAAGGTCTTCTTTGGAAGCAGAAATAAGACATGGGGTATGAAAACTGGCTGCATAGATTGCAAGAAAGGATGATCCCATAATCTTGTTTTGCCAAGCAAGAGGCCGGTAAAAGGCAGACAAACTACAATCAGTGACAAAATTGGTTGCGACGCTTTGCCTTAAAGGGGCTTTTTGACGTTTTACCGAATTAAACGGGTGAAAGTAGTACTTTTCCTCCCCCATCCCCTCCATGCAATGTAGTGCCACTGTTCGAGCTACGTGTAGAAAACAAAAAACACCCCAACTTTGAATGGAGGGCAGGGGAAGGGTTGAGGGTGGTTGAAGTTACCCTGTTTGAGTACAATGTCTCAACAATTTTGTCCTCGATTGTAGGGTTTAAAAGCCGGTTACGGATTGCACAGAAACTGAACCTTATGAGGTTATATAACTAACTGGAGTAGCCTTTAATTAAGGTACAGCGGACCACCCTTCACTCGGGTCACGGCAATTCGGTCATTTATATTTAATTGTTACTGTACCATTGAGAGTGAACCCCGCCTAACAAGCGAATTCCTCATGAAAAGTTTCGGATTGCCCTCACTTAAGTTTGAACCCCAACCCCACTCACACTTTTCTCGGTAAAGGTTTTCAGGATAACCCCTACCTCCACCTTGATTATTCTGGATATCACAAAAACTTCATCCAATAACTGTTTATAAACAGTTTATTCTACAGGAAAGTACATTCTAGGGTTTCAAAAGCTAGAGCATTTTATGGATACGAGGCAAGTAATCAACAAGCAGCACAACAAAGACAGACGAACTTGTCAAAAACTTTAAATTCAATTTACGCAGTCAAGTCTCGCCTTTTTGGGACTTAAAGATCCAAGGAAGCGACAGCAACGAGAACGTCTAACAGCAATAGGTTTAATATAAGCAAAATAACAACTTTGCACGTGCAGCACATTTTTTGTACATTTCTTTCCCGTGTTTACACGACTACAACGTGGAAATGCCTAATTACGCGTTTTATGGAGAAGTGTAAACAAGCAAAGACCAACTTTTATTTCTCTTTCTAAACTTGGAAATGGTCTGCCTTGGAATTATTTCAACTTCAGGAGGGTTCGCCTACATTTGACAAAGTAAGTGGGTAGGAATAATATTACGATAAAGACTGAAAGAACGCAAACTCCCAATTTTTTAAGCGCCGTTCTCGTTGCTAATTGCGCGTCGATGGATCTTAAAGTCCCTAATATTTCGAGACACATATCTGCTTCTTTAAACTGAAGGCTTAAGAAATAAATTTAAAGACTAGAGAAGAACTGAAGTTAACTGAGGCACTAGGCAATTTTCTTTGATTTAAGTCCTAACTGGTTCCTGTTGCTCAGTTTGGGTTTCTTGACCGATTAGCGGCCAATTTGTTAAGTTTCATACCGCTACGAAAAATCTGTTGAACGAATGCTCGTTATTACTAGCTTCTAATTTAAAAAAAATTGCAGTCGTATTTAAGAAACTTACTCTGGCCTGGAAGATATAACAGCCGAGGAATGACACGTATGGCCAGCAGCGAGCTACGGCAAGTATTTTTTTTTTTTTTTTTTACCATTTTATACAGAATCATCACAAGCAAGCACTTCTACTATTATTTTTTTACTCGTACAAAAATAGCGTATTCATTATGGCCATTTATACGAGGAAAAATAAGACGCGTCTTACATGAGACGCGTCTTAAATAAGACGCGAACTGTACCATTTATACGAGCATGTCTTATCTAATAAGACGCGTCTTAGCTAAGCCGCGTCTTATTTTAGACGAAATGTGCCATTTATACGGAAAGTTCGCGTCTTATTTAAGACGCGTCTTATTTTTCCTCCTATAAATGGCCCTAGTAACGTTCATTTTCTAAAATAAATGTTCCATGGTTTTATGAAAAAAGCGACAAATTTCGAAAGGCCGCTTTCACAAATTTCCGCCCTCTGGTGGCACCGAATCACAGTCTTCTTTTTCGCTGATTAGTTTGGCCCGTTTAATTATAATTAAAACAACGAAGCACCAACCGCTAAAAAAGCTTTTTCATGATGCCGTTCGTCTTCCACAGCTGCTTCCACACCATATATAGAGTCACTTTTGCTGCGTGTTTATTTGTCCCATCATGTTCATTCTATTCATCGATATCTGGCTAATTTTTCTGGTAAGCTTGGTAATTACAATACTTCTGCTGTTTGTTTGGTAGTTGTTATTCAAATTTTAAAACTTGTTCATTTTTAACACATGTGCGGCTCTTTTGTGTTCGCTTTTCGTTTTATGTAAGCATGAGTGTTTTAAAACTGCACCATTTCATCGTTTTCAACAGGTTATTATTAAAAAAAAAAATCATGGAAAGAGCAGGCCACTGCGATCATAGTCAAAAGAGGAGATCGGTTATGAAAGCCCGCAAACATCAAAGTCGAAAACAACGGTGCTGTAGGTTATGTTCGAAGCTCCCTGACCGTGCACAATCCTTTGTTGTTTTTTTTTACAAATTGTTACTGTATAAATTAATGCGACGTTTCTATTGGTTACTATGTTCAAAATGATAGGAATGCTATTGAACGTTGTGAGAGGTCAGGTCCAAAAAAGCTAACAACAACATATAACAAAGGAGTCTAACTGGTTTCATAACCATTCCACGAAACAAATATACTGAGATGGAACGGGAAGCCATTATAGAACCAAAGAAAACTGTTATTCATTTCTTTTGCGCAGGTATTTTTTTTATACGTAGAAATTGATTAATTAGTAAACTTAAGGACGATTTCTCTTCAGTCTCTTTTGCTTTATTAATATCCATGTTACAGTAATTTAGTTTTCCTACGCATGCGTTTAATACATCGAAAATGACCCTTTCTGCGGATATCAGTATGTCTGTTTAGTACTAGTACGAGCTGAATCAGTCAATCAATCAATCTATCAACCAACCAACCAACCAACGTAACCAGTTAATCAACAATAAGTCAATCAATCAACTAACCAACGTAACCAACCAATCGATCAACCAATTAATCAATCAATCAATCAATTAATCATTCAGCCAACCAACCAACCAAGCCACCAATCTTTCACAGTGGCGGATCCAGGGGAGCGGCCCGGGGACGCCGCCCGCCCCTTATTTTTAGTCGAAACTGAGGCCAGAATGGCCAAAAAAATTTTATTGGAGACCGGGCCCCTCCTTATCTAAGGGTCTGGATGACCGTCCCCACCCCCCCCCCTAATCTCAAGGTCTGGATCCGGTACAGAATCAATCATCCAAACAATCAATCAATAATCAATCATTCAATCAATCAATCAATCAATCAATCAAACAGTCAACCAAACAATCCTGAATAAATCAATCAATCAATCAATCTAGCTATCTAGATCATAAAATCAATCCATCAATCAATCAATCAAGTAAGCAAGCAAACAATCAACAATGTCATCAGTAGCTGCCAATTATCATCATATGCTTAGATAAGGAATAAATCAATAGCACTTTTTGCTCTTCCTCTTTAACAACAGACGAGCTTTCATCAGAGCAATTTTTGCCCTTTTTGTCGAGCTCCGGCAGATGTGGTCGTTCGGTCCCGTTGGGTACTGGCCTGACCAGTAGAACACTGACATCCAGACATTCATGTTGGTGAACTTAGTCAGCTAAAAGACAATACATATTAGAAACTTAAGAGCTGGTTGGGGTACCAAACAAAATAATGTTTCTTTAAACAAAAGATAAAATAATAATCATAATCATAATCAAAATGATATTAAAAAAACAAATTGTTGGTCACGCGGGAGGCATGGAGGATCGACCTTCAATTGGTAAAAACGACGCATGCGACATATGTTCTTTTCATGTTCTACCATGTCATACACTAGTAATTGGTCATAGTCGCATTCTATGGTTACAAGAAATGATATCATAAGTCACATGGCGTCAAACCATTTTCAACCCAAAGGCCAACTTGCTGTTGCAACAGCACCGGAAGTTACCGTTTGTTTAATTAAAACATATTTTATATATGAAGGGTACGAACTGTAATTTCGTCAGTATGCTAATAAACACATAGTCAGTGGAATCCAACACTAAGGCCCTAGACCCCGGTGGTGTGGCCAACCTTTCCTGCGCTGGGTGGGTTATCTGTATGGAGAGATCTTAATACAGGGATACAATACAATACAATACAATCTTCAATGACACTCCCTAAGGAGGGCTTTTCAGGGATAACCTCACGATCCTCCCTCGGGTGTTATGTCGTAATAACTACCTGTAAACAGTGTATGCATATGTATGTAACTATGTTGAATGACTTCAGAAGGTAGCCAGTAAAGTCATATCCCATAATAGGTCATAATATCATCAATTAAAAACCTGCAAAGCTTACCAAGAACTCTAAAAGATTTTTAAATATACTACACAGCCTAAACCCTTTGTTTTTCAGAAGGGAGAAGGGAGGGGTATGTGTGTGCGCTTTTTGGGGAGGGAGTGGTGGGGCAAATTTACATCGTCCATTGCTACTTACGTCGAGATCTTTACAGTTGGTATTTGTTATGAAGCCGTCTGCAGTACATTCCATGTTGTTGTCTTTGGGAATTTTCAACTCATAACTGCCAAAAGGACTTTTGCATTCTTCCCTTCCCAGAAGGCTGTCTGTTCGAAGACCTTTTCCTTTGTTAAGGGGATTGTCGCACATCCCAATCCAGCGAGCATCGTCCTCTGTGACGCAATACTTTGTACACTCTGGCGAATGAAATTATTGTTGTAAACTGTTGTTTTTCAGAAAACTTTATGATCTGAAGATAGTGGATAATGTAACTTGTTTTCAATTTTTCTGGTGGCGAAACCGTGTAGAAAAACGCTATCAACTCTCTTTTTTGGTTAGGAAACTTATGTTCTTTTAGAAACAACCTTGCCCTTAAATTTGAATTCCAACGCACTCACAACACTTGCGGCCTCCAACACACCCATTTCGCTTTACAAAATACACTATCCCTAATTTAATGTATTCTTACTAGCTTCGCTTTCCCGGCACTTGGTTTCATCGCTGATGGTAAATCTGTCAAACCTAACAGTCCTGAATCCACCAAGAGGTTGACGATATGATTTCACCGGTGTCTCGCTGTCAGCTGAACGAAAATAGGAACCGCCAAGATGGCGTAATTGGATGTACATCTTTCTAGGCACATTGGCAGCTTGTTCGGCCCCAAAAAGCTCGATGTATATCTGCAAGTATGAGACAATGAACTTTTTAGCATCGGATAATTATGTTTTGCAAATGCAAAATTAAACTTTGGTAATGTATTCAAAATTTTACCTTTAATAGACGGACGTTGTAACAAGTCTCGCAACTACGATCAATGTTGATGCTAAATGTTGTCTCCCCTTGGGCAAGTTCGTCAAATATCTGTAGGGAATAAAAAGGCAAAGAGCCACTGACAATATCACTGATATTGCGCTATGTACGTACTGTTTGATATGATCAGAAAAGCGAATGTTTATCCGCACGATCCGTTTACAGGGAAAGGACATCACCTTTATTTATCATTGATTTTACGAACCTACGACCTCTCCGCAGTGGCGGATCCAGGGAAGGGGCCCGGGGGCCCGAACCCCCTTATTTTTAGGCCAAAGTGAGGCCCGAAGGGCCGAAAAAATCTGGGTCTGGATGACCCCCCTTATCCGAAGGTCTGGATCCGCCACTGTCTCGTCTGCGAGTCCAACGCTCATCCTAGAAAATTTGGTAATCACGTGACTGTACACTGTCCTTCGCACCACAGGCACACCAATACAATGTAACTCAATCAACGGGTATGGCAACCCAAATGCAACGGAAGAAAATCGCATGTCCGCCCGAACTTTTGGTGATAAAAACAACAACAACAACAACAAAGTCGCGTCTTTCGACGTTATTTTTGATATTTACACTCATGAGGATAACAGAGAAAGAGCTAGGGAGACGAATTTCATTGGAAGAAAAACATGAAAATTTCATAGCGGCAGTGAGAAAATGAGAAATGTTAGCGGCCAGGTGAAAATGAGCGGCAGTGAAAAAAAAAGCGAACATGAACACAGGAAATAAAATCTTTGGTAAGCACATGCGACAATTCCTCCATAAAAATAACGAGTATGACGTTTTAGTCGTACAAAACGGCATTGTAGTCGTGAAAAACAACGGCAAAGAAAGATAAAAAAGCGTGCTGCACGTGCAAATTTGTTTTTTTGCAAATTAGAAAAAAAAAAGCGTGCCGCACGTGCAAAATTGTTTTGTTTTGCTAATTAGATCTGTGGATCTTGATGCCATTTTCATTGTCCTCCCCTTTTAGCATTACACGATTTATTTCAGTTTCTGTTTATAAGTATTATTAACGAGAGCTTCGCTTTTAGCCCTGGCTAAATCTATAAATTAATCTAATGAGGTGTTTGTAAAGCGGGGTTTGACTGTATTTTGCAAAGTGATCACACTGAGAAATAACTGGAAAGTAGCAGCAGCTTGGCTCACCGCTTTGTTGTTGGTTTTATCGAAACTCCACTTCTGAATATCAGTGCTGTACGGATTAATCGAGAAACACGTCACAGCCTTAGACTTGATGTCTTTCATATTTTGAAACACGTCTGTTAATTGTACTGCTCCGTTGAGTCTCCCGACGCCATAAGCACTTTCAGAGGCGATCCTACGGAACGAGCGCATGACGTCATCTAACACCCACAGGGTACGGAAACCAAGGGCTTTATAAAGCCCGTATAGCTTTTCCATAAACATTGTTTCCAGTTGTCTGTATGTGCTGAGCAGATTATCGGTGAATGTTTGCTGAAGATTGCTGCTTAAGGAACCACCTTATATGACAACAACAACAAAAAAAAACAAAGAAAAGAAAAGAAAAAAAGAAAGAAAAAGGTGAAAACAAGAGAACGTGAATTGAAAAAAGATATTGTTTATTCTTGGCTTGCAACCATGTGACAAGGCGGCTAGGCTGGTGGTGTGTTGGTGGTCAATACAATAGAATTGTCTCTCGTAGAAGTTACTTGAAAATAGGGTCTGGTTCCCAGAAGAGAGAAATGCTTTTGTTCTTAACCCTAACACACCCCCACCATGGTTGCCGTGACGTCATGTGCAAACCAGCAGGTAACTGGCGCAACATTGCGCGGAGGGGATTGGAGGAGGGGACTGGGTCGAGGTATGAACCGGAAGGTGATAAAATGAATTATTATTAATTTTCTATTAACTGGAGTCTTGAAACATACTAAAAAGGGCTTCCCTAATTATTTTAGAATCTTTTTCTCTTGGTGGGGTTTCCTAGAATACTTGGGGGGGTCCTAATCTCTGAGCTACAGCGGAACATAAGCCGTAAACATATGGGCTATTAACTATTTCAGTGTCTTTCCAGAGAGATAAAATGAAGAAGGAAGCAGCCTGAGGAAAAAAAGGAGACATTTCGTCACGTCACTCCTGGTTTCCTCGCGAAAAGACTTCTGCAGAACGAACGCAGATCTGGGTAGTGCCTCTGATTGTTCGTACTGCGAGGAAAATTTGTTTAAACCAATCAGAAGCACTACCCAGATCTGAGAAGTGTAGTGTCAGTATCTCAGACATCATGCCGCAGGGCAACCAGTGTTGGCGTCTCAAAATGACGGCTGTTTTTTCAGGCTAAGAGGGAAATTAGTTTTGATTTCATACTTTCCGAATCCTTTACTTCAGAAACTGCTCTAGCTGTATCCTTAAGCACAGGAATATCAAAGTTGTATCCTCCAATCTCGTTATCAATGTCCATACATTTTGCTATCATATCTATGCGAGATGATCCAACGATGAAATAGGACTCTATTTCTGCTTCTAGATCTGCAGTTAAACTTGGTTTGGAGTGCTCGTCTAACAAGCACACTAAATCTACAGCCAGTTGTTCTTTGCTTATCTCAAGGTTGGCCTAAATTTCAAAGGAAAAACATAAAGGATATATAATTCGAAAGTAAGTCTCAGCTAAAATGTACAGCTCATTCCATTTTTAACATATGTGTTTAATCAAGTCTATGCCAGAGCTTATTATTTCAGACTCACAATTGTTTTCAGATTTATAAAATTTGGGGTAGTTGGAGTTCGTAAGTGTTTTCACACGTCAATTAATCACACGTTCATTTTTACAATTACAATTTACCAGTGTGGTTATTGTTTTCAGACTGTAATTAATGGGTACAGTTGTAAATTACACTCGTACACTTTAATAGTCCCCAGATGGAGAGTAACCACTCCAGACACCGATAACAGCAGAGCCAGAGAAACTACTAAACTTGGACACAGCTAGTTTGCATCCAACTGATGATAAGATTATATTTCAGGGGCGAAATAGTCTATTGCCGGTGTTTGTCTAACAATTCGGCCACGCAGACGTCTAATACACCAAGAATAAGGAGGAAAGAGGCGGGTGGGGGAGAAATTCCTTCCTTAAAAGTTGAAATATTTGGCTCAATAATATTTTAGAGGACAAATCATGCATTAAGCGCAATGTTAGCAGTTTAACTCAAAAATTCTATACCATACCACTAACATTATATAATCAAATGCAAAATAATTTATGCTAATTTATGCAACGAAGCATTAATCATGACAGATACTGACCTGCATAATTTCAGGGACTGAATTAATATCGACCAGAGAAAAGTCCAGGTCGCTCGAGTCTTCCAGAGGTACGTACTCCTTCCCAAAAGTCAACCATTTGTTGATACTTCTAAGAGAAGAATCAAGTGATATGCGGCATGGCGCATTGGAAGCATAAGACGCAATGTCAAGAGCGGTGTTGATGAAGTCAAAGGGATCCTTTCCAGCTATAGCGCTAGCAAAGCCCGTCATTCCCTGGAGTACTGCGATGGTTTCGTCGCGATTTAGCTTGTCCTGCACCTTCTTTTGAGCGTTTCGTAGCATGTTCTTGATCTTGATAAGTATGGATTTCATTCTTCCTTCCTGAGTTTTGATAGCCTTCCAACAAATCAAAACGTTTTTTAATAGGTTTTCCAGATTGGATGTTACTACTGTTCTATAACTTTAAATTGGCTCATCCTACGACTACCAAAATTACACACGATAACGTACTCATCATTTCCAACTTCTGGGCATAACTTGATCGACGCAGTGGCGTAATCTAAGTCATTCTGACGTCATATTGTTGAATTTATTGGCAGAATCAAAATTTCCCTCAAGGTAGACGTGAAGCGAAAAGTACTTAAATAATTATATGAAAGTAGATCATCGCGGTTAAAGACGCAACTTTTGCAGTTGCGAAAAGAAAGCCTGAAAAAATTCAAGCTTGTGCGGGATTCGAACCCTTGACCTCTGCGATACCAGTGCAGCGATCATACCAATTGAGGTGTTTTAGAGTTCTTTTGAAGCAAAGGAAAGAATTTCAACCATGAATGAAAGCTGAAACACAGCATCAGTGTGCGGGGGACTACGTGAAATTAAATTTAAATATCTATACGTACATTAACATACATTCCTTTTTGCTTTAACGCAACCGACTTTGCTTCTTCCAGTCGGGCTATTTGGGCGTTAACTTGTTTAGATGAAACATCTGCCAACTTAGACGCCATCTGTGGAGGAATATCATACTAGTGTTTAAATGAACTTAGTGCCCCATTCGTAATAACAATAAAAATAATAACCATAATAATAATTATTATTATTATTATTATTATTATTATTATGATAACAATTGTCATAATGGTAATGATGATGATGATGATGATAATAATAATAATAATAGTAATAATGGTAATGATAATCATAATCGTAATCATTATCATTATCATCATCATAGTAATTGGCTCTTGAGTAATGATAATGATAATAATGGCGATGACGACGATGATGACGATGATGATGGTGGTGATGGCGATTGGAAAATTGTAATTTGTAGCGGAGTCCCGTATTGCAATTACTTTTCTCAAGTTCTTTTAATCTCGAGTGAAGCGGGGCCACGTTAGGACGCTGCATTCCAAACAAGTTCTATTCCTTCAAACGAACTGTAAACTTAGAAAAAAATAAAATGCCCAACCTTTTAAAGTTAATTAGAAAGGCTGACCTGCTGGAAGTTTTCCTTGTCTTGCACGGTAGACAAGATATCGTTGAAAGCATCTTCGTAGGTTTTAGCAGCGTCCTTTATTTCTTCAACGTCTTCTTCAAGTTTTCCCCACTTGACAAGAGGGGCAAATAACTGGTTGTTTCCAAAAATGTCATAGCCATATTGTCCCAAAAACCCAAGCTTCCTGTTCACGTCTGACAGTAGTTGAGAATAAAGAGTTTTAGAATCACGTTTACGACAAACGGCAAACGTCAGAGTTCAAGTTGGAAATAGAGAAGACAAGTGATGACGTCATAAAACTAAATCTGTGGAATTATGAAAAGGGTTAGGTTACTCAAACACAACAAGGAGAAGGAAGCCCCCTTATCAAAAATCAGCCTGTTGGTCCAAATTGTTGGGGAGATACAGGCAGCGTTATGCTCCAATGACTCCACATACATCCTTCTAAAACAGGCCTAGATCGTAAACGTTACTATCGATGCCTCGATGGCATAGCATTACGTGGAAACGCACCGTTGGTCTTGGCGACCAGTATCTTGGATTTCACAACAGAGTGTTTCCATGACCTGATGTTTCTGTTTTATGAACTTTCCTGACTGGGCATCGCATACCTTTCTTTAATTGCTCTACATCATCTCTCTCTTCTACAATACTTTTTAAAAACTGCAGTGTACTTCTACCCTGTCGATTATTGCTGTTGCCTAGCAACAAGTCGACGGCTTGTCGCCTCATGAGAAGGAGTAGCTCCTGTGGATAGCCCCTTTTGATAGCTGCGTTTAATCTTCCCGATGCAATTGAAGAGTCCTCTACCACACCATCCAGTCCTTTTTTAGAAGGAGCTGAAAGTTTTGAAAACAATTTTAGCTGGTTTTTGAATGGACCTCTGAATGCTTTATCTCTTAATTGTGATATTTTTGGCATCTGTTAACCGTGTTATAATTTCAACCATAAATAATTTCAATTTGTCCCATCAAGCGAAGATGTTTAGTCGACCACTTTGAGACACTTTAGGAAACGTTCCAGATAACAACGATAGCAACAACAGCAACGAACATGTTGGAATGCAAAAAAGGTGCTAACTTTTCTATTGTCTGTACTTACTTCTGATTGGCTTAAATAGCAAAAGTTAACAAAACTTCATCAAGCAGTACATATATTCATCCTTACTTTCCAACCACCTTCCACATAACAAAATCTGGTCTCAGTTTGAATAACAAAGAAATCCTATGTGGGGAACATGTAAAATTGTAAACTTTTCTTGGCTATTGTTTTCAACTCTTGTGATTGGTCAAAATCTTTTAACACAAAAAAAACACTCTTTCAAAGTTGAATGTAAATGCATTTTATTGCGTAAACGGCCTTCATGTAGGTTTCCACATGAAATTTGCTAATTTCACACGCAAAAATTCTTTCTCTTTTTGTAAACTTTAATACGGTCCTTCGGATTCAACTCCAGAAAATTTCGCCAAAATTTGACAAACTTAATAAAACTGAATAAGATCGATGAAGTTTGAAACAGTGAGAATTCATTTTTTAAGAGACATTTTCGGTTTGTTGTCATCCAAAAATTCTGCTACCATGGCAACGTAGAGTGACCTAACGATTTCTTCTCTCTATTGTGCGCATTAAGTCTTACTTGATCCGGGAAACCCCAGCATCCCCTCTGTCTCCTTTTGGACCTCTTGGAAGTGGATCTCCATATTTTTTACAGCCTGTGGTTGATTTTTCTGGCCATGGTACATTGTAGTATGTCTCGCACTTTGCTCCATGTCCTCCTTCGCCACCTTCGCCACCTAAAGTAACCAGTTTTCGTGATTGATATTCTTGCAGTTTGATATTATTGCATTGTTGAGAGACCCTCTTTTATTTAGTTGATTATTATCATTATTATTATTATTATTATTACTGATGACGTCACTATAGTAGATATGACATAGGAAGATATTTTACGGCAAATTTTATCTTGTTGTGATCTGACCTTCTTCTAGGTATAAAATTGCCAAACTTATAAAGCTTTTAAAAAAAATGCATCAAAGGATTCTGGGAGATTTTTACTGTTGTCATAATTTTACTTTTATAAATTATATTCACTATTTTGCAGATATATCAACTCATTTCAGCTAATTTCCGGTTTTTCCGAACCGAGGAGGATGCAGTGTGAACAAGCTCCGGTTAGTGCTTTGGACTTTTAATCTGGAGGCCCCTAGTTCGATCCCTGCCCTGACCGCTAGCTGGACTTATTCTCAGCAGTCCCGAGTTCAACTTTTAGAGCGCGCTTATTTTATAAACTGCCAACTAGCTTGCCTTCGGCAGTTGGGAGTCTCAACCTTGTGGGCCACAATGAAAAGTACTGGTTTACCCGTAATTGTGTTACCCCTTTAAAGACAGTTTTTTAAACCTTGGGTCATAATAAATGGAGGCCCCCTTACCTTGACCCCCTTGTCCATTCAAGGCAGGCGGTGCTCCTTTACCCCCGCAGGTCTGTAATTGCACTGTTCCAGTATGCTTCGTGTAACGAATGATTATACGTCCGGCTGTCCCTCCTTTGCCTAGAAAATAAATTTAACATCGTGAAAGGGCGAAGTTGGGAAAGGCAGGGTGGCTTATCGAAAGATCAGCGGAATTGCAATCGGGCTTTCCTAGCTGGCGCGGGGGGACACTAGCTAATTTTTTTTCCCGAGGAAAATCGAAATCAAATCCGCATATCATGTTGTTATGTAGGATACCTAAATACGTGTTTGTTTGAGTTGCTTTTGTTAGCCAGACCCAAGCATTCCATACCTGGCAATCCTGCATTTCCACCGTCTCCACCTCTTTTCCCCTTGGGACCCTGGGCCCCATTAACGTTATGGCAGTTGTCATAGCCTACGGCCTCGCAGTCGTTGGTAGTCTTGTCAGCTGTCTGATAAAAAGAAGAGTATGTGGTTTAAATATTAGGATATATTGTAAGAGGAAATATAAGACACGTACGTCTTACATAAGAAGCGTCCTAAACAAGACGTAAACTCTCCCGTATAAAAGGCACATTTGAAATTTGCCTTCTGTACGAGACAGTTTGTGTCTAAATATTCAGGATGCGTCTCATTTTTCGTCGTAATATAAAAGGCCCTATTGTTCCTTTTGTCTCATTTTAGATTGCAAGTGAAGTGAAAAAAAGATCGGGCGGGTGTTTCTCTTGTACTCTTCAAGGTGGGTAACATGACATTAAAAGTGAGTGTCTTTGGTAGAATTAAGGCTGCTTACCATTAAGTCGAATAACGTGAAGATTTCGGGGCGGTTTTAGTGAACATTTGTAAACCACTATTTTTGCAACCCCAACCCCCCAGAAAAGTATTATTATTATTATTATTATTATTATTTTGTAAATTTTTAATCATATAGTTTTTTGTTAGTTAATATGCTTTTATATGTCATGCGCATTTGATCATATGCACATGTAATTGGCGCAATATAAGTAATAAATTTATAATAATAATAATAATAATAATAATAATAATAATTATTATTATTATTATTATTACTATTGCTATTACTCACAGGCGGAGTGTTGTTGAGTCCGTCATCACCAGGTCCACCGTCTTGTGCTTTATGCCCATTTCCAGCAATAGCACTTACATCGAAAGCGCCGTTGATAACTTCACAGTTAATTTCGACTGTAAATAAAACAGTTGGAAATCAGTTTTTGGTTATTATTTTTTGATAAGCGTCAAGGAGTTGCTTTGTCGTAGAGAACTTTTTATGTACTTAAAATAAAGGATCGTCAATTGCGTCTTAATGACACGCCGAACTGTGTAGGTCGATTTGCCGCCTCGTTGCTAAAGCTATACTGAAACGGATGCAGTAGTCTACACTTATATGCATACCTGCAATATCGAAAGCGTGTTCTGTGGAGAAAAACTTAACAATGAAATGATCGGCATGAAAGGTGGTAAATGCTATCGAGGTTGCTGAACGATTAATATTAATCATTAATCATTCAAGATATTTCACCGTTTGTGATTGGTCTTAATCCCCCAGCTTCCAAATATGGCGCTTACCATTTTTGAAAGATGTAAGCACTAACCGGCCGATTCGATGGATTAGTGCCTGATAACCCGTCAAGGATCAACCTTGTTCCCAGGCAGCGGCACGGATAAGGTAAGGTTATTTTTTTAGGTATTTTTATTTATTTGCCACACAATTACATTACTTAAAGATGCCAAAAGAAAAAAAAAAAAAAATGTAGGAAGAGATGGCGAGGAGGCCTAAAAGAAACTATAGAGCTTATGTTAATTAGGCCTCCTCAATTACAATTTTTCGAAGATGGCATAAAAATTACGGCGACGGGTACAGTATAATATCAGGTGAAAAATTAAACTAATCAATATTACGGAAGTTTACATGTACAAATGTTGAATATTAAAAGGCTTTTTCCCAAGATTTTTGTTGAAGTATACTAATAATTATTACAAATAAATGCCTTAAGTGCTCTTTTAAAGGAGAAAGGTGAGGAAGCGTTGATGATGTTGGTGTTTAAGGTGTTGTAAAATTTAGGTCCTTGATAAAAAACGGAAAATTGCTTGGTTCGAGTACGACAGAAAGGCAGACGAAATTTACACGAGTTTCTTGTATTATACGAATGAATTTGACTTTGTAAGGTAAATTTACAATGTTGTTAAGAAGGTTGTTAAGAACTTAGAAATATTTTGAATGAACAACAACATAACGTTCTTTTCGATCTGCATAATTCTTCACACCGTACTCAACCTCATTCAGTAATTATAAATACTCTCATGCTCTCAGCGTAAGGCACAGAGAACAAATCTTAGTATCCCTTGAAATTAAATATTGCGCACTATAATACACGTCAACTCTCTTTGCTTCTTTCAAACCTATGTATGCATGTACGTTTGGTTTGACTAGAAATGAGTTCTCTTGTTAGCACATGCACGCTAAACAGACCTACTTAATGGACATCCGCCTACCATGGGGTCCAGCCTCTCCATCTTGTCCTTTTTCGCCGTCCTTTCCATTCCCATTAAATTGAGTTCTTTGTGTGTCTTGAAATTCCTGAATCCAATCTGGTGTGATTACTTTCAACTTACTCCCTTTCGAGGCGACAATTTCTCTGGCGAATATTTTAATATTTCTGATACCATAAAACTCAACTTCGCCCTGTGAGGAAACAAGACAAGATGTGGTGGTCTTAATAGGTAAAAACGTACTTACTATTTTTATACCAAAGTCGAACACTTGCCAGTAATCATAAGATTTTACTTTCATATTCAGTAGTTGATCAACGGATGAGCGAGAATTGATCTATTTCTCTAACGTTTGCTCAATACATCACTGAGACAAGCGTTCGTCTATTGAAGGAAATTTACCTCAATGTAGAAAATGTCTGCAAGAATGGTTAGTCGCTGGACTAGCTCCATTGAATTTCTTGTAGCAGCATCAAAGTTTGAATCCTTTAACGTCAGTCGCTCTTTTAAGTACTGTGCATTTATAACTCTACCAAGGGCTTCATAGTGACCTTTGGAGAACCAAGGTAAAACAGTGACAATTGGAAAATTAAAAAAGTACACCTTGGTTACAGCCAATAATTTTGCTTAAGCAAAGACTGTAGTAACCAGGGAAACTTGGAAACAAGGGTCATGCAAAATCTTGGGGAGTAAACAAGGTGTATTATGGGGAATGTGAAAATGGCGAATACTGTAGGATTTGGGGATGGACTATTATAGTATGATTCGAAAAGGTTTAAATTAATTATGTATGATGTCAGTTGTTCGGCTAATCCGGTTTTTCTTCTGCCTCAAAAACCAATAATTTCAAATTCCAATTCAATCACTAAAGCAAGAAAAGTTTAAAACGAAGTCATAGTTTAACAGTTGAAAGTATATTTAACATTTACTTCGATTCTCAAACGTACCTTGAGAGATCTGTACTATTGACGGTGTGAGAAGCCACGTTAGTTCTGGGATATTTGGACGTGGCAATCTCGTGTCACTTTTCCATCGACCAGCCGCACACTCTTTCCATTTGTAGGGGCCATTTTTGGGAGCATCTTAAAGGAGCAAAAATTCATGCGAGGTCATTATAACTCATCAAGAAATGGCTCTTGAACTGTGCTATTAGTGAGTGTTGTATAAAAAGTATTCACCGAAGTGAAGGTGGCTATAGTGAAAATTTACCGAGCCTTGAAGCGGCGAGGTAAAAATCCACTACTAGCCACCGACACTGAGGTCAATAATTGTTTTAGTATATACTAAATAATATTAGGGGGTGATGAAGCTGAATATACTTTTGCATTGTCAGTGTACTTTTATTTGTTGTGTTGTAAAGCTAAAGACAACTAGAGAACAGAGGAGCTTTGTCAGTTAAAGCTAAAATGTTCTAGGCTCCGGGACAGTAGAGAAAAGTTGCGCAAAAAAACGCGTGGGGGCGTTAACTGCTCCTATACCCAAACAACACAAACGAAACATCTCTGCACGTTTTTCCAGAGGCGACTGATTACCTGGACAGCCATATAACTCTACCCTCATCGATATATGGTTGTGCCACGTGACTGGTAAAAAGCGGATATATGGTGCGATGATAGGTGGGTTGAGGACATAAGGAACGACAGTACTCCGATCAGTGTTACCCGAGAAAACCTATAAATAAATAAATAAATAAATAAATAAATAATAAAAAAATTAAAGAAACTGAAACAAACAAAAGCAACGAAAGCAAGACAGATAGGTCCTTTAGAGTGCGTAAAACAAAAAAAAAATGACATCAAAATTTTATGCACTTGACGTAAGAAAAGAAGCGCTTGAAGTATACATTGTTTTACGACGACAAATGTCGACATGAGTGTCAGTGACAATGGCCGTACGCCTTGTGTGTATTAGTCGCACTTTTGATAACTTGTCTGTAAAGACGAATGAAACAACCAATACGAGAAAACTTTCCTTATGCAAATATCTTTTTAAAATTTGACTTATTAAGACCATGACATAATTTTTCCAACTTAAAGCCCTTTAAAATCTAGACTCTTTTGAGTTGACAAGCTTACCTTTCTTAGAGAACAACCATTTAGATCATAGAAGGATGCTGGGAAACATTGCCCCCTCAGCCCTCCCCTAAACCAACATTTTGCCCCAAATGAGAAGTTAAAGTTAAAGTTGGACTAAGGGGAGGGTGGCTGGGAAGTTTTACGTTTTCCAATCTAATTAATGATACTTGTCGAAATCTTGTGTTTTCAGCAACATTCTTCACTACAAAACCCCTTTAAGATTTTTTTTAATTACTCGATATTATGAAAAAACATGAGACGGTCAGTTTACATACCGTAAACTGCTGCTTGTAAGACCTGGGCTTGTACCCGAGGGGGCTTATACCCGAGGGGACTTATAAACGGAATAGAAAAAGCAGTTCGATGGAAATACGTTTTGTGTTTACTGGTTTTTCAATCAAGGGTCAGAAGGTCACAATAAATCTAAGTCATTCTAATACATTTGGAGTGAAGTGGGGGGAAGGTCTTTTAATATAAGGAATGTATTATTTTGTTTACAAGTAGCTGAGCCTATAACTTGGAAGGCTTGTAAGTGAAGGGGGGGGATATAAGCGGCAGTTCACCGTATTTTAAATCAGGGTTAAATTGTATACTCCCTACGTTAGAGAATATGTTAAAAATACCTTGTCTTCAGTTTGTCCTTGTTCTCTGTAAAACTGATAGTTCACTCCATCTTCGCTGTACTGCAGTTTATAGGTTTTTACCCACTGATCATAATCACTTCTTCCTTGTGTTGCTATCCGTGTAACTTTGGTGTAATCACTACCCAGCTCAATCTGGAGCCACTGATTAACGTCATTTGTCTTGGCTGCCCAAGATCCAGCTTTATTTCCCTCCTTTACCCAGTTCAGTCGGGCGAGGTTAGGCGCATGCGTGCTACTCCATTCTGAAGATGCCGTAATCTGTCCGTCTGTGATTTCTCCGCTTTCCATGCCAAGAGCATCTATGCATGCTTAATTTAAAAAGTTTTACGCGTCGTTAGTTTTTAACCTGAGAAAACAGCCGGCATCTCGCGACGTCACCACTGGTTTAACTGCGAAATGACGTCTGAGAAGCGAGTGCAGAAATTCTGATGACGTGTCACTACCTAGATCTGGTTATTGTTTCCGATTGGATGAAGGAAATGTTCATACGATCAGAAGGCAAACACTACTTCATTTACACTTATTGTCGATCGTGCTTTTGTCCTTTTAATTAAAGTGATTAATTATCAATTATGGTTGAAAAATTGTCTATTTAAATCCATCTATAACGTTAAAGTTTACCGACAGATAGCCTGCGAGCAAGCTCTCCTATTTGGGCGAATGAAACGAGTCTCGCGAGAACGCGCGAGCGAGCGGCGAAGCCGCGAGGTGCAGAGGAAAGGAGAGCTTGCAACCATCCCTTACAAATTTTCATTTGTACTTCGCCCAGACGAAGGGAAATACTATTGGCTGAAAAATGACGTTCCGGAAATCAAAGTTGATTGATAACAGGCCAAGCTGGCACCCGCTTCGTCTGTGTGTCAAATTTGGTTCGTCAGGGGGATCAGATTGGTACCGAGAACTTGTTTCAGCGCTCAATGCAGACGGGCTCGTTTGTTGTAATTCTCGCAAAGAGAATATTGCGTGCCGAGGATAAGTCGGACCGAGTTTGTAGTTCTTGTGGAAGGAAAATGAAAACCCCTCATCAGTTGTATTCATTTGTCAAGCGCCTTGTTTAGTTCTGAAAACCGGAAGAGTGAAAGGGAAGAGTGATTAAAGCGCTGCCTTCCAACATCGGTTTCTTCGCCCGATTGAATTCTACTGGGTAGAAAAATTCAGAAACATGTACTTGACAGTGTAGCTGTGTAGCTTGATCGTAAAGAAGGAAAAGAGAAAGAGTTGGAAGCAACTGGAGTAAACCTTAAGAGAACCAAGTGCCAAAAAACGCTATTCTCCAGTTCCAGACGGACAAATAAATGATGTTTTTGTTGGTGATTGCGATGGGGAGTAGTCTTCTACGCTGCAGTATGGACGACCTTTCAAAAGTAAACGAAACGAGAATCAAAGTAGTGAGTTCTTATCCGAGCGGACACGTTGAAGTTCGATGTCCCCGTGAAAAAAAAAAACATATCAGTGATATTAAAAACATTGCTTTAATGCTGTTGCGAAAGCGATTTATAAATAAATAATTCTACGCGCCCTCGACTGTCTGAACTTACTTGACAGGCGGTTGTCACTTTTCTAATGTGCCGCACGTTTGCGGTGACAATTTTCGCGCTTTGTGGAGTCCCGGGGTTTCCGGGGTGGAAATGAAAATTTATGAGAGATGGTTGCAAGCTCTCCTTTCCTCGGCCCCTCGCTCGCGCGTTCTCGCGAGGCTCGCTTCGTTCTCCCAAATAGGAGAGCTTGCTCGCAGGCTAACCGACAGAAAAAAAGCTCCACGTATGATAATCTTTTTAAAAAAACAAAGGGCCTTTTATGTAAAGCTCGTAAGGCTGCGATTTAAATTTGTGATCATTCAGTGCTCCATTGCAATTACTTACGTAGCCAGTTATTCCTTCGCTTCAAACGGGTTTGTCCTTGCTAAGCTGAATGTCTTTACTGACAATCTTAAGCAGTCAGTTGTTTCTTCAAATACATGGCCCGAAAGTTCAAACCAGTGGTTTTGAATTGATGATATTGCTTGCAAAATCGCTGAGACATCTTATTGTTGAACCCTTCCCTCTTACGTCACCAGGGCCTTTCATTCTAACCAGTTTTGTGTGAAATTCTGTTAATATGTAACCATTTAAACTTTCCAAAACTTCACTAAGAAGTTGCACTAATTAAGTTGCTGAGCGCGGAACTTCAAACTTTCCTGTCATTCTCGGTCTGGCCACAAGCCAGTTTCTGACACGCCTTGATAACTTATTTATTTACTTGAACCTTCGATTCAAGAGTAAGCTATTTCATCCTCAGGAGGAAAAAATTAAAATTCATACCAGCTTTGTGTTAGTACCTTTACAGCCGTATACCTCCGCCCTTATTCCTATTCGGTACCCCCAGGTGACTGGTCGAAAGCGCAGATACTTCGCCATTATTGGCGGATCGAGGTCATGTGTAACAACTGTTTCTTCATCTGTGTTTCCACTAAAAACCTAACAGATCCAAACACGCCTTTTATTATCATTGTTTGAACGCGAAAACGAGAACTTAGAGAGACGACTACCAAACTGTTATGATTGTTATAGTTGTTGTTCATTAACAGGCTAACAATAACCTCTGATCGTAAATGTATTTTAGTAATGAACGTTGCATGTGTCTTTCACCAAGTCCTCACTTTGTCCCCTCTCCTTGTAATATTGGAAATTTACTCCGTCGTCACCATATTGCAACTTATAGGAAGCCGTCCATTCTGTCGAAAATGGACATCCCTGAGTTGCTATACGGGTAACATAAGTGTAATATTTGCCAAGATGCACTTGGAACCACTGATTTTCATCACTTTCGGAGGGTGACCAGCACATTGGCCAGTAGCGACGGTTAAGTCTACCATATTTTGCGGAGTAGTGAAAGGGCTCGCCATTAAAACTTCCTTCACCTTCCGAGGAGGCGCTTAGCTGACTGTCTGGCATATCCCCATTTTCCATTCCTAATGCTTCTCGGCATTCAGAAGGCACTATCAAGAATGAAAAATAAGGCTTCCATTAAATTCGTCCCACTTATTTCCATCATTTTGTAGCGGTTAATATGTATTTAATTGTGATGCGCAAATGTTGCGGGACTCTTTACCGCCACGTTTTTATTCCATCAATAATATCTCTTTATTTTGCGTCGGATCTTTCAAATCATTTACAAAGGGCCAAAAGCATTCATAATAGCATATAAAAAAGATGCTTTAATCTTCGCTAGTTTTCTTTTTGTTTGTTTCTTGTTTTTTTGTAACTGCGGCGGTTCATTTCTACCAGAAGGTCATGGGTCCCGTTTCTACCTATAAATTATGGCAAACGATGAAGCTCAAGGAAAGGGCCGAAAACTCCCTCCCGATGTAAAATTGTAGAGTGTCACATGTTGCGTCAGTTTTCACACCTTTTTGCATGTTATTGGGAGCTGTTGCGCAAAGTTTTAAGCCTGTCAAACGTTTGCGCCAGCAATTCCCAACATTTCTTCTGTGCATGATCGTCAAGGCCTTTTTCCCCTTCGTAAACGGTCTTTGCCATTTTGAACGGCCCCCACCATTGGTAACCGAGCCTTTAGTTGCCTTTAGTTGTGATTGGTGTAATATATTCACTGTAAGTTACGATATGGCAAATAATACGTTTTTGAAAAGTGTTAGAATATATTTTGAAAGTTACCTTCATTGCTGATCGCGTCTCTATTTTTGTATTTGGCCCGAGTCGTGAAAATCGCAGGCAAATATAATGTTACAATAACGCAGGTTCTGTAAAGGATCCACATCCTTAATAGATAGAGAACAAAATACATTAAGAGAAATACACCAGAAAAGAGTTATATCCTCCCAGCATTTTTTTTTGGTCGCAAAAAGCTCAGTCGTGGTTGCAAATCAAGAATTCAGCTTACAACGAGTCGGTAAGGCTACAGGCCGGTCAAAACTTGTGTTTATACGAAATAAAAAAATAACGCATTCTTATTAAAAGTGAATGAAAATAAAGGCATTTCCTGGCTGTTTTCCACAAACTAGTAACTTTAGAGTTTCAGGATTAGTTTTCAACTACTAGTTTGGAGAAAGCCATACCTTTGTTGTTATATTATAGGCATCATTGAAGAGTAATGTTTTTGATGTAAAGATAACGTGCTTTCTTAATAATACAATGCTGTCTATTTTTCTTTCTTTTGCGTTACTTACCTGGTATGCAGGACTGGATAGTTGAATGAACTAACGTTAAGGCGCAGCTGAGTTATTATAAATCTGTGTGTGTAAAATCGATCTTGTTTGTAGTTTCGTTCAAATACCTTTTCGCCAGAGACGACCGCCAGATCAGATGCTAGAATGGATAGAACAATTTGACAAAACAGATCACAGTAGGGATGTAGATGTGCTTCATTTCACCCAGTCATGAAAACATAGGTACTACTGTCTACGACAAAAAGACAAATCAGTTTGAGTTCTTACCAGTTCAAGGTCAGACAGGTAAAAGAAGCCAGGTGGCCGCTAAAGGTGGCCGCTAAAACTTAAAACATAAGTTTTATTCGTATCATTTTCAATTATTATTTTTTTTTTTTTGTATCCAGTTAAAACATTTTAAAAATTTAAATCTGTCTCATTTTCAAACAAACAAGCAAGCAAACAAACAGACAAACAAGTAAACAAGACAAATTATTATTTTGGTTTATTTTTGCCGTTGACTTACACGTGTTTTTTTTTTCAATCCACTGTACTTTACTTTTTTGTTAATTATTATTTTAGTTTATTTTTCTTGACCAATCAATCAATCAAATAAACAAGGAAACAAACGAGCAAACAAACAAACAAGTAAACAAATTAGAAGAAAAAACACAAATAGGTAATAAGGGATAGTAGGTCTACAAATGTACGTGATCGGTTTAGAAACGATTTAATTGTCGCCAGCATCCTTAAAAAGAAAACTGATTAACTGAAAATAGAACTTAGAATGTTTAACTTTGTAAATTCAAGCGTGGAAAATGTTTGGTTTCTCACTTTTTTGTAATCTAAATTTTCAGTAATCCACAAAGATGGTCGCCATCTTGAATCACCTTGTCTTTTAGGTCATTGTCTTTTCTAACTGACAAATACTCAAGAGAATATCACAACCACACCCCACACCCCAACAATTTTGTAACCTGAGTAAAATAGCATGGTTATTTCATAAATATATTGGAACCTCTCCTTTTGGACACCGCTATTCTGTGTTTTCACTCACGTGGCCAGCATCTATGCAAATTTATTGGAACAAAAGAAAGCGTTTGCATAAGAAAAGAGTTCAACTCTCACAGGACTGGTTGGGGACACAAACATGGCCACCGTTTCATTGTTTTGGGACACAAATATGGCCGCCATGACGTCATGTGAAAACACACAATTCAAGGGACACAAAATTTGGTAACAGAAAAATGTTCACATAATCTTTGTATTTGTTACCTGTATTCAATGGACACCTCTATTCAGGGCAAGGGACACTTTTTCTGGGTCCCAATCCTGTATTTAACCTCCATTCATTGGTCACCTTATAAGCAATCAGAAAGTGACTGACCACTGACAAAAATCGTCGATAAGTATAAGTGTCCACCAGTCATGATGGCGATAGATTTCAAAAGATGAATTAACTAACTTAAACTGATGTACTGAACTTGTTGGAATTCAACACACACCATCGCAGTGAGCGATAAGTTAATCATGATTTTTATACATTATCTAGCGCCTTGAAAAAATAACTGCAGCAGATTCCGTAGCGTGTGAGATCAGACGCCTTTTTCTTTTCTAATAATGAAATTTTATTTGTTGGTTAATTATTAACAAACCCCAGCCCAAGCTCCATTCAGGGGACACCTCTCTTAAAGGGTCACTTGCGTTGGTCGCAAGGGTGTACCCTGAATAGACGTTCCACTGTATTAAGGTAGAAGTACACTCTTATTCAGGTAGCAAAGGTTTTAGGATACCCAGTATGGGCAACGCTTTGTAGGTAAAAAGGATAGAACTGGTTTCAGCTTAAGTCAGCTGGGGATAAAAAATTGCAGGGATTTAGAAGAATAAAGGTTTACTAAACCAAGTTCCAGTCAGCTAAGCTAAGGACAATCTCACAGTAATCACTTTATTTTTACTGATGTTACAAAGATTCTACTTTTATCCAAATTCGTTTATAACTTCTGCAGTTGTCAATGTATCTGCATTGTTCTTATTTGAGCTGAATCTTCCAATCAATTAATCATTCAGTGGTTGAATAAACTGACAATTAATCAGTAACACTAAAACTTGAGTTACTTCTTCGCCTTGGACAACAGATGTGGTTTGATGGCAGTTTTGCCCCTTTTTATTGCGCCCCGACAGATGGGGTCACTTGGTCCCTTTGGATATTGCCCAGACCAATAGAAGACAGTCATCCATACATTCATTTTGGTGAACTTGCTCAGCTAAGGGAGAATGTAAATTGAAAAGAGTTGGTTGGATACCAAAACAAATTACCCTGCGAGAATAGGTTTCTCTTCTGCATGGCTTTTAGCGTTCGTTCGTTATACGCCCCAGGGGGTGGGGGCGGGGCAAATAAACCAACTACGCGAGAGACAAGCAACGCGAAAGACTTCGTAAACGCTGTCAGGGATTTCCCATAGTGCCATGGGGTCGAGGATCCCCCTGGGCAGAAAACCAAGTGTTCGATCTAGTTTTTTGCGTCGTTATTTTGCTCGTCGTACTTGATTCGCGAGGTTCTGCGATACTCGTATTTCTAGTTAGAACTTTGTTTTCGAGTTGTAATCGAGTTGTCCCTGTAGTCATCAGTAACGAATTAAAGGACTCAGGATAAAGTGTTTACGAACACTAAAAGCCATGCAAGAGAGTCATCTCTGCTCGCACGGTGGCAAATCTTCTTGATGTCCCGGATGGGTGCTATTACCGAATGACGTAATACAAATGATTAAAAAGACACTAAACAATTAACCAAACTACAACACAACACATGGTTATCCATCGCGTAGAATTCCCAGTTCATTGAGGCTAACCACAAATTTCCCGTCCGGTTGACGGTTAGTGTTTTGCCGTTTTTAGCCGCGACTCTTCTAAATGAAGTATACATGAGGTAAAAACAATAAAACTGTCGAAGAGTACTGGAAATAATGACGGCGGCCAGGTCGTGGAGAAATTTTTTTGGCTTTCCAAGACGTTTTCTGGAAATTTTCTTCACGCTGTCTACCCCTTGTGGATTCAGGTCAAATTCAAAGGAAACTAAAAATCCAGTTTTTAGGTGCTTGACCGTTTAGAGCCTCAAGTTAGTAATAATATTTTAAAAATAATTCTATAGCGCACAGGGAGCCAGCGTAAACTCCTAAGAATCGGTGTACTATGATCATACTTTCTCGACGCGTTAACAAGGCGAGCTGCTGAATTCTGCTCAAGTTGAAGTCTATCCATCAGATACTTTGGAAGACTTTAGTACAGGGCATTAGAGTAATTTAATCTGATTAGCCAGTCATGCGTGGCTACTTACGTCTAGATCTTTGCAGTTGATGTTCGTTATACCATTGTCCTCTTCACATATCATGTCATCATCCTTAGGGATTTTTAACTCGTAACTTCCAAAAGGACTTCTGCACTCCAAACTTCCAAGCAGGCTATCTGCCCGAAGATCTCCTTCCTTGTTGAGTGGATTGTTACACATCGAAATCCAGCGGGGATCTTCTTCTTTGACGCAGTAGCCGGTGCTTTCTAAAAATTATAAATATCGCCCACATTTGAGCGAATCCAAGACAGTCCTGGATTCTGGATTCCATTCCTTGGATTCCGGATTCCAGATACTGGATTCGGGATTCTTTGTCAGTGGTCCTTGGATTCTGGATTCCAATTGTTAGTAAATTCAGGATTCCTTGAGCTGTGTTCTGGATTCCAAAGCCCAGGATTCCGGATTCCACAAGCAAAAAATTATCTGATCACGGAATCCAGATTCCCTTACATAGGACGAATATAGAGGATATTACATGCCTGCTTGTGGATACGAATTTTATCTCATTCGAGTATTCAACTCGCGCGAACGAGTGAGATGTCGAGTTGAACACAAGAAGATAAAATTCGTATCCACAAGCGGGCATGTAATATTCTGTTTATTATATAGACACCGATGGCGAGATCCTTTGTTGCTCTTTTCCTATTGCCTGAGACTGAAGTAGCCATGACAACCGTGATATCTTCACATGTGAAGGATAAAAATTGTATCTTCACTGGATACGAAAGTTGTGTCACTGGAAAAATCATTGGTGTCCACATAATAAAAAAAATAATAATCAACAAATAGATCAAGCCATAAATTCTCCTACATGCATAAATATACACCGGTTTTGACAAAAAAAGGTTCTCCTTTCGTATACTGACAAATGATACCCCTTTTTACATACCTAGTTTAGAACTTTGTGTCCATTTTAAAATGTGAACAACAGAGTCAAGGGTATCATAGCAGTGGCAGATCCATCCCCCCCCCCAACCCTCCTCACCCCTTATTTTTAGACCAAACAGAGGCCCAAAGGGCCGAAAAGATTGTTTTTGGAGACTGCGCTCCCTTTATCTCAGGGTCTGGATGACTTCCCCCCCCCCCGTAATCTGAAGGTCTGGATCAGCTATTGCATAGAGTCAGGGAATTCCTTGGGGAAAACGCAATTTTTCGCCTATTCATTACTTACTGCCTTGTTCCTTCCCACACTTTGCCTCGCCGCTAATGGTAAACCGGTCAAACCTGAGGGTCCTGTATCCTACTAGAGGTTGACGGTATGTTTTAAATGTTGTGTCAGATGTACGGAAGTAGGAACTGCTGAGACGACGAATTTGAAGGTGAATCTCTCTGGGCACTTTAGTGGGTTGTTCCTCGGTACCATAAAGCTCGATATATAACTAAAACAAATAAAAATTATTCACCGAAGTGGATTTGGCTAGTGGTTGCTTACCAAGCCGCGACGCGGAACTGGACTTATACTACTACATGAGAAATTTCTGCATTTTTTCATTGGCTTAGAGCAGTGGTATTTCAGCTTAATTTGAAATACCTACATGTGAAAATTACGAACCTTTTGCGGGTAGTAGTATGAAAAAATAGAGAGATTAAGATTCACATTTACGGCAAACCGCTAACGTCGGATTCAAGTTGAGAATTTCTCAAAATAGAAAATAAGAAAATAAAAACTGTCCAGAACAATTCTTATGGATAAATCTGGCGTGAAAAAACTTATTTTTGAGCAGAAGTAATAAACAGTAAACGACAAGTAAGAGAAAAACTTGGTCACGTGGTACAAATTCACGTTTCCCGTTTGGCGTAAACATGAATCTTAATCTCCCTAATAATAGCATGATTTGTAAATGATGTTGGGCATTAACATCACTCGTGATATTTCAAAATTGTCTCACATTTCACTCGCCTAATGGCTCGTAAAATTACTTATAACATTTTTGAAATATCACTGGTGGTATTTACGCCAAATATCACTACAAATGATGCTATTACCTATACAAATACACATGTTCAGATCGATCGATCAATCTTTGCGCCCTACGAACGTATGCCACCAATTATTTTTGCGTCTTTAGGGATTTGTATGCGTTAGGGACGCAGGACGCAGAGATAACAAAATCACTGTAATAATATTAAAAATGACGATGATAGTGACAATGAAAACGATAAAAGTTAACGATAACAATGGCGATAACCATAACGGTAATATTAATAATATGATAATAATAATTATAAAAATAATTAAAGATAATTAAAAAGGCAGAATGGATTTAAAACATCAGGCATAATTTCTATATTATCAATTAAATACAAAGACAAGCAAACAAGGATCACCTTCAATAAACGAATGTTGTAACAAGTCTTGCAACTGCGCCTAATATCGATGCTAAATGTTGTTGTCCCTGTAGCAAGTTTTTCAAACATCTAAAAGAACATTCATAAATATGAGGGCTGTTTCCTGACAGGTCAGGTAAGCTCAAACGGTTTCAAAATAAAGTTTTCAACGGTTGTTTAGTTCATTTCCAGTTTTTATCAAGAACCTTTTAAATAAACAAGACCGAAACATTTTAAAGAAATTAATATCAACGGATTGCCACCCACTGAAAGATATCATTCCTGTCCAGAGGACGTATGTGCATAATCTTAGGGAAAAAGGCTGCGCACGTCCGAAAATTAATACAGAGCGTTTTATGAACACCTTTGTAAATTGGGTGATTTTTAAGCTCCATTTATTGTAATGACATACTTTTTTTTGGTAATGTATATCATATATCTATATGTACATATTTTTATCATGGTTTTTTATCTTCCGTATTATTGGAACATGAGATAATGTAGTTTTATCTTTTGATGAAACAAAGACTCATTATTATTATTTTATTATTATTATTAATAGTTCAAAGAGAACAAGAGGCCATTTCTGAGTTCCAAAAAATTTCACTTTCAAAACAAGGCTAAGTGCGAAACCTTTGTTCTGAAAATGAGTTTTATTTGCATCATAATTCAAACTCATTTTCATATCAATGGCTTCGCACTTAGTCTCGCTTTGAAAGTGAGATTTTTTGGAACTCGGAAATGGCCTATTCAATAGAGTGTTTTCACATGACGTCACGGCGGTCATGTTGGTGTCCCAAACCAATCCTGTGGGAGTTGAATTCTTTTCTTATGCAAACGCTTTCTTTTGTTCCAATAAATTTGCATAAATGCTGGCCACGTGAGTGAAACACTCTACTGCAATTTGCGAAAAAAAAAATGAGATTCTTTTGTATTCGGAAAACGTTGTGATTGAACAATCTTCTTCCAGGTGTCCAGGTTTGAGCATCTCCACCGTAGCTTCAATCCCTTATTTTTAAAATGGCACATTTTAATAAAAACTGACGCACTGAGCGTATGTTCATTTTACTGCTATTTATTCATTGTCCAGGGAACCGACTTTGAGCAGCCAGCTATACAGCTAGCACATATAACAACATGTATATTAAGTAATTAAAAGGCCAAAAATATAACTGTAAATTACAACAAAGAACACTGCACGAAAAATTGGATTTACACCAAACTTACTCAGTGCAAATTTAGTGCAAAAAAGTGCAAACTAAGGTTAAATAAAGGGCAAAGATGGTAAATACCGCATTTTCCCTAAAATTTTCACCCCCATGTAAACTGGCAAGCAAATGCGGTATTTACCATCTTTGCTTTTAATTTCCCCCTAGTTTGCACTTGTTTGCACCATATTTACCCCGAGTGAATTTGTGTAAATCCAATTTTTCGTGCAGTGGAAATAACACGCAGACTGAGGAAGGAAACCAAAAAAACAGGTAGTTCGGGTGTTATTTGTCATCAAGCTACAATGGCCAAAGAATAAGAATATTTACATTTAAAAAAATCGTACCCCTTATATGTGAACAAACGAACAAACAAGGCTCACCTCTTTGTTTTTGGTGTTATCGAAAGTCCATTTCTTTACATCGGTAGTGTAAGGGTTAGTTGTGAAACAAGCCACTGCCTTGGATTTTATGGTTTTAATTCTTTGAAACACTTCTGTAAGCTCTACTATTCCATTGAGTTTCCCAATCCCTAACGCACTTTCTGAAGCGATCCTTCTAAATGAAGTTAGTGTATCATCCAAATTCCAAAGTGTACGGAATGCAAGGGCCTTTTGAAGCTCATAGAGCTTTTCCATGAACAATTGCTCCAGTTCTCTGTATGTACTTAGGAGATTATCTGTAAAGGTTTGCTTGAGAGCGTTGCTTAAAGATCCGTCTTATACATATTGGAAATAAATGAAAACCAGAGTTAAAGGTACTTAGAAACGCTAATATGAAAGGAATTGACTATTTTCAATAATACACTCTGTTATCTCCAATATTTTGCGTAAGTCATTTTTTAAAAATGCTCTGGGGAATAATCAGGATTTCCAGGGTTACTAGAGAACAATAGTTTATGCAAAATTTAGCGGGGTGGGGGGCAACAATGCTTAAAGAAAAAAGGAAAAGTTTAAAATTATTTTAAGCGTCCTTAAGGGCGAACATAGGTTCCAAAAAAATAATACACAATATCCTACCCAGCCTTACTTAATTTTTTTTAAGTATATGACTTTTGTATAGATTACACCATTAGAATGAAATGTATACAGTTATTTCGAGAAAGGTTGTCGGAAAAAATGTGAACGCGACAATCTCGAAAGGTAATATGGGATATGATCAATACACTGTTCCTATAACGACTGTAGCTGTCGAACCTACTTTGGTTGCTTTCCTTTAGCAATCAAAAACATAACATCGCTAACATTCCGTAACATTCTTTCAAATTTCTTTGAAGAACAGTGCACTCAAAACTACCCACAATACCTGTCAGGATTGTCGCGTGCACTTTTTCCGACAACCTTTCTCGAAATAGCTGTATATTTAGCCGAGGCCAAAAAAGAAGCTCTCGTGAGATATTTTGAGAAATGTCTTTCTGAAGCAATTCAACTTTCACCAAAAGCAAGAGCCAAGTTCAATTTCTTTTAAAAATACACTTGAACGTACAATTAATAAAAGAAAATAGAAAATAATAACTGGTCAATGAATTGTACGCCTAAACCTGCCTTACAGTTGTCTGACACTGGTCAGTGGATACTCTTTTTGCACAGCTGTCATTTGACCATAGCGTAATATTTCACATCCACTTACATGAAAGGGGCTGTCGTACGGACAGGCGTTCAGTGTTAGCTGTACGTACGGACGGACCATATTTTCACAACCCAAAATATATTGGATGCATAGATAGCCGAATTTTATTACCAATGGAGCTCTGCTGCGCGCACTTTCCGCTATCAAGAGCTTCGTAATCGATTTATACCTTCTGAATTCTTGACTTCATTGACTGCTCTAGCGGTATCTTTGAGAACTGGAATATCAAAGTTGTATCCTCCAATTTCGTTATCAATGTCCACGCATTTTCCTATCATATCAATGCGAGATGACCCAACAATGAAGTAAGACTCTATTTCGGCCTCAAGTTGTTTGGTAAAACTTGGTTTGGTATTCTCGTCAATCAAGCAGACTAAATCTACAGCCAATTGTCCCTTGTTCAACTCCAGATTTGTCTAAATTTGTTAACGTTAAATGAAGTAAAAATGAAGAAAGTTAATATAAATGAATAAATAAATAACCTAATAATAACTAAATAATAATGATAATAAAAACAAATTAATAACGTTTTTATGGTAGCCCAACAGTTTCCGTCTACCATATTCCGTCTTGAGTTTAGTAAATATGGAAATTGCTGTTGTGGTTGTTGTTGCAGTTATTATTGTCATTTTTTTAGGAGACTGGAAAACTAGGCTAAGTGAGGAAATAGTTCAAGGGCCATTACGACAAGAGCCAACAGCGTAATTAATTCACACATGGTTTTGAATTCTGGATGTCAGAATTAAACTTTCCTGCTTCGCTAAGTTATTGGCAAGTACCAAGGATCTACAACAAGAGTTGGAGGATCTGTGTCACGGCTAAAAAACAGTAAAAGAAGATATTGGTAAATAACACAGCAAGGTTGAAACGGATTGTAATTGAGGTTTTTGAAAACTTGTTGGCCTAACAGTTTCTCAAAGTTCATTATTTTTCTCTGTGACTTTTGATATAATGCTTCAGAAACAATTTGTTTCTTTTTTTTATATGAAGCAGCAATTTTGTCATTTGCAAGTAATTTCTTTGCTTTTGTGAAGTTTACATTACGCATAAGGACGTGTAAGATTATGGGTGACGAATTACTCCTTAATTTTGGCGCCAAATTTCAGCGTTTATACTACTACATGAGAAATTTCTGCAATTTTATTGGCTTAGAGCAGTAGTAATTCAGCTTAATTGAAAGACCTACATATGAAAATTACAAACCTTTTGGGGGTTGTAGTATAAACAAATAATAGCATGATTTGTACGTGATATTTGGCATAAATACCACAAATACCCCAAATTCTCAAATTTCACTCGCCTAATGGGTCCCTAATGGCTCGTGAAATTACGTACAACAATTTCGAAATATCCCTCGTGGTATTTATGCCAAATGTTAAAACAAATCATGCTATTACCTATACTAATTTGTAATCTCACTTTTGAAATTACCAAATTGCCATTCAACCTTCCGTCCTTCTCAGTACCAAGATGGCGACGAAGTTTGAAATGTTTTGAATGAAGATGTCAGGACATTAGAAGACGTTTGAGAAAACTTAAACACAAGAAAGAGAAAATCAAAAAGGATTCTAACAGGTATTTGGTCGAACAAATTCTGAAAATTCTGAACTTGGTTAAACTTTTAAGAGCGTGCAGTTCTCGATCTCGATCGATAAGACCAGGATAAACATGTCAAAAATCCACGATTGCGAACAGAAATCTAATGGTATACTCGTGAAATGAGGGAATAACATCATTTGAGTTTTGTCCAAATCCTCATAATTTCCCTCGCCTGAAGCATTGGGATGCTATTATGTACAAACCTTCATAATCTCCGGGACGGAATTAACTTTGACATTCTCAAAGTCCAAATCACTAGAGTCTTCAAGCGGCTTGTACTTCTCTCCAAACATCATCCATTTCTTGATGCTACCGAGGGAAGACTCAAGAAAAGCGCGGCATGGTTTATTGATTTTGTAAGAGGCGAGATTTAGTGCTCCGTCAATGAAGCCGGAAGGACTGTTTCCTGCTATGGAACTAGTAAAGGCTGTAATCCCTTGCATTATTGCAATGAACTCGTCCCGAGATAATTTCTGGGCCACTTTCTTCTGAGCCTCTGGTAATGTGGACTGGATTTTTACAAGTATATCTTTCATCTTTCCCTCTTGTGTTTGAATGGCCTTTGCAGAAACAGAAAAATTAAGTCGGTGGGTGGACTAATAATTCAGTAGGTGACCAATATTAAATTCCGTACACATTCTTCTTCTTTTCTATCGGCCTCTTCTCACTTATCTCATGGTTACGAGACTGTTTTTCTTTTTTTTTTTTTGTTTTTGTGGGGGAGATGATGGAGGGAGGGAGGGGGGGGGGGGGACTCAATTCCGAATTCTTCCGCTAAGAGTAATTCGAAAATCAATACCAGATGAAAATAAAAATTAAGATACCTTCACATACATCCTCTTTAGCTTTTCCGCTATCGACTTGGCTTCTTCGAGACGTGTTACTTCGGCTTTAACTTGCTTGGATGATACATCTGCTAACTTTGACGCCATCTGCAAAGATAAAGAGTACTTAAAAAGAGTGATTAAACAAAAATTAAAACAAGGCAAAAAAAGTAGCAGTGAAGATTCGTTAAAGTCGTGTTGACAGGGCAAGCGGGATTCCGGCCATTAGCGACCAGCGGAGTCGGGTTAGAGCCCTAACGACATTGAGAAAATAAAAAATACAATTAAAAAAATAGTAATTAAGAAAACGGAGACTTATCTGAAAACATGTGCGTGACGAAATTGGTCGAGAATCAGATTCAGACTTATCAGAACATTTCCATTTTCTTCCAACTCCGCTAAGACGATCTAGTCCTGACATTGTTATGCTAAATACCGGCCAACTGATTTATGATCACTTTGTAGATAAAAAGCCGTGTAATTTCACGCTGGCCTCGGTATCTGAGCAACATAATTATGACACAAGAAGTGCATCCCTACGACACCTAAATCCCAGTAGCCTTAACTTAGAATAATTTTAAGAAAATTCTGTCCAACAGTTATAGGATGCTATTATTGGAATGATATTCCTTTATCTACAAGTGAAAAAACAACTGAAAAATTGTTTAAAAGAACACTTTTCAACTATTATCTTACTCAGTATTAATCATCGCCACACTGACTCTCAAATGTCATATTTTTTTTATGTGTGTGTGTGTATGTGCTTTTCTTTTTTCCTCTCTTTTGAATATTTTTCATATATTTTTCATAGTTTATAGGGTTTATACTTTTCTCTTTTTTTCTCTTTTAACCTAAATAAAACTGTAATTTAATCAAAGGGCAAGTAATTAGTTTAACTATATCCTGCCCTCACCATTTATTCTTGTAACCTTACATTTAATTCTACAAATAGCATCTTCACCTTCAAATTTTGTAATACAATATAAATGGCTTGTAAAATAAATAAATAAATACATGGAGGAAAAATAAACAAATAAACAAATAAATAAACAGTTTTTGTTAGGTTTCGCTAGTAGATTTGGGAGTATATATTATGTCAATCACAGAGCTCTTTCCAACCCCTGAGCTTGTGATTGGCTTGGTTCTTCCGCTTCTGCTTACAAATCCGAACACGTAATTTCTAGATCATTAAAAGCAGAATCTGAAGCTTCACCCCTCTGATTACGATGATCTCGTCTCCGACTGTGTTCACATAAAAGCGAAAACCTTAACTCCCCGTAATCTTTTTCCCTTGCGTTACTTGCTTACTTACTTACTGAAATAATTAATTATTTTCTTAATTAAGTTAATTAATTACTTTTTAAATCAAGTATCTTAAATTATTAATTACGTAGTCAAGTAATTACTTAATTAATTAATTTCAAATTGTTAAGTGACCCAATTGACTGACCTTCTGGAAGTTTTCCTTGTCTGTTACTGTGGATATAATATTGTTGAAAGCTATTTCATAAGTTTCGGCAGCGCTCATTAGGTCTTCGACATCTTCTTTAAGTGCTTCCCACTTTAAAAGAGGAGCAAAAAACCCGTTGTTTCCAAAAATGTCATAGCCATACTGCCCCAAAAATCCGAGCCTCCTGTTGACATCTAAAAGTAATGTGAAATATTATTTTTGTGACGTAGTAATATTTAGGTGGCACGAAGCACGGCGAAACAACAACAAAGTGAAATGGCACGAAAACTGGACTGTTCCTGGTGACGTGAAGAGATCTGGATGCTCGTCAAATGTGCTCTAATTACGCTCTTAAACTCGTTTTGAGTTAAAAGACTTTTATACTGCTACTACTACAACATCAACTTCTACAAATACTGCTGTCACTGCTACTAGAGAAAACACACAAAAGGACTGCAAAGGAAGGAAGAGAGCAAACGGTGTGCGACAATCGTGAAAATAGAAAGTCATGCTTGATAATATTTCCGCTAAACTTCACCTTCATTTAAAAAGATCTTTTCTGATTAAAAGACCAGGACACAGTAATATGAAGATCACAGAAAAAACAACCAACTAACAGCCCTGTCACCTTTGTCACACACAGAAGTTTTGCCTTTCCCTCTCTGCTGTCCTGTTGCGTTAAAAGCTCTCTACAGACGACCACGACGGCGAAGAATTACTAGAGGACATCATTCTTTTCATCTTGTTTTGCGCTATGGCTTAACCTTCATAACAAGCCCTTTCATACCTTTCTTCAGTTGCTCCAAATCTTTTCTATCTTCTACAATACTTTTTATAAACTTCAATGTGCTTCTACCTTGTGGGTCATAACTGTTGCCTAGCAACAAGTCTAGAGCTTGTCGCCTCATGAGAAAGAGTAGTTCTCTTGGAAACTTTCTTTTGACGTCCGCGTCTAATGTCCCAGATTCAATGAAAGATTTCTTCGCCACACCATCCAAACCTTTGTCAGAAGGAGCTGAAATTCGGGGCAAAATCAGTCACACCGTTACTTACATGAGTTTTAACAACGTTCTTTTTTACTCCGCAGCTGAGACCGCTCGCCGACGTTCGATATATTAAAATATAATTAAATATGACTCCGAGGCTTCATGGACGAAATTGCAAACTTTTCACGACTCCATTCTCTTTCAATTTCCAAAAGAGATTTGAGCACATACAATACCAAATCAAACATAGAAAAAATGAGCCGAGAAAGCCTCGGAGTCATGTTAGAATTTTATATTTCGAACGTGGGCTATTGTTTTGTCCGCGATGAATTGTGATTTATAATTTTTTTGGCTTTTTAAGGTGATAGCAAATCTAGATTCTGATTAGGCCATCCAGTGATATGTCAGTATTTTGATGAAGTAACAAGACGCTATCGGAGTTTTCACTTGGGTGTTGTAGTATCAAATATAACACTGGTCAGTGATACCTTTTTTGACAGATATCAATTGACCATAACATGGGTGTACACTATCAAGTCAAGTAAGTGTGGGATTTCACATCCGCTAACGTACGTACGTTCGTACGGGCGGGCAATTTGCCACTACCCAGATTTCTTGGATCCAATAGCATAGATAACCACATTTTATTACCCATGGTGCTCCGATTTGTTTCCGTAATTCAATCTCGTCACCAGCATATATGTACAAAAAAGGAAGAACGTCCCTGACGAAAGACTAAAGTTTAGCTTTATTTTGGTATTCAAAGGAATAAACTTAGTGTGAAACGTATGTGGCAAGTTTGGCCGAATTTGACTGACACACACAACTAGAAAACAAATTGAATATGTGCATTTCATCTTACTTGTTCCAGGGCTTCCAGTATCCCCAATGTCTCCGTTTGGTCCTCTATCAAGTGGGCCTCCTTTTTCTTTGCAAACTTTTCGAGGTATTCTATGTTTCTTGCATTTAATACCACGCCCTCCTTCGCCGCCTTTACCACCTGAAATAATTCACCAACCTACTTAGCATTACCACTTTTTGAGTTCAAAGTCAGAGGGTGCACTAGGAGTAAAGTACCTATCAACACTTGCAACGATGCCTGAACATTTTCAAAAATATTTGTATGGTGACAAATAGACACAGGGTATGCAAGACAATGCAATATAAAGTAATGTAAAATCAACCCTATTCCACTAGCAGAATAAGCGATGTCTTGCGGGAAGATGTGAAATCTCTCTCCTAAGTCTGCCAGGTGCCTTTTAAGCCTCCCTGGATTTTAGTTTTAGTCTTCAAAAGTATCAGATCAATGTGAAAATTTCGAAGAAGCAGAATTGACTAAAGTCTCTACGCAATCGTGAATTCTTCTCGTCAATTTGTTGAATTTAATATGCCCCGACTTCATGCCATTGAACAGCTTATCTCTTGCACCGCCGTCTTACGTGACGTTAGTGGTTGCATAGTGGTAATATATAACTGTTGACGTCATGGTAATTGACGTCAAAGATAGTATATTAAATTTCTAATTTTTTTTTCTGTGAAAGCTGATTGTGAAGAATTAGCCGGAGAATTTGAGGCTAATCAGAAAAAGCGATAACTTTTAAGCGAACAATAATGTTATATCATGTGGGAAAAGGAAATATTGACGTGTGAAAAGTGTGACTAGTTTAATTTGAAGGTAATCAGGGTTATGGGCTCCTGAGGTAATCGATAACGTACCCAATAAATTCACACAGGGCAAGCATTTTGAATTCAGAACGTCTTACCGCTGCCGCCACGTCCATTTTGTGCTGGCGGGGCCCCCTTTCCTCCGCATGATTTTAACTGAACTGTTCCAGTAGATTTGGTATAGCGCAGGGTTATTCGCCCGGCTGCTCCACCATCACCTCCATTGAAAATATAGAAAAGACAGTTATAAATGTGCAGAACCTTCGTCTTTTAAGACCTGTCTTATTCTTGGGTTAAGGGCTGTTTCAAGGCTCTATAGTTCATTGACCATGTGCGTCCTTTTTCCCTATGGAACTTGAGAAATTATTATCACAGCTTCTTGTCAAACAAGTATAGTATGGCTCCCAAGCATTATATCAAACGTTTCAAACAAAGAAAGTGATTAAGACAGAACTTAAGAGGAAATTGAGTAATTTTAATTTTCAGTGGACGTTAATCTTGTACCAGAATAATTTAAAGCATATTACATTCTTTGTTACATTTTTCAAGAGTTAAAGATGTAATAAATCATCTGTAGTAACACCAAAAAAATGTCTCTTGGAAGCCCGAGAAAATGAATGTCAAATTTCACAAAATAACATCTTACACATGAACTTATTAGAATTTTACCAGTATAATCGCAATTCTTGTGAAAATTGGCATTTATTTTCTCGGACTTCCATGAGAAATTTTCTTTGGTGTTGCTACAGATGATTTATCACATCTTTAAAAAAGAATGCAATATTCTTTAAATCATTTTGGTAAAAGATTTTGGTCCACCGAAAATTGAAATTTCTCGATTTCCTGATGGATTCCGCCTTAACAAGTTTGTCCATTTTGGTCCACACAAAATTGAAATTAATAAATAGGTTAACTCATTAAATTTAAAATTTGTGCCTTGATGGATTCCGAGGAGCCGAGCTTATGAGGAATAGAGATTTCCCCCCACGGGCAATTTAAATACTAGGCGGCATTTTACAAGTTTGTTAGGTTGCATTCTGTCTGACCCTTAAAAATGGTTTGATCATTCGATGTCGTTTGGTAATGAATTCCATATTCTAGGACCTTGTATTTCCTGTGTTATTTACACCTTCTTTTTATGGTTTTAGCAGTTAGTTTTTGTTTCACTTAGTTTGGTGGCAGTTCTCACTGTTTAAATTTCGGTGAATTTCATGACACAAGTGCTTTTAAGAAGTGCATCTGAGCCAGCTAAAGGGACAAAGGTATATGTTGTAGTTAATCTTTTATCTCAGCTAATTTTTGTTGTTCTTTTGTTTTTGGTTATAATAATGTATGCTAATGAAGTTGAAACGAAAGAAAAAGAAAAATTACCTCAGATAAAAAATTAACTACAACATATACACTAATGATCGAGCAACAATGTAAACATTGACGTTCGATGAACTCGCCCATAGCATTTTTTCCATGTAAAGGGATCCGCATTCCGGCATACGGGAATTTTTTCCTTGTGGAGTCCGGAATCCGGAAAAAATTTGCTTGTGGGATCCGGAATCCTATTAACGATTTGAATCCAGAATCCAAGTTCCATTAACCAAAAGTGGAATCCAGAATCCACAATATGGAGTCCAGTTTACCTGGCAATCCTGCATTTCCCCCATCTCCTCCTCTTTTCCCTTTTAGACCTTTGGCCCCATTTATTATCCCGCATTTCTTATAGCCTAAAGCTTCACAGTCCTTGTTTGTTTTGTCTGGTACCTGAAAACATACAAACAAACAAAGAAACTCCCAATAAAAACAAAAATACCGGAGACCGATCACATGAGCGAACTCCACATTATGAAAAACCACGAACTATGAAAGGGTCGCGCTGGGGATTGGGGAAAGGCCTACAAACTCCTCGAACCTCACACGTTTTACCTTGTCACGTTACAAAAGAAAAGAAAAAGAAATTGAAATTTTTTTTTGCGTACCAAAATGCATTTTTGAACAGTATGGAGAGTTTTTTTTTTAGCTTGTCAGTTACAAGGAAATTATATCGGAAGTCAGCTGATCAAACCTTAAGAAGGTTTGAGTCAGGAAATAAAGCATAGGGATGTACTATGTGTTTAAACGTTACCAAAAAAAAATACTTATTACCGCCTCAGTGTTGTCTAGTCCGTCAGCACCTTGTCCTCCATCCTGCGCTTTGTGGCCATTCCCGGCATTGGAACTTATATCAAAGGCTCCTCTAATTACGTCACAGAATATTTGGACTAGAAAAAAAGAGCAGTAAGAAGGGCTTATGAAGCCGGGAAATAGAAGAGAAAAATCTGAGTAGAGATCACACGGGTATCTGACATGGCCTTAAACGCTCATAACATAACTCAAAGTGTCGAAAAGAAGAAGAAGATGCCCTAAAGTTAATTTGAACCGCTTTGGTTGGCCGTGAAGCCCGCGAAGGACACATTCCATTCTTCCTCTTCTTCTTCTTCTTCTTCTTCTTCTTCTTTTCTAATCCAGTCCAAGTGCTTTTATGTTCTACAATTAACAGTTGGTTTCGAGTATAAACTTAATAACAATGCAGTGCGTGAAAAAAAAAAACATCTGAACTTCATCAAAGAAATGAGTAGAAATTACAGATGTGTGAAATTTGTAAATCTCTCCATGAGCTCCCTTGGCGTTTTCCTCGACGAATGCTCCACTTTCTTAGACATAATGAATGACATTGGCATGGACAAAAAGCAGCAACTTTATATAATCAAGAAAATGATAAATATATCCATTAGAGCAACATATTACATCTTTTGTTGTAGAAATAGGAACTGGCATTGCCCAGACTTTATGCAATTTTGATTTTCTTTTCTTCTACTTTTTTGTTTGTTTGTTTGTTTGTTTGTTTTGAATAATTCAATCTCAAGCAGCATTTGTAAATTGCCTATACGTAGCGAGATTTACGATTGTACATTCAAAAACTCAAATAAAGTTTCCATTAATTATTTATCTTTAATAATAATTATACTTTGAGGTCCAGGCAATCCATCGTTTCCATTTTCTCCATCTTTTCCATTTCCATCAAATCCAGTTCTCCTTCTGACTGGAAAGTCTTGGACCCAATCTGGTGTGGTCACTTTCATCTTACTTCCCTCCAAAGCTACAATTTCTCTGGCGAGTATGTTTATATTTCTAATACCATAAAACTCAATTACACCCTGCGAGAAAACAATAAATTGTGGTCGTAAGTAGTACGCGATCCTCGGTCGCTAAGTCAAGGAAAGGAATACGCTAATAAGCTCTTCTAGTGGGATAACAACTCGATATTAACTCTAATCTTTGTTTTCTTATCAAATCAACGGTGACCTCTGCAATTTACCGAACTTAGATCAACTCTGCCATCACCCGATTTTACCCTTCCCACCTCGGACTCCGAAAAATATTAGGTTTGCTGGATTAATTAGAGCAGCAAAATTGGTTTACCTAGAATTAAGCGGGATGCAAAAATCAGGTTGGCACGACGAATTCTTACTCGCACAATTATTACCGAATCAAAAAAAATAACAAAACAGCAATAACATTACTATAATTTTTTTAAGTATATTTACCTCAATGTAGAAAATGTCGGCTAAAATGGTTAATTGTTCAACTAACTCCATCGTATTCCGTGTAGCAGCGTTAAAGTTTGGATCTTTCAATGTCAGACGTTCTTTCAGGTACTGTGCACTTATTACTCGACCAAGAGCTTTATAGTGACCTGAAAAACAACAATAAACAAAAGAAGAAGAAGAAGAAGACGACGACGAAGACGGAGACGAAGACGAAGACGAAGACGAAGACGAAGAAGAAGAAGAAGAAAAAGAAGAAGACGACGACGAAGACGAAGACGAAGACGAAGAAGAAGAAGAAGAAGAAGAAGAAGAAGAAGAAGAAGAAGAAAAAGAACAAGAAGCAATAAAAAGAAACATAAAAACGATTTTAAATAACTCTAACAGATGAATTTTTTTTCTCTGTAGTTATAATGAACAGCAAACGACTAGTACAGTGCGTTTTCACTCACGTAGCCAGCTAACTACAAATTTAATGGCACAACAGAAAGCGTTTACTTAAGAAAAGAGTTCCATTCCCACAGAATTCGTGTAGAATTCCAACATGACAATCGTTTCATTGTTTCGGAACACTAATGTGGCCGCCATGACGTCATGTGAGAACGCTCTAGAAGGAAAAAATTGGTCACGTGGTACAAATTGACGCTTGCCGTAAACCTGTAAAGGGGATTGACTAAATCTCTCCAATGACAAAAGAAAAGTCATGGAAGCGAAAACGGAGTTAGAGCACGTGTAAGAGATTATTAGAAAAAATGGAGATTTCTCTATCATACCTGGTGTGGTTTGCACTATTGACGGTGTTAAGAGCCATGTTAGTTTCGGGATATTTGGATTTAGCACGTTCTTCTGACCTTTCCACTTACTCGTTATACATTGCTCCTCTTTGTTCGGGACATTTTCAGACGCATCTGCAGACGACAAGTTTTATCATACCTGAACAAGTTTTGAATTTTTTAACCCACGAACAGCTTTGCACTCGAATTTTTAACAAGTGATAAAGCATGTACTGCGTCCCTTTTCAGGTCCAGTTTTTACTTTTTTCAGTCTGACAAGGGAAATCCTAAAATAGGCATCACATTCTGGAGACCCTGTGAACTGATCATCTGTAATTGCTTCACTAGATTTCCATGCCGAGAGCATCTATACCTGCTAATTTAGAACTTTAATTTTACTCTTCGTTAGTTTCCAGCTTCAGGCAGGTTTATTGTCTGGGATATCATGCTTTCGTCCCCACAGTTCTAGGACCCTCTAATGGAATTTATATTGTAGGATTTGTCTTTTTGTTGTTGTTGTTTCGTTTTTGTTTTTGTTTCTCGGGTACATTAAGGCCTGGGTCTAAGTCATTTATGGTTTTTATGTACAGTTTCCAAAAACTATGGTCAAAGACATTCACAAGGGACGATATATGGTGAGGTAAACTAAACTTAAAAAACTTGAAAAAAGAAATTCAAATTATTTGGTCACGTGATCGAACACGCCCTCCATTGTTCGAAAATTGGAACCGACGATTCCCACCACTTGCAAAACAAGTAGCTCCGCTTTCTCTGTATCAAAACATTGTCCCTACAAAGTGTCTACGAAATCAGCATCGGAATGGTTCGAAGCATTACAATTGGCAGGTGCAATATGGTGTTCACTGACTAGTGCCAGTCCTCCTCAAACTAACATTATCGACAGGAGAAAGACGTTTATTGACCTGGCCTCATTCCGATTGTTTTTACATGAAGAGTATTAGTGGCCACTTTTTGGACCTACTGAAGGAAAACGCTTTAATCACTTTCTGGTGGGAATTTTGACTTAAAGAATATCTCGAAAAAACAGGGCGTGACTGGTCACGTGATGCAAATATAAATAATTTTTAAAATGAAATTGGCAGATTTTTTGGTTATGATTGGTCTTAAATTCTTAGTCAGGGGATATCTTGAAAATACTTTATGTAATACTACACCCCCCTTTAAAAATTCTGAAAACTCTGTAATGACCCAGGCCTTAATCTACTTGAGTTGTTTGTTTGTTTGTTTTTCTTACAAAAATGCTTTTTTGAACAAATTTTGTTGAGAGAACTTCAATTTTTTTGGAAATACCGAAAGTTTTCGCCCTAAACTAATAACTTTAAATAGTTTTTCCGCCTAGCATTATTAAAAGCTTCTAGAAGAAAACGATGTTGTAATTTACTAACATTAAAAATTAATTCCAGTTATAATAGAAACCATTTGAACATAACGTTCATTGCACCTCAACAAATTAAGCTAACTTGTTGAGTGCATGACCTAGAGAAACACAGCCAAATTATATCATCGGTCTCGTCAGTAAGTTTCTGATGACACTAACTATGATAACTTGATCCTTTCTTTTATGTATAAGCACAGCTGGTAACGTTTTATCATCAAGTGTTTCTTATAGAATTTATTGGACAACATGTATTATTACCTTTAAAGCCGTATACCTCTGCCCTCATTCCTATGCGGCTCCCCCAGGTGACTGGTCGAAAGCGGAGATACTTCGCAGTTATTGGTGGATCAAGGTCGTGCCTGATAACAGTGTCTGCATCTGTATTTCCACTAAAAACCTGGAAGGTCAAAATTGCTGTATCCACAAGAATTCACAGAGGGAATTACAGGGGTGGGCTCAGGAGTTTTGATGAAAGAGAACTAATCAATTCTGTTGACAATTAGTTATTTGCACCCGTTTTGTATCAAGTTAGAGATTGATTCCTAGTTAAACCCTCAGCAACACAAACCCGTTTGCAATTATCTGATGGTTCTAAGAAAAAACGTATGTAGATTTAGCTCGCTTTTGTCGCCAACAAAACTGTAGTACCGTATTTATTCGATTAACCGCCCTGGACGCTTATTAAATTTTTTGACCTTGGGAGTGGGCGCTTATTGGAGGTGGGCGCTTATTCCAGGCTGGGCGCTTATTAAATTTTCACCATTTTCAGAAAGTGAAGTAAGTTTATTTTGCAACAAAACAGTAAATGCTAATGACCAAACGCGAAGAAGTAACAAAGCAAGGTTTCTGTAAAATACTCTTAAGAAAACGCCGTCCTCTGGGAAGTCTCTTATTAGAATTTATTCACTCAAGTGGGTGGGGTGGGAGTGAACGCTTATTTGAGTTTGATTGAGAAGGGGAGGGGGTGGGCGCTTATTCGAGGCTGGGCGCTTATTAACTTTTTCTACCTTTAGGATGGGCCCTTATTCGAGGTGGGCGCTAATTCGAGGTTGGGAGCTTATTCGAATAAATACGGTAATACACTAATGCATTATTTCTTTACTGTTCTAAATCGTGTTTGTGACCTAAAAAAGAGATTGTTATAAATGGTTAAATAATGAAGAGGCACTTCTTGTGTCCCAGAGCACTTAGTTAATCACAAAAAACTTTTGAGTAGGATACTAGCTGCGTAGCAGGCGCTTGGACTAGTGGGCACAAGAAAAAAACGGGCGCTCTAGAAGGAGACACGCGAGGGGAGAGGTAGCTCCCTCACCCCGCGCGTGTCTCCCTCGCGCGCGTCCGTTCTCTCTTTCGCCCACTACTTCCAAGCACCTGCTACGCAAGCTAGTAGGATACCAGATTGTGTTCCAAGTATGATTTACCTTTTCCTTATTTTGTCCCTTCTCCTTGTAGTATTGGAAAGTTACTCCATCGTCACTATATTGCAGCTTGTAGGAAGCAGTCCACTCTGTCGAAAATGGGCATCCCTGTGTTGCTATACTGGTAACGAAAGTGCTAGATTGACCGAGGCGCACTTGAAACCATTGATTTTCATCGTTTGTGGAAGGTGACCAACACATCTTCCAGTGGCGACGATTAAGTCTGCCATTTTTTGCGGAATAGAGAAATAGCTCTCCGTCAAAAACTCCTTCACCTTCCGAGGAGGCGTTTAGCTGACCGTCTGACATATCACCATTTTCCATCCCTAACGCCTCTCGGTATTTTAAAGGTTCTACCAAGAATGAAAAAGTCCCATTTTAATGAATTCTTGCGCTCTTATTAGACGACGTGTGTACATGAACACATGTTTGTTTTTTTCAAGGCTCAGTCTGATTGCACCGTTTCCAGCAAATACAAAAAAACTTTGTGCCTTGCGCCTGTGAAATTCCCCTTTGATGTTACTTGGATCTTTCAAATCTTTTTACAAAGGAACACAGCTGACTAGAAAAGTATACAGTTCAAAGAATCCCCGGGCGTGACCCTCTAAGTGTTTTGAGTGTTTACATGTTTGTCTGTCTGTTTCCTTTTTTTAAATGTTGTGTCTCTTTGGTTGTTCAAAATGTTCTTCAGGATACCAGAAATTTCCTTAGACGCAATTATACTAGATCGTTTGGGCCACTTGCAACAGCTGTAGGCCAAGATGGATTTTTTTAAGGTAGTGATAAAGAATAAATTTTGAGGCTTACCTATATTAGTCGTTGCGTCCCTTTTTCTGAGTTTGGTCTGCATCGTCAAAGTCGCCGGCATAGATAATATTAACACGAAAACGATCAACATTCCTAGAAAAAGCAAAAAATAAATAAGAGGAAATGAATCATCATCGTTATAATCATCGTCTAGAAAGCCCACTCACCCAAGCGGTTTTCAGTGAGGCCCTGCCTTTGCCTGAAAATGGGACAACGATTTGCTGTGTTTACTGTCATTGTCTAGATTGTTCAAGTAGCTACAGGCATACCGTATTGTGACTTCATAAGCGTTAACTTTGAAACCTGATGCCTCTTCAGAATTTCCTTCTTGAAGGGACAATTAAGTTAATTAGAAATTTCCTTCCGAGGTAAAGGAGGGAGCTAAATAAATGAAAGCATGAAATGCTAGTTATCAGGATAAACATTAATTTTATATTAATAATACTAATAAACTTTCACATTGAAAGCTTTCAACCTAATTTACTTCAGCTTTTATTCAATAGATCGAGGGTAAAAAGTTTAAATTAAACCTACGCACGAAACCCTCCAAAAGATTTTGCGTGTATGCAACTGATACCTTACGGCTACAAATATTAAAGGTGATTGAGCAAATGCGTTTTCCTCCGACAGAAACTAAACTTTATTTCTTAAACCAAAAAATACATATATTAAAAAAAATCGGATTTTTTTGTCAACCGATAATCAAATGAAATCTTCCTTCCGATTTCATTTAGTTCCGCGGTTTTCCTAACGATCAATTATATCAACATTTATCAACAACGATAAATTTCATCGTGGCTGGTTTCAAATCAAGGGTACAACTGGTTTGCACTTTACTAATCCAAAGTCAATGCAAATATTAGTCTCTGTTGATTTTCTCAGGTTTAGTTTGTTATAATTAAATAGCAAGAAAACGTCACCAATTTGTCTAGCAACACAGTAGTAAAGTAATTGTTAATGTAGCTTACTAACGTGCCTTCACATATAATAGTATTATTTTGTACAACTATTATTAGATTACCTATTCTTTGAATGCCAGTTGACGGAAACGTTGGTGTTTGTCACGGGCGGGTTATTATACATCCATGTCGTTAAGATCAATTTTTGTTGAAATTCTATTCAATTCAGTTTCGTTATTTGTAAGCCAACCAGATCAGACGCCAGACGTATATGACATCGACAAAATTTAGCGAAGGAGATAGAGATTTATCCATTCACCCAGAAAATGGACAGGTATCACTGTTTTATAAAAAAGAAAATTTAATTTTGGTACTTGAAAATTCAAGGTTGGACAGGTGGAAAAAGCCAGGTTCCTGTTAACGAAGAGCGTTTAAAGCCTGAGTCTTAACTCTCTACCTGTGTTTTATCATGATTTCCTTTTAACAGCTTGTTTACTTGTGCCGAGAGGGGAATACCGTGGATTTAAACATACATGGAAATTTGTCAAACAAACAAGCAAACAAATAAGCAAGCAGATCGAGAAGGTGTCGATACATTCTTCTTAAATGAGATCCTATACCTGTAGCGTATTTTTTTCAAGACATCATTTCTTTTCCCCAGTGGTGTCGCTTTGCCTATGTCTCTTAGTTTCGCTTCTAAACAAGTATCAGCTTAAAAACTTACTCTGGGCGTTTTTTTGGTAGAGACGGATTATTCAACTTAAGCGGGCATTTGTCGGACAGTACATAACACTTGGAGTACCCGTCTTAATGGGAAAATTAAAGAGAGCGAATGAATCTTGGCCTGTATTTCTATCTTAAGTGCTGAAACAGGCACAGCAACAAATTAGAACGCTGCCGTCTGGGTTTGAGAAAATCTTAATTATCACCAAAAAAATTGATTCATTCGCTGTCGGTTTCTTATGGATCATTTCAAGAAAAAGCTAGTACAAAAGTTTCATCAAGAATCGGCTTTTAAACCTCGAACTCATAACCGCATCCATAACCCCACAGACTATATTCACTTCCCTCTCTGTTGAGTGTTTGATGTACTTGATATATATATTTATATGTACATATATATATCTATATCTATTAATAGATAGCCAATGATGAGCTGAATAAAATGCTGTGAATATTATGGGTAATGATACCATGGAGTCCTTTTGACGTCATTCAAAATGGCGGACAAATTGTCGGCCAACATCTTGGATATTACCAATACCTTAGATTGATATGAATAATTTACAAATTTATTCTTTATTCAAATTTAAATTCAAATTTATCCTTTTGACGTCATTCAAAATGGCTGACACATTGTCGGCCGCCATCTTGGACATTACCAATAACTTAGATTGATGTGAATAACTTACAAATTGTTAAAGGATTTTTTGTTTGAGCTCAAGGATATTTATAATAAAACTCAATGAACAGTCAAACTGATCTCCTCTTGGTACTGTTTTATGCAATAACATGCGTTTAGCGCTGCCTTTGATTGGCCGGATACCACGCCACTCAGTGCAGATATCATTTATCTAACCATAACAGCCTGTCAGACTATCACCAAAGTTTTTGCCAAATATCCCAACGAATAAGGCTTGGTTAGGTGAAAAAATAAAACAAAATAAAAGCAAAACTGGGAAACGTTTGGAAGAGATTTTCTGGCCATCCTACAACTTGATTGATCCAAAAAAATTGAACTGGTAATGAAATAGCAATGAAATAAGGAAAACTAAGGCTTTTCGTAATTTGAGCTAAATGAGGATATTTCAACTCTATCTCTCTCTCTTGCGGGAAAATTTTCAAGAAAGAAAAAAGAACTGTGGCACCAGGATAGCATTTTACCTACCAAAAGACGGAGTTGGACTGTTTCTTCAGTAAAATGCAAATGAAAGAGCATTTTTTGACAAAGAAATCGAATGAATTGTCAAATTCAATGAAGTCCAAATGTCACGGGACCTATCAAAATAAGCGTTGTCCATATAAGCACAAATTCCCTCATCATAAGATCGGGATGACTGATAACTGTTTGTCTTTGAGTTGGTATTTCCATTATCCTTTTACTATTCCATCGAGTTGCCAAAAACGTAGTAGTGGGGAGTAAAACGAAAAGTACATGCCCCTCCCTGCCCTTCCACGGCATTTTCATTTGTATTCATTTACTGAAAATGTCCAGCGGAAAACGCAGAAATGACAATTACCGGACCCTTAATATAAATTTCTTTTTTTGGAGGGGGTGGGGGGATTGCCCCTAGACTCCCCTAGTTTGAAGCGCCTTCGGCGTTCTAACTTTTCTTTCCGTGCGTACACCTTCCAAATCTCACGCTACGCTCCTGAAAATGTGCGCTATTTTAACTTTGTCTTTTGCTAAGAAGTATTTGACAAAGTCAGTAGCATTGTGGCTGTTTGACCTTCTATTCTTACTTGGACTTGACGACCAGTAGGCTGAAAAAAATGATTTTGAAGTACCTGTCGTTATTTACAACATTACTTCATCTATGCATACTCTCTATTTACCACATTTTGGATCCTAGGTTCCTACTTGGACCGCCTATGACCTGCTCTAAGAACGTTATTTTGCTAATTTGGTGAAGAGAGTTTTAAAAAACGTTTTTTGCCACGAACTATCCGGCAGTCTATTTCAGTCTGTTTTCACTGCTTTACTTAATAGAGTTTGGACCTTACGTTGTTCTATTACAGGGCGTGATTAACTTTCACGGCGTCAAAACTATGAAATATACGTGAGGGAGATTATCGCATCCCAAGGGAGTCAGCTGTGGTCTTCTCTACGCCGGACTGGACGCAAAAGGAGGAGGAACAGACGGAGAAAATGGCGAAGATGGCGTAGCCGGCCCTCAAGGTTAGTGAAATAAGACTTATTTTAAACTTATTTTACCCATAGGTTGCAAAGTGTATAGAACGATACTTGTTTTCCATATAACGTGTCTATGGTTTTAAAAAGCTCTTTTCTATGAAAGTTGTTAAATGGTTGTGTCGCTGTACGTCCTTCATCTCTTCCCTGGAACTGAAACTTAACTTTTGGATTCCGTATTCCAATTGTCAACGAGATTCTGCATTCCTCGAGCAAAATTCAGGATGCCAAAGCCCAGGATTTCTGATTCCACAGGCAAAAATTTCACATATTCGTGAATCCCGATTACCTTCAACGGGAAGATCAATCGTTAAAGTGCGATTCGCAAGATATCGACTTTAGGAGGAAATAGTTTTCACCAGGAGCCTAGTCCCTAGTCATGGGCTCCTGTCCCTAATGATATGTGTTTCTCTACCCGGGAAACACATATCTTGGATATGAGTTCAGGGGAATGCATATCACGGTGGAACTTATATCACTGTGACGTCACAGTGATATGTGTTCCCCCGAACAGATATGTGTTCCCGGGTAGGGGAAACACATTTCACTAGGGACGTCACAGAAGCAGGAGCTCTGATGCACTCGCGGCGGTCTTTCTGTAATAAAAAATATTAGTCTAAAACGGCAAGCATTAACGATGTAAGGAAGTGCTGTCTCCAATGGTGTTTGTTTTCTGCTAACTGTTGTTAGCGCATGGCTAGCAATCTCGGTGTCACAGTGATATGTGTATCCCCGTGATATGTGTATCCCCGTACACATATTCCTAGTGATATGTGTATCCCTCCAATATGGCTGCCAGTGAAATGTGTCAGTCCCCTACCCCCACCCCTCCAAACAAGTGTCGGTTTTATTTCTGTTGTTTTTGTGAATTTTGCGAATCGTCGTCAAAGGGACTACAAATGATTCAAGATCACGAGCAACACAATCGACAAAAGAGCAACGATTCGAGACAAAATAATCGCAAAGCTGTCTCTGGCGAGTTTACTTCTTCGTGGGCCGCAATGTTGATGTAAACATTCGTTCTCGCTCCTCTCCTTATCCAACGTGATCATAATTCATATGTCGCTAGTCGCTTTAAACAAGTATGACTGACAAAATTTCATTCAGCAAGGGATAACTCGAAAAGTCAAAAAATAGAGAGGGGATACACATATCTCTGCGCTGGTCCGGTGATATGTGTATCCCCCCGTGCAAGCACCATAATAATCCACCTTTTAAGTTGTTTGATTCCTGTAAACCTAGTTGTATTACTAGTTGTTCTGATGGATTATATGGACGATATTTCCTTTAGCAAGAGGAGAAAAAACAGGGGATACACATATCGGCTGCGCCAGGTCAGTGATCCGAGTGTGCATCCCTTCTGCGAGCGCCACAATATTCCACCTTTGCATGTTGTTTGATTCCTGTTTTAACCCTAGTTGTGTTACTGGTTATGTTAGATGACATCGACCACATTTCCTTTAGCAAGAGAAGATATTTCCTTATTGTGTCGAGGATGACCATCAGCGTTTATTGTATCCCCACCCGGGATACACATACCACTAGGGATATGTGTATGGGGATACACATATCAAGGGGATACACATATAACTGTGACATCGGAATGGAATTTCGTGAGATTAACATTCAGTATGTCACGCAATGGACAACTCCGCTGGATTTTTGCGTGTTTTCGGGCTCATAGGTTTAGGACACATTGAGTAGAGAAATTCAGAGTTGTTTGTGGTCCAACTGAAGCCGCTGACTGAAAGTACCGCCCACCCCCAAAAATGGCGGCCATACACTTTCAACGAGTGGTTTGGGGGGAAATTTGAATGAATTTTAGCCAAGATACGGCATAGCGAAGATCTTGAGGTTTAGCCGAGAATGGCTTGGCCTATTTTGGCTTGTTTTAGACCACAAGAATACGCATCACCAACAGATTGCAGAGAGATGTCCAGTAGCGTTTCTAAAAGCTTGGCTTCAATATATTCAAAATTGCAGTTAACAAATTTCAATTTAGGTTACGGCACGAGTCGGGAGGCATTCATCGAAAGCTGGATTTACTGCTTTGAATATTCCACCATACTGTCCTCATGGAAAAATTCTTCGGATCTTCAAAGATGAATAACGCATCGATTACGACTTGGAGAGGTGCAATTCTTTGCAATACTTTTAGGTTTCCTCGATTGCTAGCAGAATCGCAGTGAACAATATGGATTTTTCATTCAGTTAATGAGGTAGGATTGAGTTTATATCTTTTCTCCCACTAAAAGCTATAAACATTGTGGCCTTATGTGACGCAATGTAACGCAAAAATACTGTCTCGAGAGCGCATGCCTGTCCAAGATTTCTAGCCATGAGGAAAGAACACTGAAAGAATTTGATCACTACGACTAGGGATATGTGTTCGGGGGACACGACATGTTTTCCCCCGAACACTTATCCCTAACAGTGTTTCCACATAAACAATGACAATTAGCAATTATTAAATGAGGCTGAGTAGGATATGAAGAATTATGCAGATCGATGAGGATGTTATTCATCGAGGCTGAATTCACATCAAATATTTCTAGGTTCTTAACACACTTACCTCCATTTGTTTAGACTAACAGCTTACCTCTCAGCATGGTTTCAGAATGTTAACCCTTTAAGTCCCAATGGTGACCAACATCAATTTTCTCCTAATGATACCAATACATTGTCAAGAGATTAGGTTATGAGAATGAATAAAATGATCACCAAAAAGAAAATGCTTTGATCTTTCATCAAATTCTCTGAACACATTCTTTAAGGAAATATATAGAGATCAGTTGGGAGAATTTGTTTCTGGATATTGGGACTTAAAGGGTTAACTGGTGTTTTTTCTTGCAGATACATCTCAAAAAGTAGATAACATCCATCAAGCAATTATCCTTAGTGATAAGTGTTCCCGGGTAGGGGAACACATTTCACTAGGGAGGAACACATATCACTATGAAGTCACAATAGCAGTAGCTCCTGACCTAGTCTTGACACACGAGAAAACAACACCATGCATGGATGGAGGTCATTCTGTAATAAAAACTTTGGGAAATTAGTCTAAAGCCACGAGCACCACTAGTCAGCAGCGTCTGGAAACAAGGTTGATCGATGACCTATCACCCATACAGTCTCATCTCCAACTGAATCCTCCTTCTTCTTTAACCCTTTAAGTCCGAATAGTGACCAACAGCAGCTTTTTTCTCCTAACAATGTCCATACATTGTCAAGAGATAAGGTTGTGAGAATGTGAAAAATGATCACGAAAGAGAAAATGCCTTGATGTTTTATTAAATTCTCTCAACTAATTCTTAAAGGAAATGTATGGAGATCAGTTTGTGAATTTGTATGTGGATATTGGGGCTTAAAGAGTTAATACATGTACCATTGCATCGGTGGCATTTTGCTCGCATCTTTCAAATTTAGTCAGCCCTGGTTGGTTATGAAGAATTAGCAGGGGTAGGGCTGTCAGAACGTTTTTAAGTTGCAGGCTGATAATGAATAGTTGGGGGCTTTGGAACTCGCACCAAAGGCACAAGTTTTTTGAGGACCGAGGCATCTAGGGACATTTTGAAAATTAGAGTCTCAGAAATGGCATTTCCTGGGGTGTTCATGGGGTATTTTCCACTGCGGACGCCATGTTGTTTAGAATATGCAAAAGACTGGGAACAATGCCGTCAAGACGTCCAGGAACCTATTCGATTCTGTGGAGGTTTAACTTCACCCCCTATAAGACTGGAACGAAGTGTTTCAGTGGACGTGGACTGAGGCGATATGGGTCAACTAAAAAGTCTCGTTGACATGTAATACTAACTCCATTGTCACCAAAAGACTGTGGAACTTAAGACATTTATTTGAGGGTAAAAAACTTAGATTTTGTAGCAGAAGTTGATGTATTTCTCTTAGGGAGAAATAAGGTTAAATTAGAGTCTCAGAAATGGCGTTTCCAGGGTTGTTCATGAGTTATTTTCCACTGCGGACGCCATGTTGTTTAGAATACGCAAAAGACTGGGAACAAAACCATCAAAACGTCCAGGAACCTATTCGAGTCTGTGGAGGTTTAACTTGACCCCCTATAAGACTGGAAAGAAGTGTTTCAGTTTATTTCCAGCATTGCAAATAGTTGTCACTGTTGTCACCATTGTCACTGATGTCACCGTTATCACTGTTGTCACTCTTGTCAATGTTGTCGCCGTTGTCGCGGTTGTCACCGTTTTCACTGAGGTCACTGTTGTCACTTTTGTCACCGTTTTCGCTGTTGTCACGGTTGTCACCGTTGTCACTGTTGTCACTTTTGTCACCGTTCTTGCTGTTGTCACGGTTGTCACCGTTGTCACTGTTGTCACCGTTCTCGCTGTTGTCACCATTGTCACAGTTGTCACTGTTGTCACCGTTGTCACTGTTGTCATGGTTGTCACCGTTGTCACTGTTGTCACCGTTGTCGCTGTTGTCACAGTTGTCACTGTTGTCACCGTTGTCAATGTTGTCACTGTTTTCAATGTTGTCACGGTTGTCGCTGTTGTGGCGGTTGTCACCGTTGTCACTGTTGTCACTATTATCACTGTTGTCACCGTTGTCTCTGTTGTCACGGTTGTCACCGTTCTCACTGTTGTCACCGTTGTCACCATTGTCGCAGTTGTCACAGTTGTCACTGTTGTCAGTGGTGTCACCGTTGTCGCTGTTGTTACAACTGTCACAGTTGTCACTGTTCTGACCATTGTCACCGTTGTCACTGTTTTCACCGTTGTCGCTGTTGTCACGGTTGTCACTGTTGTCACCGTTGTCACCGTTGTCACTGTTTTCACCATTGTCACCGTTGTCACTGTTGTCACCGTTGTCACCGTTGTCACTTTTGTCACCATTGTCGCTTTTGTCACTGTTGTCATGGTTGTCACGGTTGTCACCGTTGTCACTGTTGTCACTGTTGTCACCGTTGTCACTGTTTTCACCATTGTCACAGTTGTCACTGTTGTCACCGTTGTCACTGTTCTCACCAGTGTCACCGTTGTCACTGTTGTCACTGTTGTCACCGTTGTCACCGTTGTCGCTGTTTTCACCATTGCCACAGTTGTCACTGTTGTCACCGTTGTCACTGTTGTCACCGTTGTCACTGTTGTCACAGTTGTCTCTGTTGTCACTGTTGTCTTTGTTGTCACTGTTGTCACCGTTGTCGCTGTTGTCACCATTGTCACCGTTGTCACTCTTGTCACCGATGTCACTGTTGTCACTGTTGTCACCGTTGTCACTATTGTCATGGTTGTCACCCTTGTTACTGTTGTCACCGTTGTCACCATTGTCGCTGTTGTCACAGTTGTCAATGTTGTCACCGTTGTGACTGTTGGCACTGTTTTCAATGTTGTCACCGTTGTCGCTGTTGACGCGGTTGTCACCGTTGTTACTGTTGTCAGTGGTGTCACCGTTGTCGCTGTTGTTACCACTCTCAAAGTTATCACTGTTGTCACCGTTGTCACTGTTTTTACCGTTGTCGCCGTTGTCGCTGTTGTCACGGCTGTCATCATTGTCACTGTTGTTACTTTGTTGTCACTGTTGTTACTTTGTCGCTGTTGTCACGGTTGTCACCGTTGTCACTGTTGTCACCATTGTCACTGTTGTCACCATTGTCACTATGAAGTCACTGTCGCTGTTTTCACCATTGTCACTTTTAGGTTTCCTCGATTGCTAGCAGAATCGCAGTGAACAATATGGATTTTTCATTCAGTTAATGAGGTAGGATTGAGTTTATATCTTTTCTCCCACTAAAAGCTATAAACATTGTGGCCTTATGTGACGCAATGTAACGCAAAAATACTGTCTCGAGAGCGCATGCCTGTCCAAGATTTCTAGCCATGAGGAAAGAACACTGAAAGAATTTGATCACTACGACTAGGGATATGTGTTCGGGGGAACACATATCACTGTGGCGTCATTGTGATATGTGTTTCCCCGTGACATCTTTTCCCCCGAACATTATCCCTAACAGTGTTTCCACATAAACAGTGACAATTAGCAATTATTAAATGAGGCTGAGTAGGATATGAAGAATTATGCAGATCGATGAGGATGTTATTCATCGAGGCTGAATTCACATCAAATATTTCTAGGTTCTTAACACACTTACCTCCATTTGTTTAGACTAACAGCTTACCTCTCAGCATGGTTTCAGAATGTTAACCCTTTAAGTCCCAATGGTGACCGACATCAATTTTCTCCTAATGATACCAATAAATTGTCAAGAGATTAGGTTATGAAAATGAATAAAATGATCACCAAAAAGAAAATACTTTGATCTTTAATCAAATTCTCTGAACACATTCTTTAAGGAAATATATAGATCAGTTGGGATAATTTGTTTCTGGATAAAGGGTTAACTGGTGTTTTTTCTTGCAGATACTTCTCAGCAAGTAGGTAAGATCCATCAAGCGATTATCCTTAGTGATAAGTGTTCCCGGGTAGGGGAAACACATTTCACTAGGGAGGAACACATATCACTATGAAGTCACAGTAGCAGTAGCTCCTGAGCCATAGTCATGACACACGAGAAAACAAAACCATGTATGCATGGAGGTCATTCTGTAATAAAAATTTTGGGAAATTAGTCTAAAGCCACGAGCACCACTAGTCAGCAGCGTCTGGAAACGAGGTTGATCGATGACCTATCACCCATACAGTCTCATCTCCAACTGAATCCTCCTTCTTCTTTAACCCTTTAAGTCCCAATAGTGACCAACAGCAATTTTCTCCTAACAATGTCCATACATTGTCAAGAGATAAGGTTGTGAGAATGTGAAAAATGATCACGAAAGAGAAAATGCCTTGATGTTTTATTAAATTCTCTCAACTAATTCTTAAAGGAAATGTATGGAGATCAGTTTGGGAATTTGTATGTGGATACTGGGGCTTAAAGGGTTAATACATGTACCATTGCATCGGTGGCATTTTGCTCGCATCTTACAAATTTGGTCAGCGCTGGTTGGTTATGAAAAATTAGCAGGGGTAGGGCTGTCAGAACGTTTGGAAGTTGCAGGCTGATAATGAATAGTTGGCGGCTTTGGAACTCGCACCAAAGGCACAAGGTTTTTGAGGGCCGAGGCATCTAGGGACATTTTGAAAATTAGTGTCTCAGAAATGGCATTTCCAGGGGTGTTCATGGGGTATTTTCCACTGCGGACGCCATGTTGTTTAGAATACGCAAAAGACTGGGAACAATGCCGTCAAAACGTCCAGGAACCTATTCGATTCTGTGGAGGTTTAGCTTCACTCCCTATAAGACTGGAAGGAAGTGTTTCAGTTTATTTCCAGCATTAGAAATGGCAGAACCAACGTGGACTAAGACGATATGGGTCAACTAAAAAGTCTCGTTGACATGTAATACTAACTGCATTGTCACCGAAAGACTGTGGAACTTAAGACATTTATTTGAGGGCAAAAAAACAAACATCATGATGAGAAGATGGAATCATAATGTCATTTTATTTCGAAGCATTTCCCGTTTCTTATCAGAAGTGTGCAGGCGGTGGTTCCCTGGCCAATCAGGAGATCGAACGTGTTTAGTGCTGTATAAAAGACTTGTTATGTGTTTCGCGCGGCTCTTCCAACTATTACCATCAGCCTGTACTAGTGACATCCCTTTGACGCTTAGTTAAAAATTTTTAGGCAAGTTTAATCCTTCTTTCTTAAGAGGGTTATGGCTACACACACGGTTACCCCAACACCTCGTGTTTTAATCTTGGGTCACTCTTTTATTCGACGCCTGCAGAAGTTCATTGAACATCATATCGACTACCTTGATTTATCACTACAAATTACGGCTCCCGCAGATATAACTTGGCATGGCATTGGTGGGCGTACAGTAGCAAAAACGATCAAATTTGATCTGCACGTAGTTCGATCTACACGCCCCGACATAGTTATCGTGCAACTTGGTACTAATGACCTACCAGTTCAGTCTCCTCTACAAGTTGCGTCAGAACTTGAGGACTTCGTTCGTTTGTTGCACGATTCTTACGGGGTAAAATTCGTGTGTGTATGCCAAACCATTCGTCGACGCTCTGCTACTGCCTTTAACAAAAACGTAGATCTTTTAACGCGTTACCTACGGGTTGTCTTGGAACCCATCCCTTACGCGATCTATTGGGGTCATAGGGGTTTCTGGAAGGCTCGTCATAATTTTTATGCTGCTGATGGCGTTTATTTGAATAGTATGGGGCTATATAAGCTCTATCGTAGTTTTAGAGGGGCAGTACTTAAGTCTATGCGGCTCTTGTCTAGTGCTGACATTCAGTAACGTAGCGTTGATGTTATTCTTTATGTTTTTTGATCCTCGGGCCAGTTCCTTTGATATTGCCTCCAACAATTATGTTTATGATTGTGTCAGCCTTTGATTATTTGCTTTGTCGTTGCCTCTTGATTTTGAGCTCGACACTGACTGTACACCATCAGTCGCAGTTTAGCGGCCAGCATTTATTCTGTCAGTCTTTGATTTATGCGTTTTAGTCGTTGCCTATTTATTTGAGCACGACACTGGCTGTACACTCTGATCCCATAGGTTCCTTTTGGAACCCTTTGTTTGCTACCTGGAAAGTTTCGGTTTATAATTTGCAGTCAGATACCATTTTTGAGTGTACAACATATCTCCGGCCGCCCGATCTTTGTCGTGGTGTGCCCAATGCACTCGGTATTCTGTACCTGCCGTTGATTTTGTTTAATTTTAATTTGATTATCAATTGTTGTTATTATTGATTTTTGTTGTGCTCGTTTGACTGGAACTTGGCCCGCGATGTTTAACTTCGACTTCTCCTCCCCTGTTTGTCATTCGAACATTGTTCTCGCGTACTCGTGGGTTCTGCCCCTCTAAAGAATGTTAGACAGGAAATTTTTATCTTACTTGGAGTTAATTATCCGTAACGGTCTTTGTTGATAAGTCATGCCACCCAAGAAGCGCCAACAACCTAATTTGCCTAAGCGAAGACAGTCCAAGCGAATGCGACCTTCCGACCTCGCAGAGACGGCTCCTGAGACAGAGCATACAAGTTTAGCAGCTGCAAATTCCAACACAGCTAATTTGATGACGGTGGATGTGAACGCCTTAACTTCGTCTATTCCCTCGCTGTAACCGAGGCAGTTCAACGGGCCTTTGAGAAGATTCCCCAAACGCAAGTTGACAAGTGCCAGGACAAGCCTACTGGCGTAGAGGCAGTGGTAGATGAAGAAGTTTCTCTTCTGACCGAAAGTACACCTCCAAGTACGTCATCCAATCCGCTCCCGTTGCCAGGCAACAAGAAACCATTTGCAAGTATAGCCGTAGCTCTAGGTAGTAACGTAACTCCCAAACTTAAAAGGAAAATCTGGGCCAATTAGTACATAGATTTCGGGGCACTACTTTCCGTCTCCCCAGCTACTGAAAAGTATTCTTTATCTTTCAAGTCCACTGATAGCTTCCCTAGACAACCCCAGTTGACCCTGGAGCCTCTTCAACCCTCTAAGAAAATTCATACCTTTAATCAATGGCTGTCAGCTTTCAATACTTTTGTAACCATATTTACAGAGAAATTTCCCCATGAAGCCCCGCAACTTATGAAATATTGTGAGATCATTCGCGACATTTCAGCCAAACCGGGTGACTGGTATTTTTATGAGGAACAATTTCGTTATCTTAGGCAGTCAGCCCCTGACCAGTACCCCTGGGATTCTGTGCACTGGGAGCTATGGCTTAAGGCGGTAATAAATTTTCGTACAAAATCGCAATTTAGCTCGGACAAGGTCAATTCTGGGGTTCCTACGCGATCACGGCCTCGCCAGTCCTTTCCCAAAGGGTCCTACTGGACATTTCATGCAGGGAGATATTGCGCGGATTGTCGATTCGACCATGTTTGTTTCAAATGTGGCGCAAAGCACCCCGCAAGCCAGTGCTCCGCCAGCCAACAACATCGCCTCCCTTTCTCCAAAGAAGGACCAGTTGCTACGAATTCTACACAGCAGTCCGGCCACTCCCGTAAGGGTGGACAGGCTTGATTTCCTTTTAACCGGATACCCTGATGACTTAAAACACTTTCTAATTTCGGGTTTTTCTTTCGGTTTTCGTATCAGTTATGTGGGCGAACGGCAGACCTTTGAATCTCGCAATCTAAAAAGTGCACTCGAAAAACCACACGTTGTTTTGTCAAAATTAAACAAGGAACGTGAGGCCGGTCGCATCGCGGGCCCCTTCACTGTCCCACCTTTTCCAATCTTTCATTGTTCGCCTCTAGGCATCGTTCCCAAGAAGGATCCTTCCGAATTCGGCTAATACATCACTTATCATACCCCCATGGTTCCTCCGTCAATGATTTTATTCCCGATGATTGTTCTTCGGTCAGTTATGCTTCCATAAACGACGCAATTGATGTCCTCAAACGGACAGGGGCTGGTTGTTTTATGGCCAAAACAGATGTCAAATCGGCGTTTCGCATAATACCCATCGATCCTAATGACTATCCGTTGTTGGGTATGAAGTGGGAGAACTTGTATTATTTTGATCGTTGTCTTCCTATGGGCTGCTCTTCTTCATGTGCAATTTTTGAGGCTTTTAGTACGGCACTCGAGTGGCTGGCTTTGCATCGACTTGGCGCTTCAGGGGTTCTACATATTTTAGACGATTTTCTTTTTATTGCCGAAAGCGAAGAGAAATGCCAGGCCGATTTACATAGTTTTCTTAATTTGTGCGAGTATCTCGGGGTTCCTATAGCAGATGAAAAAACCGTCGACCCTCATACCGTTTTACAATTCGCGGGCATTACTATTTCACTTGTTCAGTTGTCGTACCGGGCTGCGCGTTTCTCCGCCGTATGATCGATCTTACCAAAGGGGTAAGAAGACCGCACCACCACATTCGCCTTACTAATATAAGGAGGTCAAACACGACATTGCCGTCTGGCTAACATTTTTAGGGCAGTTTAATGGGAGAACCTTTTTCTTACACGAGAAATGGGAAACTTCGTCCTCTCTCCAGTTGTACACAGATGCAGCCGGATCCAAGGGATACGTTGCTAACTGTGGTAAGGATTGGTTTTGGGGCGCGTGGCCGGATTCATGGAAATCCTTTTATATCGCATTTTTAGAGCTGTTTCCGATCGTTATAGCGCTGCACATCTGGGAGCCTTATATGGCCAACAGGTGTGTGGCATTCTACACTGATAACGCTGCCATTGTTGATATCATCAACCGGCAGACGTCAAAACATCAATTAGTCATGATTTTAGTTCGCTATTTGGTTTTAACTTCAATTAAATACAATATTTTATTTCGCGCACGGCATATTCCGGGCGTGCATAATTCTGGTGCCGACTACATTTCACGTTTACAGGTAGAACAATTCAAGCAAATTTCGCCCGAAGCAGACGTCCTGCCAAAAAAGTTCCCGTGAGCCTCCTGCCGCAGAGTTGGTCCCTACGCTAAGGGTCTTGTTAAATTCCGCCCTCTCATCGGGTTCTCGTAAGCTTTATCAGCGAGCATGGGCTGTTTTCAATGATTTTTATCAACAATTTTATCATTCTGTTTCTCCTGCTTTACCGCTAACTACACCTGTGTTAGCCCTTTTTGTTTCTTATCTTCACGCTTGGAAGCTAGCTCCGTCAACCATTAAATCTTATCTGTCGGCCATCGGATGTGTGCACAAGTTCAAAGGTTTGAATGATCCTACGAGGGCTTTCATTATTGACAAGCTGTTGACGGCCCTAAGACATCAAATCTCAAGTGACATCCGGCTTCCAATCTCAAGGATGGTCCTTCACGCGCTCGCAGGTTCACTTAACCACAACAACTCTTCGGCCTTTCACCGTACCCTTTTTTCTTCTATGTTTTTAATAGCATTTTACGGCTTTTTTAGGATCGGTGAGCTGGCGGCACTGTTGTCACAGTTGTCACTGTTGTCGCCATTGTCGCTGTTGTCGTGGTTGTCACTGTTGTCGTGGTTGTCACCGTTTTCATAGTTGTCACCGATGTCGCCATTGTCACCGTTCTCGCTGTTGTCACTGTTGTTACGGTTGCCACCGTTGTCACCGTCGTGACTGTTGTCATCGTTGACGCTGTTCTCACTGTGGTCACTGCTGTCACCATTGTTACTGTTGTCGCTGTTGTCACGGTTCTCACCGTTGTCACTGTTGCCACTGTTGTCACTTTTGTCAACGATGTCACCGTTCTCACTGTTGTCACTGTTGTCACTGTTGTCACCGTTTTCAACGTTGTCGCTGTTGTCACGGTTGTCACTGTTATCACAGTTGTCACCATTGTCAACCTTGTCACTGTTGCCACCGCTGTCACTGTTGTCACTCTTTTCACTGTTCTCACAGTTGTCACATTTGTCACTGTTGTCACGGTTGTCACAATTGCCACCGTTGTCACCGTTGTCACCGCTGTCACTGTTGTCACTGTTGTCACCGTTGTCACTGTGGCCACTGTTGTCACCGTTGTCACCATTGTCGCTGTTGTCACTGTTGTCACCGTTGTTACTGTTGTCACTGGTGTCACCGTTGTCACTGTTGTCACTGCTGTCACCGTTGCTACCGTTGTCGCTGTTGTCACAGTTGTCACTGTTTTCACTGTTGTCATTGTTGTCAGCGTTGTCACTTTTGTCACCATTGTCGCTGTTGTTACTGTTGTCACCGTTTCCAAAACTTTCGCTGTTCTCACGGTTGTCACTGATGTCACTGTTGTCACAGTTGTCACCTTTGTCACCTTTGTCACTGTTGTCACTGTTGTCACCGTTGTCACTATTGTCACTGTTGTCAAAGTTATCACTGTTGTCACAGTTGTCACCTTTGTCACTCTGGTCACCGTTGTCACCGTTGTCACCGTTGTCACCGTTGTCACCGTTGTCACTGTTGTCACCATTGTCACTGTTGTCACCGTTGTCACTGCTGTCACCGTCGTCACCGTTGTCACCGCTGTCACTGTTGTCACCATTGTCACCGTTGTCAACGTTGTCACCGCTGGCAAGGTTGTCACTGTTGTCACGGTTGTCACAGTTGTCGCTGTTGTCACAGTTGTCACCTTTGTCACTCTCGTCACGGTTGTCACCATTGTCACCGCTGTCACCGTTGTCACCGTTGTCGCCATTGTCACTGTTGTCACCGTTGTCACCGTTGTCACTGTTGTCATGGTTGTCACCATTGTCACCGTTGTCACTGCTGTCACCGTTGTCACCGTTGTCACCGCTGTCACTGTTGTCACCATTGTCACCGTTGTCACCGTTGTCACCTTTGTCACTGCTGTCACTGTTGTCACTGTTGTCACTGTTGTCACCTTTGTCACTCTCGTCACGGTTGTCACAGTTGTCACCGTTGTCACTGTTGTCACCTTTGTCACTGTTGTCACTGTTGTCACTGTTGTCACTGTTGTCACCGTTGTCACCGTTGTCACTGTTGTCACCGTTGTCACCGTTGTCACTGTTGTCACTGTTGTCACAGTTGTCACCTTTGTCACTCTCGTCACGGTTGTCACAATTGTCACCGTTGTCACTGTTGTCACCTTTGTCACTGCTGTCAATGTTGTCACTGTTGTCACTGTTGTCACGGTTGTCACCATTGTCACCGTTGTCACTGTTGTCACCGTTGTCACCGCTGTCACCGTTGTCACTGTTGTCACTGTTGACACAGTTGTCACCTTTGTCACTCTTGTCACGGTTGTCACAATTGTCACTGCTGTCACTGTTGTCCCCATTGTCACTGTTGTCACAGTTGTCGCCTTTGTCACTCTTGTCACGGTTGTCACAAAAGTCACAGTTGTCACTGTTGTCGCCGTTGTCACTGCTGTCACCGTTCTCACTGTTGTCACTGTTGTCACAGTTGTCCTCTTTGTCACTCTTGTCACGGTTGTCACAGTTGTCACTGTTGTCACCGTTGTCACCGTTGTCACTGCTGTCACCGTTGTCACTGTTGTCTCTGTTGTCAAGGTTGTCACCACTGTCACCGTTGTCACCGTTGTCACCCGTGTCACTGTTGTCACCACCATTGTCACCGTTGTCACCATTGTCACCGCTGTCACCGTTGTCACTGTTGTCACAGTTGTCACCTTTGTCACTCTTGTCACGGTTGTCACTGTTGTCACCGTTGTCACCGCTGTCACTGTTGTCAACATTGTCACCGTTGTCACCTTTTTCACTCTTGTCACGTTTGTCACAATTGTCACCGTTGTCACCCCTGTCACTGTTGTCATTGTTGTCACTATTGTTACGGTTGTCACGATTGTCACCGTTGTCGCTGTTGTCACTGTTGTCACTGTTGTCATTTTTGTCACTCTTGTCGCTGTTGTCATTGTTGTCAGTGTTGTCACCGTTGTCACTGTTGTCACTGTTGTCACAGTTGTCACTGTTGTCACCGTTTTGGCCATTGTAGCTGTTGTCACAGTTGTCGCTGTTCTCGCTGTTGTCATTGTTGTCACCATTGTTACAATTGTCGCTGTTCTCATGGATGTCACTGTTGTCACGGTTGTCACCATTGTCACCGCTATCACCGTTGTCACTGTTGTCACTGTTGTCACAGTTGCCACCTTTGTCACTCTTGTCACGGTTGACACAATTGTCACCATTGTCACTGATGTCACCGTTGTCACTGCTGTTACTGTTGTCACTGTTGTCACTGTTGTCACAGTTGTCACCATTGTCACCGTTGTCGCTGTTGTCACTGTTGTCACTGTTGTCATTTTTGTCACTCTAATGTCGCTGTTGTCACCTCTGTCACTGTTGTCACCATTGTCACCGTTGTCACTGTTGTCACTTTTGTCACTGCTGTCACTGTTGTCACTGTTGTCACCTTTGTCACTCTCGTCACGGTTGTCACAATTGTCACCATTGTCACTGTTGTCGCCTTTGTCACTGCTGTCACTGTTGTCACTGTTGTCACTGTTGTCACGGTTGTCACCATTGTCACCGTTGTCACCGTTGTCACCGCTGTCACCGTTGTCACTGTTGTCACTGTTGTCACAGTTGTCACCTTTGTCACTCTTGTCACGGTTGTCACAATTGTCACCATTGTCACTGTTGTCACCGTTGTCACCTTTGTCACTGCTGTCACTGCTGTCACTTTTGTCACCGTTGTCACCATTGTCACCGTTGTCACCGTTGTCACCGCTGTCACTGTTGTCACTGTTGTCACAGTTGTCACCTTTGTCACTCTTGTCACGGTTGTCACAATTGTCACTGTTGTCACTGTTGTCACCGTTGTCACTGTTGTCACCGTTGTCACCTTTGTCACTGTTGTCACCGTTGTCACTGTTGTCACTGTTGTCACCGTTGTCACCGTTGTCACTGTTGTCACTGTTGTCACCGTTGTCACTGTTGTCACCCTTGTCACCGTTGTCACTGTTGTCACTGTTGTCACTGTTGTCACCGTTGTCACCGTTGTCACCACCAAGTCACCTTTGTTGTCACCGTTGTCACCGTTGTCACTGTTGTCACCGTTGTCACTGTTGTCACTGTTGTCACCGTTGTCACCATTGTCACCGTTGTCACCGTTGTCACTGTTGTCACCGTTGTCACCGTTGTCACTGTTGTCACCGTTGTCACACGTTGTCACTGTTGTCACCGTTGTCACCTTGTCACCGTTGTCACCACTCTGTTGTCACCGTTGTCACCATTGTCACCGTTGTCACTGTTGTCACCATTGTCACCGTTGTCAATGTTGTCGACTTTGTCACCATTGTCACTGTTGTCACCGTTGTCACTGTTGTCACTGTTGTCACTGTTTGTCACCGTTGTCACTGTTGTCACTGTTGTCACCGTTGTCACCATTGTCACTGTTGTCACTGTTGTCACCGTTGTCACTGTTGTCACCGTTGTCACCGTTGTCACCATTGTCACTGTTGTCACCGTTGTCACCGTTGTCACCGTTGTCACTGTTGTCACCGTTGTCACCGTTGTCACCGTTGTCACCGTTGTCACCGTTGTCACCGTTGTCACTGTTGTCACTGTTGTCACCGTTGTCACCGTTGTCACTGTTGTCACTGTTGTCACCGTTGTCACCGTTGTCACCGTTGTCACCGTTGTCACTGTTGTCACCTTTGTCACTGTTGTCACCGTTGTCACCGTTGTCACCGTTGTCACTGTTGTCACTGTTGTCACCGTTGTCACCGTTGTCACTGTTGTCACCGTTGTCACTGTTGTCACTGTTGTCACCGTTGTCACCGTTGTCACCGTTGTCACCGTTGTCACTGTTGTCACCGTTGTCACTGTTGTCACCATTGTCACTGTTGTCACCGTTGTCACCGTTGTCACTGTTGTCACTGTTGTCACCGTTGTCACTGTTGTCACTGTTGTCACTGTTGTCACCGTTGTCACCGTTGTCACTGTTGTCACTGTTTTCACTGTTGTCACTGTTGTCACCGTTGTCACTGTTGTCACCGTTGTCACCGTTGTCACTGTTGTCACCGTTGTCACCGTTGTCACCGTTGTCACCGTTGTCACCGTTGTCACCGTTGTCACTGTTGTCACTGTTGTCACCGTTGTCACCGTTGTCACCGTTGTCACCGTTGTCACTGTTGTCACCGTTGTCACCGTTGTCACTGTTGTCACCGTTGTCACTGTTGTCACCGTTGTCACCGTTGTCACCGTTGTCACCGTTGTCACCGTTGTCACCGTTGTCACCGTTGTCACCGTTGTCACCGTTGTCACTGTTGTCACTGTTGTCACCGTTGTCACCGTTGTCACCATTGTCACCGTTGTCACTGTTGTCACCATTGTCACTGTTGTCACCGTTGTCACCATTGTCACCGTTGTCACTGTTGTCACCGTTGTCACTGTTGTCACTGTTGTCACTGTTGTCACTGTTGTCACCGTTGTCACTGTTGTCACTGTTGTCACCCTTGTCACCGTTGTCACCGTTGTCACTGTTGTCACTGTTGTCACCGTTGTCACCGTTGTCACCGTTGTCACATTGTCACCGTTGTCACTGTTGTCACTGTTGTCACCGTTGTCACCGTTGTCACCGTTGTCACTGTTGTCACCTTTGTCACTGTTGTCACCGTTGTCACCATTGTCACCGTTGTCACCGTTGTCACCGTTGTCACTGTTGTCACTGTTGTCACTGTTGTCACCGTTGTCACTGTTGTCACTGTTGTCACCGTTGTCACCATTGTCACCGTTGTCACCGTTGTCACCGTTGTCACCGTTGTCACTGTTGTCACTGTTGTCACCGTTGTCACCGTTGTCACCGTTGTCACCGCTGTCACCGTTGTCACCGTTGTCACCGTTGTCACCGTTGTCACTGTTGTCACTGTTGTCACCGTTGTCACCGTTGTCACCGTTGTCACCGTTGTCACCGTTGTCACCGTTGTCACTGTTGTCACTGTTGTCACTGTTGTCACCGTTGTCACCGTTGTCAGGGTTGTCACCGTTGTCACTGTTGTCACCATTGTCACCATTGTCACCGTTGTCACTGTTGTCACCGTTGTCACCGTTGTCACTGTTGTCACCGTTGTCACTGTTGTCACCGTTGTCACCATTGTCACTGTTGTCACCGTTGTCACCGTTGTCACCGTTGTCACTGTTGTCACTGTTGTCACTGTTGTCACCGTTGTCACCGTTGTCACTATTGTCACTGTTGTCACTGTTGTCACCGTTGTCACTGTTGTCACCGTTGTCACCATTGTCACCGTTCACCATTGTCACCGTTGTCACCGTTGTCACCGTTGTCACCACTGTTTGTCACCGTTGTCACCGTTGTCACTGTTGTCACCGTTGTCACCGTTGTCACTGTTGTCACCGTTGTCACCGTTGTCACCGTTGTCACCGTTGTCACCGTTGTCACCGTTGTCACCGTTGTCACTGTTGTCACTGTTGTCACCGTTGTCACCGTTGTCACTGTTGTCACCGTTGTCACTGTTGTCACCGTTGTCACCGTTGTCACTGTTGTCACCGTTGTCACCGTTGTCACTGTTGTCACCGTTGTCACCGTTGTCACTGTTGTCACCGTTGTCACCGTTGTCACTGTTGTCACCATTGTCACCGTTGTCACTGTTGTCACCGTTGTCACCGTTGTCACTGTTGTCACCATTGTCACCGTTGTCACCTTTGTCACTATTGTCACCGCTGTCACCGTTGTCACCGTTGTCACCGCTGTCACCATTGTCACCGTTGTCACCGTTGTCACCGTTGTCACCGTTGTCACTGTTGTCACCGTTTGTCACTGTTGTCACTGTTGTCACCGTTGTCACTGTTGTCACCGTTGTCACCGTTGTCACCGTTGTCACCGTTGTCACCGTTGTCACCGTTGTCACTGTTGTCACTGTTGTCACCATTGTCACTGTTGTCACCGTTGTCACCGTTGTCACTGTTGTCACCGTTGTCACTGTTGTCACCGTTGTCACCGTTGTCACTGTTGTCACTGTTGTCACTGTTGTCACTGTTGTCACCGTTGTCACTGTTGTCACCGTTGTCACTGTTGTCACTGTTGTCACCGTTGTCACTGTTGTCACCATTGTCACTGTTGTCACTGTTGTCACTGTTGTCACCGTTGTCACTGTTGTCACTGTTGTCACTGTTGTCACCGTTGTCACCGTTGTCACCGTTGTCACTGTTGTCACCGTTGTCACCGTTGTCACTGTTGTCACCGTTGTCACTGTTGTCACCGTTGTCACTGTTGTCACTTTTGTCACCGTTGTCACCGTTGTCACCGTTGTCACCGTTGTCACCGTTGTCACTGTTGTCACTGTTGTCACTGTTGTCACTGTTGTCACCGTTGTCACCGTTGTCACTGTTGTCACCGTTGTCACCGTTGTCACCGTTGTCACCGTTGTCACCGTTGTCACCGTTGTCACCGTTGTCACTGTTGTCACTGTTGTCACCATTGTCACTGTTGTCACCATTGTCACCATTGTCACTGTTGTCACTGTTGTCACCGTTGTCACCGTTGTCACCGTTGTCACCGTTGTCACTGTTGTCACTGTTGTCACCATTGTCACCGTTGTCACTGTTGTCACCGTTGTCACCGTTGTCACCGTTGTCACCGTTGTCACCGTTGTCACCATTGTCACTGTTGTCACCGTTGTCACCGTTGTCACCGTTGTCACTGTTGTCACTGTTGTCACCGTTGTCACTGTTGTCACCGTTGTCACCGTTGTCACCGTTGTCACCGTTGTCACCGTTGTCACCGTTGTCACTGTTGTCACCGTTGTCACCGTTGTCACTGTTGTCACCGTTGTCACCGTTGTCACTGTTGTCACCGTTGTCACCGTTGTCACCGTTGTCACTGTTGTCACCGTTGTCACCGTTGTCACTGTTGTCACTGTTGTCACCGTTGTCACTGTTGTCACTGGTGTCACCGTTGTCACTGTTGTCACCGTTGTCACGGTTGTCACCGGTGTAACCGTTGTCACGGTTGTCACTGTTGTCACCGTTGTCACCGTTGTCACCGTTGTCACTGTTGTCACCGTTGTCACCGTTGTCACCGTTGTCACTGTCACCGTTGTCACCGTTGTCACCGTTGTCACCGTTGTCACCGTTGTCACCGTTGTCACTGTTGTCACCGTTGTCACTGTTGTCACCGTTGTCACCGTTGTCACCCTTGTCACCGTTGTCACCGTTGTCACGGTTGTCACCGTTGTCACTGTTGTCACCGTTGTCACTGTTGTCGCCTTTGTCGTCGTTGTCACCGTTGTCACTGTTGTCACTGTTGTCACCGTTGTCACCCTTGTCACCGTTGTCACCGTTGTCACTGTTGTCACCGTTGTCACCGTTGTCACCGTTGTCACTGTTGTCACCGTTGTCGCCGTTGTCACTGTTGTCACTGTTGTCACCGTTGTCACCATTGTCACTGTTGTCACTGTTGTCACCGTTGTCACCGTTGTCACTGTTCACTGTTGTCACGGTTGTCACTGTTGTCACCGTTGTCACTCTTCACCGTTGTTACCCTTGTCACTGTTCTCACCGTTGTCACTGTTGTCACCGTTGTTACCGTTGTCACTTGTCAGCGCTGTCACCGTTGTCACCATTGTCACCGTTGTCACTGTTGTCACTGTTGTCGCTGTTGTCACTGTTGTCACTGTTGTCACTGTTGTCACCGTTGTCACCGTTGTCACCGTTGTCACTGTTGTCACAGTTGTCACCGTTGTCACTGTTGTCACCATTGTCACCGTTGTCACCGTTGTCACCGTTGTCACTGTTGTCACCGTTGTCACCGTTGTCACTGTTGTCACCGTTGTCACCGTTGTCACTGTTGTCACCGTTGTCACCGTTGTCACTGTTGTCACTGTTGTCACCGTTGTCACCGTTGTCACCGTTGTCACTGTTGTCACCGTTGTCACTGTTGTCACTGTTGTCACCTTTGTCACTGTTGTCACCGTTGTCACTGTTGTCACTGTTGTCACCGTTGTCACGGTTGTCACTGTTGTCATCGTTGTCATCGTTGTCACGGTTGTCACCCTTGTCCCCATTGTCACAGTTGTCACTAATGTCACCATTTTCACCATTGTCACAGCTGTCACTGTTGTCACCATTGTCACTGTTATTACCCTTGTAACTGTTGTCACCGTTGTGACTGTTGTCACCGTTGTCACTGTTTTCACTGTTGTCACTGTTGTCACCATTGTCACTGTTGTAACCGTTGTCACCGCTGTCACTGTTGTCACCTTTGTCACTGTTGTCACGGTTGTCACTGTTGTCCCTGTTGTCACCTTTGTCACCGTTGTCACTATTGTCACTGTTGTCACGGTTGTCACGGTTTTCACTGTTGTCACCGTTGTCACCATTGTCACTGTTTTCACTGTTGTCACCGTTGTCACTGTTGTCAATGTTGTCACCGTTGTCACTGTTGTCACTGTCACCGCACCGTCACCGTTGTCACCGCTGTCACCGTTGTCACCGTTGTCACCGTTGTCACCGTTGTCACCGCTTGTCACCGTTGTCACCGTTGTCACCGTTGTTGTCACCGTTGTCACCGTTGTCACCGTTGTCACCGTTGTCACCGTTGTCACCGTTGTCACTGTTGTCACCGTTGTCACCGTTGTCACTGTTGTCACCGTTGTCACCGTTGTCACTGTTGTCACCGTTGTCACTGTTGTCACCGTTGTCACTGTTGTCACTGTTGTCACTGTTGTCACCGTTGTCACCGTTGTCACTGTTGTCACTGTTGTCACCGTTGTCACTGTTGTCACCGTTGTCACCGTTGTCACCGTTGTCACTGTTGTCACCGTTGTCACTGTTGTCACCGTTGTCACCGTTGTCACCGTTGTCACCGTTGTCACTGTTGTCACTTGTCACCGTTGTCACTGTTGTCACCGTTGTCACTGTTGTCACCGTTGTCACTGTTGTCACTGTTGTCACCGTTGTCACCATTGTCACCGTTGTCACTGTTGTCACCGTTGTCACCGTTGTCACTGTTGTCACTGTTGTCACCGTTGTCACCGTTGTCACCGTTGTCACTGTTGTCACCGTTGTCACCGTTGTCACTGTTGTCACCGTTGTCACTGTTGTCACCGTTGTCACCGTTGTCACTGTTGTCACCGTTGTCACTGTTGTCACCGTTGTCACCGTTGTCACCGTTGTCACTGTTGTCACTTTTGTCACTGTTGTCACTGTTGTCACCGTTGTCACTGTTGTCCCTGTTGTCACCATTGTCGCCGTTGTCACTGTTGTCACCGTGGTCACCGTTGTCACCGTTGTCACTGTTGTCACCGTTGTCACTGTTGTCACTGTTGTCACTGTTGTCACTTGTCACCGTTGTCACCGTTGTCACTGTTGTCACCGTTGTCACTGTTGTCACTGTTGTCACCGTTGTCACTGTTGTCACCGTTGTCACTGTTGTCACTGTTGTCACCGTTGTCACTGTTGTCACTGTTGTCACCGTTGTCACTTCTCACCGTTCTTAACCTTGTCACTGTTGTCACCGTTGTCACTGTTGTCACCGTTGTCACTGTTGTCACCGTTGTCACTGTTGTCACCGTTGTCACTGTTGTCACTGTTGTCACCGTTGTCACCGTTGTCACTGTTGTCACTGTTGTCACCGTTGTCACCGTTGTCACCATTGTCACCGTTGTCACTGTTGTCACCGTTGTCACCGTTGTCACCGTTGTCATTGTTGTCACTGTTGTCATCGTTGTCACTGTTGTCACTGTTGTCACCGTTCTCACCATTCTCACCGTTGTCACCTTTGTCACTGTTGCCCTGTTGTCACTGTTGTCGCCGTTGTCACTGTTGTAACCGTTGTCACCATTGTCACCTGTCACCGTTGTTACCATTGTCACTGTTGTCACCGTTGTCACTGTTCTCAATGTTGTCATCGTTGTCACCATTGTCACCGTTGTCACAGTTGTCACTGTTGTCACCATTGTCACCGTTGTCACCGTTGTCACTGTTGTCACTGTTGTCACTGTTGTCACCATTGTCACTGTTGTCACCGTTGTCACTGTTGTCACCGTTGTCACTGTTGTCACCGTTGTCACCGTTGTCACTGTTGTCACTGTTGTCACCGTTGTCACCGTTGTCACTGTTGTCACTGTTGTCACCGTTGTCACTGTTGTCACCGTTGTCACTGTTGTCACCGTTGTCACTGTTGTCACTGTTGTCACTGTTGTCACCGTTGTCACTGTTGTCACCGTTGTCACCGTTGTCACTGTTGTCACTGTTGTCACCGTTGTCACTGTTGTCACCGTTGTCACTGTTGTCACTGTTGTCACCGTTGTCACCGTTGTCACTGTTGTCACCGTTGTCACCGTTGTCACTGTTTTCACTGTTTTCACCGTTGTCACCGTTGTCACCGTTGTCACCATTGTGACTGTTATCACCATTGTCACTGTTGTCACCGTTGTCACTCATGTTGTCACCGTTGTCACTGTTGTCACAGTTGTCACCGTTGTCACTGTTGTCGCCGTGTCACCGTTGTTGTCACCACTGTCACCGTTGTCACCGTTGTCACTGTTGTCACCGTTGTCACCACACCATTGTCACCGTTGTCACCATTGTCACCGTTGTCACCGTTGTCACTGTTGTCACAGTTGTCACCATTGTCACCGTTGTCAGGGTTGTCACCGTTGTCACTGTTGTCACCGTTGTCACCATTGTCACTGTTGTCACAGTTGTCACCTTTGTCACTGTTGTCACCGTTGTCACCGTTGTCACCGTTGTCACCGCTGTCACTGTTGTCACCATTGTCACCGTTGTCACCGTTGTCACCGTTGTCACCTTTGTCACCGTTGTCACCGTTGTCACTGTTGTCACTGTTGTCACCGTTGTCACTGTTGTCACTGTTGTCACCGTTGTCACTGTTGTCACCGTTGTCACTGTTGTCACTGTTGTCACTGTTGTCACCGTTGTCACCGTTGTCACTGTTGTCACTGTTGTCACTGTTGTCACCATTGTCACCGTTGTCACCGTTGTCACCGTTGTCACTGTTGTCACCATTGTCACCATTGTCACCGTTGTCACTGTTGTCACCGTTGTCACCGTTGTCACCGTTGTCACTGTTGTCACTGTTGTCACCGTTGTCACCGTTGTCACCGTTGTCACCGTTGTCACTGTTGTCACCGTTGTCACCGTTGTCACTGTTGTCACCATTGTCACCGTTGTCACCGTTGTCACCGTTGTCACTGTTGTCACCGTTGTCACCGTTGTCACCGTTGTCACTGTTGTCACTGTTGTCACCGTTGTCACCATTGTCACCATTGTCACTCTTGTCACCGTTGTCACCGTTGTCACCGTTGTCACTGTTGTTACCGTTGTCACAGTTGTCACCGTTGTCACTGTTGTCACTGTTGTCACTGTTGTCATCGTTGTCACCGTTGTCACCGCTGTCACTGTTGTCACTGTTGTCACCGTTGTCACTGTTGTCACCGTTGTCACCGTTGTCACTGTTGTCACTGTTGTCACCGTTGTCACCGTTGTCACCGCTGTCACCGTTGTCACTGTTGTCACTGTTGTCACTGTTGTCACCGTTGTCACTGTTGTCACTGTTGTCACCGTTGTCACCGTTGTCACTGTTGTCACCGTTGTCACTGTTGTCACCGTTGTCACCGTTGTCACCGTTTGTCACCGTTGTCACCGTTGTCACCGTTGTCACCGTTGTCACCGTTGTCACCGTTGTCACCGTTGTCACTGTTGTCACCGTTGTCACACTGTCACCATTGTCACCGTTGTCACCGTTGTCACCGTTGTCACTGTTGTCACTTTGTCACCGTTGTCACCGTTGTCACCGTTGTCACCTTTGTCACCGTTGTCACCGTTGTCACCGTTGTCACTGTTGTCACCATTGTCACTGTTGTCACCAGTTGTCACCGTTTTGTCACCGTTGTCACCGTTTCTCACCGTTGTCACCGTTGTCACTGTTGTCACCGTTGTCACCGTTGTCACTGTTGTCACCGTTGTCACCGTTGTCACTGTTGTCACCTTTGTCACCATTGTCACCGTTGTCACCGCTGTCACCGTTGTCACTGTTGTCACCATTGTCACCCGTTGTCACCGTTGTCACCGTTGTCACTGTTGTCACCGCTGTCACCGTTGTCACTGTCACTTGTCACCGTTGTCACCGTTGTCACCGTTGTCACCGTTGTCACCGTTGTCACTGTTGTCACTGTTGTCACCGTTGTCACCGTTGTCACCGTTGTCACCGTTGTCACCGTTGTCACCGTTGTCACTGTTGTCACTGTTGTCACCGTTGTCACTGTTGTCACCGTTGTCACCGTTGTCACCGTTGTCACCATTGTCACCGTTGTCACCGTTGTCACTGTTGTCACTGTTGTCACCGTTGTCACCGTTGTCACTGTTGTCACCGTTGTCACCGTTGTCACCGTTGTCACCGTTGTCACTGTTGTCACTGTTGTCACCGTTGTCACCGTTGTCACTGTTGTCACTGTTGTCACCATTGTCACCGTTGTCACTGTTGTCACCATTGTCACTGTTGTCACTTTTGTCACTGTTGTCACCGTTCTCACTGTTGTCACTTTTGTCACTGTTGTCACCGTTGTCACTGTTGTCACCGTTGTCACCTTTGTCACCGTTGTCACTGTTGTCACCGTTGTCACCGTTGTCACCGTTGTCACTGTTGTCACCGTTGTCACTGTTGTCACCATTGTCACCGTTGTCACTGTTGTCACCTTTGTCACTGTTGTCACTGTTGTCACCGTTGTCACTGTTGTCACCGTTGTCACCGTTGTCACTGTTGTCACTGTTGTCACCGTTGTCACCGTTGTCACTGTTGTCACCGTTGTCACTGTTGTCACTGTTGTCACCGTTCTCACCGTTGTCACCGTTGTCACTGTTGTCACCGTTGTCACCGTTGTCACCGTTGTCACCGTTGTCACCGTTGTCACCGCTGTCACCGTTGTCACCGTTGTCACCGTTGTCACCGTTGTCACTGTTGTCACCAATGTCACCACATTGTCACCGTTGTCACTGTTGTCACCGTTGTCACTGTTGTCACCGTTGTCACTGTTGTCACTGTTGTCACGGTTGTCACTGTTGTCACCGTTGTCACCGTTGTCACCGTTGTCACCGTTGTCACCATTGTCACTGTTGTCACCGTTGTCACCGTTGTCACTGTTGTCACTGTTGTCACCGTTGTCACTGTTGTCACCGTTGTCACCGTTGTCACTGTTGTCACACCGTCACTGTCACCGTGTCACCGTTGTCACCTTTGTCACCGTTGTCACCGTTGTCACCGTTGTCACCGTTGTCACCGTTGTCACCGTTGTCACCGTTGTCACTGTTGTCACCGTTGTCTTGTCACTGTTTGTCACCATTGTCACCGTTGTCACCGTTGTCACCGCTTGTCACTGTTGTCACCGTTGTCACTTGTTACCGCTGTCACCTTTGTCACTTTTGTCACCGTTGTCACTGTTGTCACCATTGTCACCGTTGTCACCGTTGTTACTGTTGTCACTGTTCTCACAGTTGTCACCATTGTTACCGTTGTCACTGTTGTCACCGTTGTCACTGTTGTGACCGTTGTCACCGATTTCACCTTCGTCAGCGTTGTCACCGTTGTCACTTTTGTCACCAGTGTCACTTGTCACCGTTCTTAACGTTGTCACTGTTGTCACCGTTTTCACAGTTGTCACCGTTGTCACCATTGTCACCGTTGTCACTGTTGTCACCGTTGTCACTGTTGTCACCGTTCTCACTGTTGTCACTTTTGTCACTGTTGTCACCGTTGTCACCGTTGTCACTTGTCACCGTTGTCACCGTTGTCACTTTTGTCACCGTTGTCACTGTTGTCACCATTGTCACCGTTGTCACCGCTGTCACCATTGTCACCGTTGTCACCGTTGTCACTGTTGTCACCGTTGTCACTGTTGTCACCGTTGTCACCGTTGTCACTGTTGTCACCGTTGTCACTGTTGTCACCGTTGTCACCGTTGTCACCGTTGTCACTGTTGTCACCGTTGTCACCGTTGTCACCGTTGTCACCGTTGTCACCGTTGTCACCATTGTCACCGTTGTCACCGTTGTCACCATTGTCACCGTTGTCACTGTTGTCACCGTTGTCACCGTTGTCACTGTTGTCACCGTTGTCACCATTGTCACCGTTGTCACCGTTGTCACCGTTGTCACCGTTGTCACTGTTGTCACCGTTGTCACCGTTGTCACTGTTGTCACCATTGTCACCGTTTGTCACCGTTGTCACCATTGTCACCGTTGTCACCGTTGTCACTGTTGTCACTGTTGTCACCATTGTCACCGTTGTCACCGTTGTCACCGGTCACACCTTTGTCACCATTGTCACCACTGTCACTGTTGTCACCGTTGTCACCGTTGTCACCAGTTGTCACCGTTGTCACCGTTGTCACTGTTGTCACCGTTGTCACCATTGTCACCGTTGTCACTGTTGTCACTGTTGTCACCGTTGTCACCGTTGTCACTGTTGTCACCGTTGTCACCGTTGTCACCGTTGTCACTGTTGTCACTGTTGTCACCGTTGTCACTGTTGTCACCGTTGTCACCGTTGTCACCATTGTCACCGTTGTCACTGTTGTCACTGTTGTCACCGTTGTCACCGTTGTCACCGTTGTCACCGTTGTCACTGTTGTCACCGTTGTCACCGTTGTCACCATTGTCACCGTTGTCACCGTTGTCACCATTGTCACCGTTGTCACCTTTTGTCACCCGTGTCACCATTGTCACCGTTGTCACTGTTGTCACCATTGTCACTGTTGTCACTGTTGTCACGGGTGTCACTGTTTTTACCGTTGTCACTGTTGTCTTGGTTGTCACCGTTGTCACAGCTGTTAATGTTGTCACCAATGTCACCTTTGTCACCGTTGTCACTGTTGTCACCGTTGTCACCGTTGTCACTGTTGTCACTGTTGTCACCGTTGTCACTGTTGTCACCGTTGTCACCGTTGTCACCGTTGTCACCGTTGTCACTGTTGTCGCTGTTGTCACTGTTGTCACCGTTGTCACCGTTGTCACTGTTGTCACTGTTGTCACCGTTGTCACTGTTGTCACCGTTGTCACCATTGTCACTGTTGTCACTGTTGTCACCATTGTCACCGTTGTCACTGTTGTCACCGTTGTCACCGTTGTCACCGTTGTCACTGTTGTCACTGTTGTCACTGTTGTCACTGTTGTCACGGTTGTCACCGTTGTCACTGTTGTCACCGTTGTCACACTGTTGTCACCTTTGTCACCGTTTGTCACCGCTGTCACCGTTGTCACTGTTGTCACCGTTGTCACCGTTGTCACTGTTGTCACCGTTGTCACCGTTGTCACTGTTGTCACCGTTGTCACCGTTGTCACCGTTGTCACCGTTGTCACTGTTGTCACCGTTGTCACCGTTGTCACCGTTGTCACTGTTGTCACTGTTGTCACCGTTGTCACTGTTGTCACCGTTGTCACCGTTGTCACTGTTGTCACTGTTGTCACCGTTGTCACTGTTGTCACCGTTGTCACCGTTGTCACCGTTGTCACTGTTGTCACTGTTGTCACCGTTGTCACCGTTGTCACCGTTGTCACCGTTGTCACCGTTGTCACCATTGTCACTGTTGTCACCGTTGTCACTGTTGTCACCGTTGTCACTGTTGTCACC